CTCGGAGCACTCACGCTAGCACTCTTCCTGTGTGGCAAACCACGCCGCATCTTTGAAGAAACGGAAGAATGTTTGGAAATCGTCGATTATCTCGATAATCGCTTGGCTAAGCATGTCAACGACCTTTCGGAGACGCTGGTAAAAAAGTACTCGTATGCCTTCTACTCCAAGGCGGCAACATTCGTTGTACAGTACTACCTCCAGGGTGGACGGTTCGTTCGGCAGTCTTTCATTACTCTTCCAATGACGCCCACTCGCCCATCGACGTCTGGTGCCAGCACGCCTATGAGTGCCACAACATCCATTTCTGATCTATCTGATGATTTCCCTCTCACTCCAACGAGTCCCTCGTCGTTCTCCCCCGAACCCTTTTCGAGCTCTTTTCTATCAGAAGACGATAAGGAAAATTTACCAACAACGTTTGAGCCTATCATCAATAAACAGCGCACGGAGGTCCCGCCTGACCATTTTTTGCCTCATGACTTCGTTGCCTTTGGCCGTCCGGCCTTGCACCACTTGAATGGCTCACCGCGAATGACCGCCGTCTCATAGCGCGCAGGTCCGTATCCTCTGTTCAGGTCAACTCCATCCGTGTCGAAAAGATTGTTACAACCCCCGCAAAATGTAATACCACCCTACACGCTCAGCCACTCTGCGCATTGTCTTTGCAAGCCTCATCATCCATGCATCACTTTCTTTTTCTGCAATAGTCTCGTTTCCCAACATCCATCCCGCGCACAATCTACTGTGGGGTGAGCGGTCGCCTTGAGAAGTCGGATTCGCATCGGTGTGCTGCATACTCGATACAAGGATGGACGGTGACTTAGCCGTCCTGTACCACTCTCCTTTCCGCTTGTCATCCTTCTCAAGGAAGGTCTGCCTGGCCATATCTGGTCGTCCTGCCAACCACAACATTATCTGCATTCATTCCACTTGTTAGTCTATGCATCACCCCACCCATCGTTCCCACCCATAGTAACCCTCTCGATTCCCGTCTTCTTGCAACGAACCAGGTCGACAACCTCTATCCCATTCTGTGTCTATCGCATTCATTCTATATTATTCTTCACTTTATCGTATTCTTTAAATTCCGTGTCGACTATCTGGTTCGTTGTGGGGCGATTTCTTGCATTCTCTGTCACGTACCCCATCGTGCGAACCGCTTCTCTGTGCTTTTACTCTCCCTTTCATTTGCACACTGTCCGCACATCCATCCTTGTCATTGTTGCAGCAATCACTCTACCACATCGAACTTTGTTTACAATTACATTTGCAATCTGAAGGGCTCAATGGGTGTTTCCATTATACTGGTAGCGCGCTCATTTTTAGCAAGAATGGAACCGGCGCTGGATTGTCTCCGGCGGGACGTCCATCAGAACAGGGCTGAAGTACATATCTCCTGCACAGCAAAAGATCATTTTAAATATCCGAGGTGGAGACTAGGAGCTGATAAGTATCATAAGAAGCTGGGTTGTGGCCGCTAGTCATGAATCGGCCTCCCACACTTGTCAGGTTCTCAAGAGCGTCTCAGGTGGTTCTTCCTACAACGACCGAAATTCCCTGTTCAAACCGATCGACTGGCTTCCACAGGTGGGTGCCTGTTCTGTTCTTCATGCGAAAAGAACGAGAAAAAATAGAAATCATTATGGGAAATGAAGGTTCATGAACAAGAGGTGGACACAGCGCGCGGGAATGAGTGAAAACCTACGTGCTCAACATCGCTCATATGTTATTCCTTAGCGGCAGTGGCACGGAACTAGAACTCGGTCTTTGCTAATATATATTCATACAATAGAATGATCTTGAGGACACTATAACTTTGATGAAAGAAAAAACTATTGTTGCACGTAAGATCGTCAAGGCAAACCTGCTATTCCAGTATCCATTTGTCTCCAATCTTCTTAATACCAACGGCTCTCTTCTCGTCTAGACTGATGCGACCAGCATTGAGAATCGCAGTTGTAAGCACGGTATTGGTAATGGTCGGATAGCCGTAACCATCATAATCGGAGGGTTTTGCAACGCCAGCGTTGACCTCTCGGGCGGCATCGATGAATTTTTCAATAGAAATATACCCGTATCCCCGTTGTCCGTCGAAATGACCAGTCTCGGACGGCGAATACTTCATGCTAGCAATGGATAGTTGAATCGACATATTTTTTTCTGGCCAAGGAACTCACTAGAAGGGATTGTACCATGTCTTCCCAGTTTCGTCGACAGTGATATCATACCCACGGTGAGCTTGGTCAACATTTATGTCACCCTACGAAACAGATTAGCAGAAGCTTTACGTTGTTGCAGGACAGTCAGTCGTGTGACCGACCCACCTTCGAACCCATATAATACCAGTGCTGAGCAGAGTGAATACCTGCCTTCAAAGGTGCTGTCCAAGATGCCGTATAGACTGCTGTGCCCTTGTGTCCTGGACTCTGGATCGACTGCCAGTCGACGAGGAGCGTGATGGTGTCTTCTGTTTGAGGAACACAGTTGTATGGCTCCCCCGTAGCGATGCCGGTTGCTGCACTGGCAACAACTCGCGTGGGTACTGCTTTATCTTGGAGAATCCAGCAGCAAATATCAATATGATGTGACGAAAGGTAATAGCTGGAAAAAAATAGTCAGCGTACAAATGTATTTGTAAACAGAGGAGCTCGCCTGATGTCTGAATCCTTGCCAGCCCAAGCACGGAAGGTTTCCAGCTGACTCTTCGGCTGGCTCATCCATGCGTTGAAGAAGTTGAATTCACCCAGTGCCTGTGCTCTGACTTTGGCATCGCTATACACGGGATCAAAGCGCTTGTGATGTTCCACAAAGCAGACAACGTTGTGCTTTCTCGCAGCTGCGATGAGCTCATTGTGATGTGATAGTAATTTGGTTGCGGGCTTGGTGACAAGAACATGGATGCCACGTTCCATCGCGTACAAGCTAATAGGGTAATGGGTACCTATAAGCGGTCTCTGAGAAAACCAGATGTTAGGGACACGAAAAATCGAAACTCACTGTCAGGAGTAAACACGATGATAGCATCTCCGGGAGACATTTTGTCGATGGCATCCTTGTCTAGGAGGGTAAGACATCTCCACAGTACACTTAGAAGTAACTCACAAGCCTCAGGATCAATATTCCCCCCTTTTGGGTACTCCTCAAAGCTGATCGGCGATCGGCGGTTAGTCAAGAATAAGCAATAGCAACACGATCACGCACGAGGTATCCATATCCTTGTAAACATTCTCGATATTCTCTTGTAAGTGTTGGCGTATGGCGGGAAATTTGCCACCATTAACGCCGACCATTCCCAGCTTGCCGATCTGACGTTAAGATAGATGTAAACACGGAAAATAATCGTTCCACTGTCAATATTACGCACTTTGCCTAACCTTCGAAGATCGAACAGCGTAAGGCCAACCACCTTATGTCATGATCTCAGCCATTGACTAAACGACCAAGGTAGGGGATGCACATACCCCAATCTACGAAAGCCGGGCCTTAGCTGTCAGCGAAAATTGATAAGACAAATATATCACACCCACCTTCTTGTCGGATGTAGAGGCTCCAGAACCAGTCCATCCAGTGGTGTACTCTCCCTGCAAATCATGTCAGAAACTTGATGGGACCAATTGCCGGTCGATTGAACACTCACAGTACCACCTGTTGCGAGCACATTGCCTGGTTAGAATTGTGCCAGGTGACATTGATCAGCTTACACATTAAAACGTTCAATTCATTGAGGTTTGACATAGCGATGCTGAGGACCAACGGTCAAGATGAAAGAAAGGATTCCGGAAGTGGTCAATTATCTTAAACCCAGCAACGCTCAGCGGCCCGAACGCTCATATCGGACCGGATATTGGAAAACGTAGCATCACGTAAGCTTATCACGAAGACCACATCGAAGAGGGAACTTCCAAGGCCTAGGTGCAGCTGTGATGTCACGAGGACCAATCGTGTATACATTCAGGCGTAGTCCTCCTAATGCGTTTGGAGAAACGGTGTTGCTTACCATTCACAAAGAAGGGGATATCATCCATACCATTCTGGGCTTTTGGTCCCAAGCCTACAAGTAGGTTTCGTGGTTCCGATTGCGGAGCGTCCAGCTAAATGTATGTCATTACCGGTGAAAAAAGAATCAGGCTGGACATGGGCAGTATCAGGAACAGCCTGACTCTAACTCGAAAAGCGTTAAGGATACGAGGAGCGCTCAGCGCTCGTTGCATGGCCTTTACATTTATAGAGCCATCTGCCCGGGCCATGTCGATAGCCTATGCAACGAGTCGAAACCAGCGGTGATTTTAGATATTCCGAACTTGGAGCTCGGAGCCTCGAAGCTTCGAAGCTAATTGAAGGAGATGGAAGTTAGTACTTAAAAATATCGAACCGCCATCACGATGGTCAGCGAGTGCCTGATCCGTACACTGTACACAGAACTTAGAAGGGCGCGGAATATCCCGAGAAGATTGCTGAACTTGCAGGTTTGCACGCCGAGTCAAGCTCTCACAAGTGCCTTGCGGAAGGTGTGCGAGATACCTGGGACACAAGAGCCGCTTCCTCAATCGAGTCTTGGTATCCTCCCTTACTGCATGCCCGATGAGGGTGTCAAGCGCCCCAGGCACATCGGCACGAGCCAACGACACGTCCATGGTGCCAATCGCGAAGGTGGATTCATTCACCACAGCAAATGTGGTTTGCATCAACCTGCCGGACTTGTCGCGAGTCCGGCTGGCCAGCGACATTTATAAACACTGATATATAATAAAATGTTCTGATCGAAATATTCTGAGTGCATTTGTTGACACATATAATAGGCATCGTACCTTCTCCGCCTTCCTCTGCACCAGGAGCGTCGATGATATAGGTTCAGCCTGAGTACAAACTCGTCCGACATGATCTAGTACCGAATTGGAAGAGTCAAAGAACCCACAAAATTAGCACGTGTTTCATTAACCGTTGTGACGTCACAAGGCCTTAAGCAAACCTCGTGGCTACTCCTTAGCCGCGTCTCCAATTTACTGGCTGCACACACGCAGCGCATATAAGAATATTCTGCTGCGCAAGCGTCGTCTGCGGACAACCTCGCCTTGTGTGCCTTGCTTTAATCTGCTGTGAACGGTTAGCGCATACTTGTCACTACCAAGTAAGTTTAATCGATCTGGGCTTGATGTCCTTCCTTTGCTAACCTTGCTGCCAGCCGTTTTCCGCCTGGAGTCCATCCCGACTCTCCGTGCCTCTCTTTCTCCAATATCTCTGTCACTTTGTTGTATCCGCTGGTCGCACCTCGTCTCGGCCAACTATCACAAACATGCAGCCAGGCTCTGTAACAGACTCTGGCTTCATTCCAAGGAAAGAGTTCATTCGTGACCAACGAGCTACGAACATCTTTGGCCTTCTTGCTATCTCTGGCTCAAGTTGTATCAGGCTTTATTCTTTTCCTCCCGATGTCATTGCAGCTTTACGTCGACTCCTTGATCACTTTTACCTCACAGGTGGTTTTCGCGAAGATATACAGCAGAACTTCTGGGAATTTACCATAACTCAAAAGCCCTGGAATGCACCAAAAAGTCCTCGTACAGAGCGAATTCTCCTCGACATACTCGCTGTCATATACAGGTTTGGATACACTATTCTTTCTACCGTTGACTATGGTCGGGAGCGCGACGATCGTTTAGCTATCTCATTTTCAAGGCCACTTCTACCTTCTTCTTCTTCGCCCGCTCCACCTTTCGCACCAGCTCCCGCTGGCTCGGGAAGTAATATTTCGCACCAGACGGGGCTGCAAACGGAGAGAAGAATGCCCTTTGCCATCTCATTTGTCTCGCAGACCATCATGCGAGTCATCAATCCACCACTAAACGCAACTCCAGCAATTCTTCAAGCCGTGCGAGGATCATGGCCTCGGGGCGTATTGTCGGAGAAGAAAACGGACAACGCGTATGAATTTAAGTTGAAGGGGTATAGCTGTGAGTGTCCTTGAGTAAAATTCGTGTAGGTTTTAAAGACTTTTGTGCAGGGTTCCACGAAGACACATTTGCGACAGATTCTCTGCGACACATCCTTTCACTTCTATCATCCCTCGATGCTCATGCATGTTCCCTTGTTATTTCGCTGGCAATCAATGGCCGTTCCAGAGTCAAGGACCTATGGGTCTTTACTGGCCCTAGCACTACCGAGACTGATCCTTATTGGCCCGAATCTCCTATAAGCCAATCCGGTTCTATGCTGGATGTAAGAAGATCTCATCGGGCGTCGACGCCCGAACCACCAGAAGTGGGTATGATCCCCAGCTCTTTGCATAGAAAAGCCGCCACTAGCTCTCAGCACCCGCCTCACGGCTTGCCATCCTCTCAGACGCCTCAGCACATGCGGTCGGCCACAGAATCCAACGCATTGCCTCCCCTTGCGACAAATTTGCCGCCTCGTGCAGTGCCAGGCAATCAAATGCGAAAGCCTGCACCCCGCGCACAAGTGCCAGTGTCTGTTGACTTCGATGCTCGAGATGATGATGAACATGGTCGATTTCGCACTTCTCTTGCTAGCGCTGTGCCAAGTAGTTGTGAGAACATGACTGGTATAGGTTCCATGGCGCGTAATAGATTCACTTCCAATCTCATCTACACAGCAACCCCTGGCCCAATTCCTGAATCGGATCATCCCACTGAAGACACTGTATTCTCGTCGCCACCTCCTGAACGACATCATCATAGACCGAGATCGAGATCTCCGTCTCCCCAACGCCGGGTAAGCGCTCTGCGACCGGTATCGACTCGTTCGAAGACCCCTCCGCTCCTCCGATCACATTCCCCGCCTAGGGACCCTCGCAACCCCTCACCAACGCCTGCTAGCCATGATGTCTCGATGAATGAGGGCCCGCCTCTCCTCAGCCCAGGGATGTTTCGTATGAGAGACTCAGCATACTCTGCGAATACTATTGACACAGACACATCTCTTGGGGTCCCATTCAAATGGCCAGGACTTGGCCGGCCAGATGGCATTGAAAACATTGAGGAGGTGCACGAGGAACCATGTGAGGAACCAACGCCACACCTACTTGTCTTACCTGGCGCATGGGCAATGTCGCCTGAGGAGGAGCGCCCCGAGATGTTGCCTCGTATGAACGAGGCATCTATGGTCGATGAGCGTGGTCTCCATCTGGAACACAGAAGAAGTCCAGACAAATCATTGCATGACATCGATGCGAGGATTTCCTCGCCGGAGTTGGTTAGTGATCAGGCTGTGCGCAAGAGTGAGGCAGGGCTTATTGGGATGATATCTCCCCCGAGGCCTCCTCCTCCACCGATTCATCCTCCATCAAGGGAGAGCGTTTATAAAAGGAAGGCATCGAATTCAACTGATCCACCTGCATCACCTATAAAGTCTGGCAGTCGCAGTGGGAGTGGTAATGGTTGGGTGCTTGTGAACGTTGAGGGCAAGGAACACATGACAGCTTCAATGTCAACACCAGTCGGTAGCCCCACGTCCACGACACAAGTCGAACGTGGAGGAAAGCGCACTACAAGTGCTGCCGCAGAAAGGGCCTCGATGTCCGCTGCAGCGAAGGCGATTGCTGTCATTGATGTACAAGACACAAAAGCCAAGAAGCGCCAGTCCACTGGTTCTGGTCTACGACGTTTTCTATCTATCTCACGGCCTGGTGCCAAGGGCGCTGACGAAGTGAAATCTGACCCTCGTCTCGCTGCTCTACGTTCAAAGGAATTAGCGTCCAGCGAAAAAGAAAGTTCTAAACTCACCTCCTCTCGCCAAAGGCGATTTCGCAACAAGTTCACCCGCCTAGGAGCTTCAGAGCCTGCCGCTCGGCCGCCAGATCGAGTGCGGGTCAATCTCGACTAACTTTTACATTCTTTCCATTCTCAATTCCCTATCCCTTATATTATCGACATATGCTTAATTGCCTCTTTACGACTCCTCAGCAGCATATGACTCCATAACCCACATTTACTGACTTCTTTGTGCTTTCGTTTGTCGCTCATGTAGTACTTATGCTTTACCTCTCTACAGGTGCCTTACGACAGACTACTCGTAATTTTACGGATACAGCATATCGCTTTTCAAACTGGTGTCAAATTACCCTTCATGGCCTGAAGGTTTCTGTCACCTCCATGTTTAATGCGTTCAATTTTCGACTTTTCCGACAACTTCCGCAGCAAAAACCACCTAGCCCATTGTGGCTGAAAGTGTGTGGATTCTTTTCGCCCACCGCTCGGATGCTGTTTCCCACAAGAAGACAGACAGTGACTTCCATTGCACATCTGTCATCTGATATCTTTCACAAGGCCGAGCCTCTCTAAATTCGTCCGCAGTTGCGCTCGCGCGCCGTGCGGGTACGGGTATGTATCAACCCGTACACCCCGCGGTATTGTGATTATCCGCGGGAATAAGCATACAACGTAGGTCTAATAACTATCACTCGGAATGATCACCCGAGGGATCCGTTCACGGATATTATGGTCCGTTCATTGTATGCAAGCGGAGCAACGCGCTCAGGGTCATCGTGATATGGGTTGCATCTTGCAACCGTCATGTACTGGTATTTCTCAGTAAGTATAGGATCTTCTATCAGTCTGTATGCCAGCGATGGAGCTGGGCATCATCAACCATGAGTTGACGATTGCCATTTTTTCTGGACTCTGGTGCAACACCAGTATCGATGTCAAAATATACGTAGCTCGGGTGATGAAGACGAGTCACTGTAATTATCTGTGTATTTTATCTTGCGTGCGGGCTCGCTCATCACACCGTGAACTTCATTTTTGGCGTCCGATCGGACTTGTTAGCAGTGGATGCAACTCTGATCTGCTGCATCACCAATTTCAACAGGGGATCGACTGCATTGCCACCGTTAATATAGGTATGTAGTTCGGCTTTTGACGATCTTGACTGTTGTTAACGTTCGTCTTTGAAGGATTTTACTGGTAGATTGATCGATCTTGAGATGCAGGATGTATTGTACCTTGCAGCCCCTGGAATGTGTCTACTCGGTGCTCTTACTAGAGGCTCGTTAGGAAGCCTGATCAAATGTGGTGTGAGAACCAAGAATACCTGTGGCATACCTACCCGCCGAATCACCGTGCTGGGCCTAGCACTTCTGCCTGACATCATTCCAGCTCCAGTCACCATAGAGATCATGAGAGGTGTGCTATCACAGGGACGAGACCATACGCATTCCGGGTGGTATTCAAGCGAACCCGCATCGACTTCTCATCGATTACCAGTCTCTCGTGCACAAACGGCGTGGTACAGTTTTCAGCCTTCAGAGCAATAGCCTCATCATATGTCGTTGCTCTCCTCAATTCTTCCGACCAGTTTACTAAAGAAGCTGCTGAAGTGAGCACTGCTGTATTCGCGTTACTCTACCACATAACTTCAGACATACAAGGCTTCTGGTGCTTGCGCGTGCGTGATATATCTTACTATAGAGGGCCGGGATGACATAGATTTATTTCTCCATGACTCCCATCGATATCGTTTAGCAGCGATCATTAATATTCCTCACTATGGACATTACTCTTATCGCATGTGGTTATTAATACATGGCAGTTCTCCTTCGTCGTGATAAGTTGAAGCAGCGAGTAGCCTACATAATAGTGGCGTGTCGCGTTTGACCACGTGCCGGATCACGTGAATGCCAGCCACATTCCCTGGGATGCACTTGTAGTCCTACAGTGCGCACAAGCATGGAACAAGTTAAATGAAAGTTCCTGCGAAGGTTTGGAAGTGTCTTAATCGTGACAAAATTGCGGTGGAGTAGTCATTCATAAATTGGCGTAGGACAAGGACTACGTCTCGAGGCAAAGCAAAGATCGCAATGAGCCCAAGATCGGAAGACCGGGCGTCACGGTCATACGCTGACGTCGATGGGTAAAATCCATGGCATTCAGAGGGGATCCCATTGCCAACTGGCACGAGAAAAAGCTTGACCGCGTCTTTGGTGTTCGGCAGAATGGCTCATGGTGTTCGAGGTGCAAGCCTTGTGCGGTTCCCGTGACACAACGACAGACGGGTGGACTGCCGTTAACACAAGTAAAAGCGATTGATTCTACTAAGTACTAACTGTTGTTAATGAAACGTGACAGTCGTCAGAGAAAGGTTTAATGCTGAGCGTGCAAAAAAAAAAACTTTGGTTGAAGTTGGCGTCTCTTGTGTAATAAGACGGAGGCAGAGATGCAAAAATGCACAGGGACCGCTACACGCATTCGTTTCCTCCCTAATAGCCACCCGCGGCCGTTCCCTCTTATTTCCCGCCTCCTGCCATCTTCACCCTTGTCCTCCAACAATCCTTCCCCACAATGCCAACATGCAGACGCAAACGTGTCGTCCTCACAGAACCATCCGAGGCTCTTCTCCAGGCTGCAAAGTCCAACCCTAACAAGGAGGTCTATTATCTACAGCAAACTGGCGAGATATTTGAAACTTATGAGTTTGTCAAACCTTTTCTTTTTTCAATGTCTCCTACAACTATGTTCTCCTCAGGGCCTACGCTGCGAGGATGTCATTTTACAGGCTTAAGCAGTTCCAGTGCGAGGTCACAGGAAAGAGCGGCCTTGACTACTTCCAGGCGCTTGAAAGCGAACAACAGGAGGCACAGACTATGCACTCCAGGTTCCCTGAGCCTCTGAAAGCCGCTGTCCTCAAGGCTGTCCAATGGCGTGCGTCTTTTATCAGCTCTGTTGACCTCGAAGAACGTTGATCATATTTGTCATTTGTAGAGGTCGTAGGTCGACTAGACCACCTCGTAGAAGCTGTCTTTGACCGGTTCAAGGACCGCTATTTTGTGGATGAGAGTAAGTTGGTCCGTTAACGTCAATTTACCCTAGCACTCATCCCATCCTTTCACGCGACGTCAGAGGTGTTCGTTGACGCGCAAGGCGACAAGTTCGTGCACTATATCTTAAGGTCTCTACCCCTGTAACTGACATGTATCTCGCCAGGTTCTACGCGAAAGTCGTGCAAGTGCATCCCCCGAAGACCAAGAGTGACGATGTCGATGTCCCAGCCGAAAATCAAGCCTCATCTTCATCAGTGACATCTCCACCTCACGGAATTGTTGATGATGACGCAGTTCAAATCCACAAGGTTGGTGGAGACTTGAAGATCCCAGCGAAGGAAGCATTGGTCCGCGATGACCCCCTTAAGTACTCCTACAAGGTCCAGATACTTGAAGAGCAACACGAGAAAAGTCACGAGAAAGGAAAGGCTGCATCGAAAGACAAAGCCAAGTGGAGCGGTAGCTTCATGGATGTGCAGTGCAGTGTCATGAGGTTTGTGACCCCATTAACCCAACTTGAACAAAACTGACCAGGTCTTGTAGCCGCGATCGTCTTGCCTTCTCGAAGTCTATTCTTCGTCGCTTTATCCGCGACTGTGTTGATCGTGATGCTGCCGTCGCCTCGCCATGGACGGTAAAACCGGTCATCGCGAAGCACTATGGTGTCGACTCCGTGATGCCAGAGGAAACACGCAAAGGTGTGGAAGACATCAAACGCGGTGAGATTGATAAGCGCAAAAAGATATGGGAGGACAAGGAAGGGCCACCAACCAAGAAGCAGAAGAAGATGACTGCTGCTCAGGAAGAAAGAGGTAACGTCGCTCTATCCTGGATAATACTCAGTGCTGATTACTGTAACAGTGAAAGCCTTGGCTGTTGCAGCTGAAAAGCGAGAGCGCGAAGCACGCGAAAAGGCAGAGCGTCAACAAAAGGCAAAAGAAGAGGCTGAGCGTCTGGCTGCAGAGAAGAAGAAAAAGAAACCCATTCGCTACCCTACTGAAGATCTGGATGTTCGGCTTAACGACAAGGAGAAGAAAGCAGGTTTGAAGGTCAAAAAGCCAACACCAAGTAAATTGGGAGTTCCGTTTGGCGAGAATCAGGGTACTTTTGAAGCATTTTTAACGTCATGGAATTTTCTGGTCATTTATGGGTGAGTGAACAATCTCAAAGTGCTACATATGAACATCTAACAGTCTACCGCAGACAACCTCTCCACTTGTCAACATTCACGATGGATGAGTTTGAACATGCTTTGCGGCATTCCCTCATAGACCCGCCTTGTGCACTACTAGGAGAGATTCACTCAACGCTCATTTACAACCTACGCACAGTGCCATTTACTCGGCATAGTGCTGTCCTATCGTTACTGCGTCTCCAAGATACACTGGAAGAAGAGCACCGAGTGCTCGGTGTCTCAATCGATGAGTTAGCTGGTGCCATGGCTGACGTGGGGAACAACTGGGAACGGATTCCCTTACGGCACAATGAGATGCGAGACGGGTGGGAGGAGGCTCTTCTAGGATGCCTGAAAGATGTAGAGTGATTTCAGTCTATTGTTCATATTCGATGCTCATTTTTAATAGCACGCCACACTCGACAACTTTCCTCGCCTACGAGAAGTCTTGACAAGATTACTCTTTGCCCCGGAACCGCATGCAGAAGTTTCGTCTTCATCTTCAAGCTCTCGTGTTTCAAGTCCTGCTGCAAACAACCTAACTGTTCAATCCTCACCCAGCGAGCGTTACTATACGCTGCCTCCTGCCGACAGGATTGATATCCTTACCTTGATGTGCAATCTCGCTGTATCAAGCAAGGCAGTTCATTCCCATATGGAGTCATGCGAAGAGCAGTTAACTGCCCTTCGCAAGGAGAAAATAGAGATTGGCCGCCAGAAGAAGCAGTAGTGAGTTCGCGTTGGCGCACAGTGATATTTCCATTTAACGTACTTTTTTAGTACTGAGGAAATGAATTCCCTTGCCGGGGAAACGGAGGTGAAGGAGCCCGGAACCAATGGTACCGTTCCAGACGAAGATACCACGATGCACGAATCCAGTGACCTTTCGGACGTTCCTTCAGAAGATGGCTCGGAGACCGCATCTACTTCTAGTGCTCGCCAAAAGAGATCAGCGCGTCAGAAAGATCTTCGTCAGAAAGCCCACACTCAGGCACACGCGAAACAACGAGAGCTTGCTCGTGCTCAAGCAGCCTCTGCGAAACAAGCACTGGCAGAACATCGCAGACTTGATGAAGAGGTCAATAAGCTTGAGCGTCGATTAGAGGCGATTGAACGAGAGTTCAGGAAGCTGCTTGGTGCGGTGCGAATCAAACCATTGGGAAAGGACCGGTTCCATAATCGGATTTGGTGGTTTGACGGCATGGGATCTGCTTCTTTGCTGGGCAGTGGAGGCGTTGTCCAGTACGGAACTGGTCGAATCTTTATACAGGGCCCGAGCGAGATGGATTTGGAGTTGATGTTAAAGAAAGAGGATGATGACTATGACGCTAGGAGGCTTGAAGAAGAAGGGCCAGAGGGAATGTTGGCACCATCCGAGTGGGCACAGTATGCTGAGCCTGAAGAGGTAATCTTTATCTATCATTTTGTTGATCGCCGTTGATTGTTTGGCTTTGCAGCTCGACGAGTTCCTTGCTTGGTTAAACCCTAAGGGTGTCCGGGAACTAGCCCTGAAGAATTCATTCATAAAGTGGTGGAGTCATATCGCTCCTGGCATGCGCAAACGGATCTCTGTAGGTACTAGAGATCTCGACAACCATCGCTGTCTAATCATTATGAACAGGATCTCAACATCAGTGCAAAGCTTCCTGAAGCCAGACGCAGCACCCGAACTAAACCTTCTGGTCACGACGTCTCTCGCGAGCCTTACATGATGTGGACAAATCGAAGAGCTGTTAACTCAGTGTAATGTACGTATGTGCCGTTCTGTAAACATTTCCATTCCTTGCGGCGGTGTTATGCCCTTCAACCTTTGCCATCAAATAAGCACATACTAACTCGGGAAAGACATCTCGATGAAAATAATAAAGCGAGTGTAAAATATATATTTACCAACTAAATATGGAATAGTATATTTGAGATTGAGGGCAAATAAAAGTAGCACACTACACATCACACAATAACTTTAGTCTTTTACTCTTTACTATGGTGATCGCCAAAGGGCTCGGCCGTTATGGTTTCATCTAGAAACGACAATAAAATTTCCTGTAGGCCGCAATTGCTTCCTGACTATCTATTCCGTCAGCCTTCGCCCGGATCTCCTATTGAACCTTAGATTACTGTTCAATAGTATTTTCCGAACAACCGCGCACGCGACCTTTAAAACTTTGTGCCCTTGTCATTGGACACATACCAAACAGTATCCTAGATTCAGATATGACATCCTACACATCGCGTGCAGGAGTACCCTTCACTTCTAGCTCTGTGGATAGTTCTACAGGCAGCATGAGGGGCGTTATCGCTTCATGTGCGTACTAAAATTGTTCCTACTGATCTACAGTTAGTCTTACTCCAAATGCAGACCGTCGCTCCCAATTTTTTGCCAGTTCAAATATACCATATAACGCTCATTTTTCTGACGAGGGGTCGGATGAAGAGGCTCGCGTTGGAGAAGATGACGAGGAAGGCGAGTTAGTTCCAATGCCCAGGGATGACACGACAGAGTTCTGGGACTGGGACGAAACGTCGCGTCCAGTCTTACAACGTGCACGAACTTTTATTCCCCAACGGCCTATCGAGACACGAGAAATCACTGCTACTAGCGGAAGTCAACTCGCTCGACCAACCAGTGATGAAGCTGCTCCTTTACTGCAAGCATCTCCCGCATCTAATCAAGTCAGTTATGGGGGATCTGATTCAGACGTGTACGTCGGTGGAGAGTCACATGGCCCAACAGATCGGTCTATACTACGGCGCAAGTCGTCAGGTACCCTGAGGAAACCACATAACTACGGAGGACAAAGTACCTACGGGCAGACAGTAGGTGTTGTTGTTCGATCGTAGATATCTCTGCTAATTCCGATTGATCGCTCAGTTATTCAACAGCATCGCGATATTATTGGGCATTGGAATGTTATCCGAGCCCCTAGCCTTCGCATATGCTGGTTGGATCGGTGGAACGGCTCTCATTGTATTTATGGGCTTCTTGAATTGCTATACGTCAGTCGAACTCGCACTAGTGAACTATGTTCTCCTACTCATCGCACAGCAACAGTGCTAAGATTCTTGCTGGTATCATCTTGGAAGACCCTCGCTTGAGGTCATACGCCGATATTGGTCGCAAGGCGTTTGGTCCAAAGTCAATTGCCTTGACCACGATTATGTTTTGTCTTGAGCTTTTTGCCGTCAGGTCAGCGTGTTTTCTGAATGACTTGATCATATTGCTCATGTTTCTTTAGCGTTGCTTTCGTCACTCTAGCCGCTGACTCCATGCACGAAATCATGCCAGCGTATTCTTCAAACACGTTCAAAATTGCGTCCATAGTCGTGTAAGCGTTACTTCCTGATACTGTCAACACAATTCTCATGGTTCTTTGACCATTTGAACGATAGATTGGCGCCGCTGGTTTTTCTACCGCTCTCTATACTCTCTTATACCTCGATATTTGGCATCTGTTCGACGCTCCTTATCATTGCTGTCATTTTCATAGATGGCTTTTCTAAGCCGGATGCTCCTGGTAGCCTCTGGAGTCCGGCCGTGACGTCATGGGGGACTGGCTCCATGACAGAGCTTGGAATTGCCTTTGGCTTGCTTATGGCTGGCGTACTGTCTAATCTTTCATACGGTTCCCGAGACATGTCGCTCATCGTCAATGTTTTAGTTCTCTGGCCATGCTGTAATACCATCGCTGGCCCGTGATATGGTTGATCCTTCCGAGTTTGATAATATGATCAACTGGGCATTCGTGAGTAGATTTGCTACAGGTTTCTTTTTTAACTTGTTGTTCACCATTTCCCAATCTCAATAGATCGTTACCACATTCATCTATGGGATCATCGGTTATGCTGGGTATTTGATGTTTGGACGGAACGTGAGCGACGAAGTGAGCTTTTATGATCTCAACCTTTGGATGACAACCCGTGACGTTGACGACGCATTTAGGTCAGCAAGGACCTCATGAACACTCCTGGTTATACCTCATGGATCAATGAAATCGCACTATGGACGTTGGTGTCAACCCCTATGTGAGTTTTGGAAATTGTCCACCTTTCCTAACACTGACACTTTTGTCAACAGCACCAAGTTTCCTCTCAGCACGCGGCCAGTGAGTGATACGCACTTGTCCTAGAGGACTGAACATTGATGTGCTTCCGTCTAGCTTAACGTCATCCTCGAAATCATGCTCGGTATAGATAATCATGCACCATTGCAGGGCGGTATCAAACCCCAGCTGGACACTCAACTTTCTACCGCTCATCGGCTTTTTAATCGTGTATTCTTCATTGTCGAGCGCATATCTGTCCCCGCGCTGTCTATTTTGGTGTCGATCCTCGTTCCAGAGTTTAGCTCCCTTATGGCCTTCCTCGGTTCATTCTCGGCCTTCATGATCTGCGTCATTGGTCCTATATCGGCCAAAATTGCCCTTGAGGGAAGGTGTAGTTTGGTTGATGCTTCATTCCTCGCAATAGCCACCGTGATGGCAACTTGGGGTACACTCGCTGCATTTTGGACAGCGTGAAATTCTCGTTGGTTTCGGAGAAATACAGACGGAAATCCTTTTGGCAATTCATTAGTGCGCTTTGAGTCTCAAACTTCATTTTTTTCCACTTGCGTTTCTCGATATATCACGCAGATACGTACTATACATCGTCGTCCAGTTGCATCACATCCATCGACATCATATTAAGCGAGTAATGTACAATGTACACGCATATTGGAAAGTCATCATTTGACCTGCACAGTATGCGAAATGACCTTGCTGAGCTCTACAAATAATCAAATAAATCGATGATGATCTAAAAGTCGCAGCAAATGGAAACTCACGTGGAAGCTTGATATGCTCTTGAATGACGATCGATTCAATCTGATTGTCAGGGTTTGGCGGTATGCTGACCACGCCAGTGGATGAATCAAACGTCCATCGTTGTTTTGCGACCCATGCCTCTAGCTCTGGTCCTATAAAAATATGAAAAGCTGAACGGAAGCGACACGTGGTTCATAGCAAACCTGATAGATCCACATAGGTTCCCAACCTCTCGCTGTTGATCCGCGTGAAAGTAGCCCTTACTGATCGCGCGGCGACTTCCCGGATGGCATCTTCGAACCCTGCACACTCCACTGTATAATTCTCTCTTATGACCTCCAACTCATCGGACCGGTACAGTACCCAAAACGCGGAGAAACGGCACTGGTGAAGAAGGTTGTAGAGATTCATGAGAAGCGGTAAAAGCGTAGGCAATGGGTCGGGCTCGTCGAGCGCAGAATTTGGTGGCCGGTCATCGAGGAGAGATATGCAGAGGTTGAAGTCTGGAAAAGGCTCTGCTGTAAGAGCTTTGAGTAGGATATTAATGACAACGTCAGGATTGAAAAGGTCAGGGTTGAATTGGTAGCTGCGACCAAGGTATCGATATTTGAGCTTCCAAGATGAATCACATAGAACTTACAGCTTCAATATAGCCAGGTTAGCAAGGCAGTCATACTCCTCACTGCGGATCTGGTGGTAGAGGTAATCCTCGAGAATGCCGACATTTGATGGGTTGTAACGGTCTGGGATTGCATATGAATGCCAGATCGATTGTGAAGAATTTATGATTACCCACCGACACCGGATACCAAATTTTCAATCAGCTCTGTCCGCGAAGGAGGCGAAAGCCACGCTGCTGTTGCTGCCATCGCCGCGTTGTTTTTGAAGGATATGTATATTAGTGGAAGAGCAAAAACTAAAAAATTGATGGACCCCAGACACCGGGACTTCGTTTAACATCCTAACCCTATGTACAGCGCTGCACAGTGTCACAGTACTTGAGGTCCCCCCATCCTTTGAGCACGTCTCACAACAACACATTTTTTCTTTGGATCGTATTTAACCATTACTTTCTAATACATAAACTACTATATGTATTGAAATCACTGGCGACACGTCCTGATATAGCATATGCAATTCAGAGACTTAGCTCGTTCACATTGAAATCTTAGAATGACCCATTGGTCCCGGTCAGCGCTTCAGCAGCGAAACGAGTATTAAGATACCTAGCTGGAACACGAAATCTTGGGATAAAATACCAAGGACAAAATTCTACAAACGTCAAGATGATCAGATTTGAGGGATGGGCAGACGCAAATTAGGTTAATGTCGATATCTGGATATGTCTTCAAATTAAGCGAAGGAGCTATTACCTGGAGTTCCAAGAAGCAGAATGCTGTTTCGCTGTCGTCAACAGAAGCAGAATATACAGCAACGGCACATGCAGCGAGAGAAGCGGCATGGCTTAGAATTGGTTCAAAATGAACCAACGATCCTATGATATGGAGACAACATGGCAGCATTAGCAATCGCGCGCGTCGATATCACGCGAAATCAAAACGTTTTGATGTGAAAAGTCAATAAGATTCGCGAAGGGGTGGAGACGTACGAACAATCAGAGGACATGGTTCGTGCGTCGACTAGTCATTACGAATGCCAAGATGTATGAACTGTAAGTTCACGTTCCCGCTAACGTAGTACCTGGGCCGCTAGCGATGGTTTCTCCTATACCGATGCCGTGTGTCTGTCATGATCAAACATACAGGTATGTACTCGCGAAGGCTAGACCCTAATAGAATAACGGAAAAAGCCGATTCTGCTCCTATGTACTGTATCGTTATGATACTGCTCGGAACCTACTAAGTTACAATACTTTGAACTCGGATCAACTCAAAACTGACTCTAGTTAACATAGCAAGTCTCTCTACATACACTAACCTTTTCTAAAACATGACTGCAGGACCAGATTCGCACTAGCCCAAAGAACATTTTTCAGGGGTTGGCCAAATTTTGACCAGTCGAAAAGTTGGACCTAGGGATTGGCTCGTGCAAATCACTTCGTAATGTCCTAAATACAATGTCTGTGGCGTTAAATGCCTATTATACTGTAAGTCGTTCTCTGAGCGAATATTTGAAATGAAAGATTGATACTTTGCAGATTCAGAGCCGATGACACTCATCCTTCGTTCGTACCTTGCGCGCAGACTCCCTATTTGTCATCCCGTGCTTTCGTTTCGGCTCCCTCGGTCTTCGTATCGGTTCGTTACATGCTTTGGCTAGTGCAATCTTTCCAAAAAAACTCGAGTCCGTAATCAATCCCTGGACTATCCCAAACTGTGCTGCTCAATGAGCAGGTAAAGTTGTGATGATGCGACACTAAAATGTCTATGCACGTCGCGCGTCAGCCTTCGCCTGGATCTCCTGTTGAACCTTAGTTCAATAGTATTTTCCGAACAACCGCACGCGCCCTTTAAAACTGTGCCCTTGTCATTGGACACATACCAAACAGTATCCTAGATTCAGATATGACATCCTACACATCGCGTGCTGGAGTACCCTTCACTTCTAGCTCTGTGGATAGTTCTACAGGCAGCATGGGGGGCATTATCGTTTCATGTGCGTACTAAAATTGTCTTCTACTGATCTACAGTCAGACTTACTCCAAATGCAGACCGTCGCTCCCAATTTTTTGCCAGTTCAAATATACCATATAACGCTCATTTTTCTGACGAGGGGTCGGATGAAGAGGCTTGCATTGGAGAAGAGGACGAGGAAGGCGAGTTAGTTCCAATACCCATGGATGATATGACAGAGTTCTGGGACTGGGACGAAACGTCGCGTCCAGTCTTACAACGTGCACGAACCTTTATCCCCCAACGGCCTATTGAGACACGAGAAATCACTGCTACTAGCGGAAGTCAACTCGCTCGACCAACCAGTGATGAAGCTGCTCCTTTACTGCAAGCATCTCCCACATCTAATCAAGTCAGTTATGGGGGATCTGATTCAGACACGTACGTCGAGTCACATGGCCCAACAGATCGATCTATACTACGGCGCAAGTCGTCAGGTACCCTGAGGAAACCACATAACTACGGAGGACAAAGTACCTACGGGCAGACAGTAGGTTGTTATTCGATCGTAAATATCTCTGCTCATTCCGATTGGTCGCTCAGTTATTCAACAGCATCGCGATATTATTGGGCATTGGAGTACTATCTGAGCCCCTAGCCTTCGCATATGCTGGTTGGATTGGTGGAACGGCTCTCATTGTATTTATGGGCTTCTTAAATTGCTATACGTCAGTCGAACTCGCACCAGTTAACTATATTCTCCCACTCATCGCACGCAACAGTGCTAAGATTCTTGCTGGTATCATCTTGGAAGACCCTCGCTTGAGGTCATACGCCGACATTGGTCGTAAGGCGTTTGGTCCAAAGTCAACTGTCCTGACCACAATTATGTTTTGTCTTGAGCTTTTTGCCGTCAGGTCAGCGTGTTTTCTGAATGACTTGATCATATTGCTCATGTTTCTTTAGCGTTGCTTTCGTCACTCTAGCCGCTGACTCCATGCACGAAATCATGCCAGCGTATTCTTCAAACACGTTCAAAATGGCGTCCATAGTCGTGTAAGCGTTACTTCATGATGCTGTCAACACAATTCTCATGGTTCTTTGACCATTTGAACGATAGATTGGCGCCGCTGGTTTTTCTACCGCTTTCTATGCTCTCTTATACCTCTATATTTGGCATCTGTTCGACGCTCCTTATCGTTGTGGTCGTTTTCATAGATGGCTTTTCTAAGCCGGATGCTCCTGGTAGTCTCTGGAGTCCGGCCGTGACGTCATGGGGGACTGGCTCCATGACAGAGCTTGGAATTGCTTTTGGCTTGTTTATGGCTGGCGTATGTCTCATCTTCCATACGGTTCCTGAAACATGTCGCTCATCGTCGATGTTTTAGTTCTCTGGCCATGCTGTAATACCATCGCTGGCCCGTGATATGGTTGATCCTTCCGAGTTTGATAATATGATTAACTGGGCATTCGTGAGTAGATTTGCTACGGTATCTTTTTTAACTTATTGTTCACCATTTTCCGATCTCAATAGATCGTTACCACATTCATCTATGGGATCATTGGTTATGCTGGGTATTTTATGTTTGGACGGAACGTGAGCGACGAAGTGAGCTTTTATGATCTCAACCTTTGGATGACAACCCGTGACGTTGACGACTAGTGTACGGTCAATTTGGAACTGTCCGAGATTCACAGGGTAAATTTACAATGCGCCCAGAGGCCTTCAAATTCACCACTGTGAATTACCGTAAATTAACATGTCTGTAAATTAACGCTATTTTACAGGTGAATCAGGTCAAATGTACTGTGAATTACAGTGAATTAGGTGAGTTATTCAACTTTCCACTCGTCCCAAGCATAAGGGTCAGGGACAGACGGAGACAAGGTTTTTGCGGCCTTCTTTGTTGGTGCGGAACCCAGCTGTAAAGGTTATTTTCCGACTGAATCAAGCAGTTCACGTAGGTAGGGTGCACGCAAATCAATACCGCTGGACGCTGCAAGCACGAACGAATCTTTTTCCGCTGTCCTAAACTCTGAAAGAGCAGCTGGACCGTCCAACCAATCTGCGCCGTCATCAAACTCCTCTGAGTCCGAGTCCGAGTCCACTGTCCTTGCTTCAGGTGGAGGAGGCATTCGACCAGCGGGAGGCAAATCTTCAGCAGAACGCTTGCCAAGGATAGTGGATTCCATATCACGCCACTTGACGAGAGGTTTGTATGGTGTTTTTAGTTTCTGTGTAGTCAGTATGAGACTGAGAACTTAACACGCGAAAAAATGTTACTCACATTAGAATCAAAACGATGCCAATGATTGTCGGATTTTAATATGATCTTGAAGAGTACCAATTTCCTGCCTACTTCGGCGCGGAGAGTTGAGCCAATTAATCGTTGACATGGTGCGTTCATCGACCTTTGTTATGCTGACCCATGCGCACTTCGAGTTCATGGTTCACTGCGCCGATGGGACCATAATCCTGGATCTTTTCATCATCCAAAGCGAAAAAATCGAAGCCATACTGTGGGATCGAAGGGTTTGCATAAGGAATGGTTTCGGGGAGATTTCAGATTCACCACGGAGACGCCCGATTGGCAAACGCCAAATTCACCCAAATTTACACCCCCAAAATGCCCTTCTGAGATTCACATGCTGATTAACGCTAATTTACAGGTGTAAATTTACGCCTGTAAATTTACACCCCTCTATTTGACCGCACACTATTGACGACGCATTTAGGTCAGCAAGGACCTCATGAACACTCCTGGTTATACCTCATGGATCAATGAAATCGCACTGTGGACGTTGGTGTCAACCCCTATGTGAGTTCAGAAGTTGCCCACCTTTCCTAACACTGACACTTTTGTCAACAGCACCAAGTTTCCTCTCAGCACGCGGCCAGTGAGTGATACGCACTTGTCCTAGAGAACTGAACACTGATGAGCTTCCGTCTAGCTCAATGTGATCCTCGAAGTCATGCTCGGTATAGATAATCATGCACCATTGCAGGGCTGTATCAAACCCCAGTTGGACACTCAACTTTCTAACCCTCATCGGCTTTTTAATCGTGTATTCTTCATTGTCGAGCGCATATCTGTCCCTGCGCTGACTATTTTGGTGTCGATCCTCGTTCCAGAGTTTAGCTCCCTTATGTCCTTCCTCGGTTCATTCTCGGCCTTCATGATCTGCGTCATTGGTCCTATATCGGCCAAAATTGCCCTTGAGGGAAGGTGTAGTTTGGTTGATGCTTCGTTCCTCGCAATAGCCACTGTGATGGCAACTTGGGGTACGCTCGCTACATTTTGGACAGCGTGAAATTCTCTGGTTTCGGAGACATGCAGACGGATACCCTTTTTGGTAATTCATCAGTGCCCTTTGAATCTCAAACTTTCCCTTGCGTTTCTCGATGTATCACGCAGATACGCCGGTCCTTTAGCCACCCCTACTCCTTGAGCCACCTCAGGCATTTGTTCATTTTTTCGTGTCAACACTAAATAATACATTAGAGATGAGGCCTAGGTCTCACCCAAGGTTGTTATAGTAATTTATGTTTACAATGTTGTGTATCGTAGTATAAATTGGTTGTTTTTGCCTACCTTTGCAAATTCTATTAAGGCCATGGTATAGACCCATTGATTTGTTTTAGGAGAATCAGGCTGATAGCATATGAAATATATACTTCAAACATCATTTCACCCTGCAACAGATATCTTTGTTTGTGCTACAGAGTACATAGAAGCGAAACAGACTTTGTGATTAGCGAGCGTGTCACGGCGTGTGGCGCTCAAAGTTGACATCTAAATCTAGGGTTGGACTAGGGAACTCGAAGATAACGGTGTTGTCAATGATCTTGGTACAACACACTCGCATCGTCGTCGATAGCTCTCGATGTTTTTTTCTAGCATTTAAATGTATATTGAAGTATGACTATCTATTACGATTTTCGAAAAACTGACCTGCTGTACAATGGGAAAATGTGGTGGCTAAAGGAACGGTCCTACATCGTCGTCCAGTTGCATTAGCAAGGCAGCCATTACTCCTCATTGCGGATCTGGTGGTAGAGTCCTCGAGAATACTGACATTTGATGGGTTGTAACGGTCTGGGATTGCGTATGAACGCCAGATCGATTGTGAAGAATTTAGAATTACCCACCAAACACCGGATACCGGATTTTCAATAAGCTCTATCCATGAAGGAGGCGCAAGCCACGCTGCTGTTGATGCCATCGCCGCGTTGTTTTTGAAGGATATGTGTAGTGGAAGAGCAAAAACTAAAAAGTTGATGGACCCCAGACACCGGGACTTCGTTTAATGATTGATCCATGAGTCCTTTTCAATAGTAGCATCGTCTGTGCAGGTACGTAGTACCACCAAACTGAAGACTGACATTTTATTCACCCAGCAACTTTTTAGTTGCTGATGGCAGCCGAAGACAATTGTTCGATGAACGGGCCTAACGGAGACACCCTGCAAACTGATGTCGTTGTGTCAAATGAGAGCTCAGACGAAGGGGTCGAGGAAACAACTTCAAACCATCATCTTCCGAACGGGCGCATGCAGTCTACGCCTGTTCCAGATGCACCAACGCCGAAGACAGACAGATCAAGGCCACAATATGCAGTAAAGTACATTCTGAGCGGACACACTATGGCAATATCCTCCCTCAAGTTCAGTCCAGACGGCACCATGCTTGCTTCATCAGGTGCGCCTCTTTGCCCCACTAAATAATTGCGCGCTGTCGACCCTGAAATCTTTGGAAGCAAGCCGCGGACAAACTCGTGAAGTTGTGGGATGCATACTCAGGAGAAATACTGAGAACTTTCGAAGGCCATACTGAGGGTGTTAATGATGTCGCCTGGTCCAACGATGGGGAACTTCTTGCTTCCGCATCGGATGATAAAAGTATTATACTTTGGAGCTTAGAGACGGTGCGCTGCCTCTATTTCGGTCCTGCCCGCCATTAAATCTTTTATTTCAGAATTCTGCTGTGAAAACCCTACTGGGGCACACCAATTTCGTCTTTTGCGTCAACTTCAATCCCCGATCTAATCTTATGGTCACCGGAGGATATGATGAAACTGTTCGCGTCTGGGATGTAGCAAGAGGTCCGTCGATTTCACTTACGCATTGAATATCAGCCGAACGATTATTAGGGAAATCCTTGAAAATTCTTCCTGCCCACTCTGATCCTGTGACTGCTGTCAGTTTTAATCACGACGGAACGCTTATAGTATCCTGCGCGATGGATGGACTGATGTAAGTACATCAGGCTATTGCAAGGTATTTCCCTGACGAAATGTAGACGAATTTGGGATGCTGATTCCGGACAGTGTTTGAAGACTATTGTTGATGACGATAACCCCATATGGTGAATGCTTTTCGTCATGCTTTCGTGTGGTATTGACTCGGTGCTCTCAGTTCACATGTCAAATTCTCTCCCAACTCGAAATTTATCCTATCAGCAACCCAGGACTCGACAATCAGGCTTTGGGACTACCAGAAGACACGTTGCGTCAAAACGTACACTGGTCACACTAACAGGACATATTGTCTGTTCACTTGCTTCAGCACCACTCAGGGATTATACGTAGTGAGTGGTAGCGAGGACGCAAAGATATATATGGGACTTGCAGAGTCGCGAAGTGCTACAGGTTCTCGAGGGCCATAGAGGTACATTTCTTTAGTTCCACTGTGTTCAATAGCTGATGTGGTTTGCGCAGATGCTGTCTTAGCAATTGCGGTAAGAAAAGCCTCGGTATAAGCTTGTCATAGACTGAAATTACCACTCAGACTCATCCTATTCGTAACATCATGGCTTCTGCTTCAATGGAGAAAGACTTGACTATTAGGTTGTGGTATGACGAATGAGTTGACTCGTTCCAAATGTGCAGTTTAACAAAGACACCGGATCTCATTAATATTGAAAACAAGAATAGTCGACTTGGGCGGCCACAGCATGTTTTAGCAAAAATATTACTAATCTCAGCAAAGATGTGGGCTCAGCAGAATTTTTTGGGGAAGGATGGTGACGTGCTTGCTGTAAGTATAGCCTGTCGGCAGTGCACTTGACACTACCACAATTAGGCGGGCTGTGGTCCAGTGGCGTGTATGGGGTTGTATGAGGCTATTTAAACTCCGCTCCGTAGTATATAAGCACATTACTCATCTAGTGTCATTAACGTTAGCATCTCACCAACACTCACAACCTCCTCATACTCTCAGCTTCAGGTTAGTCCTTGATCGCTTGCTTCTACATGTATGTGAGACTGATGATGAGTTTACAGGATGCAGATTTTTGTCAAGACCCTCACCGGCAAGACCATCACGTTAGAGGTCGAGTCTTCTGACACCATTGATAACGTTAAGGCCAAGATCCAAGACAAAGAGGGGTGCGTATGCCATCTCAAAGATCGAGACTAGCAGCTGACCGTCGTGTCGCAGTATTCCTCCCGACCAGCAGCGTCTTATCTTCGCTGGCAAGCAACTTGAAGATGGTCGTACGCTGTCGGATTACAACATCCAGAAGGAGTCCACCCTTCACCTAGTCTTGCGTCTCCGCGGAGGCATGCAGATCTTCGTCAAAACCCTCACGGGTAAGACCATCACGTTGGAAGTCGAATCTTCCGACACCATCGACAACGTAAAGGCCAAGATTCAGGATAAGGAAGGCATTCCTCCTGATCAACAACGCCTCATCTTTGCTGGAAAGCAGTTGGAAGACGGCCGCACACTCTCAGATTACAACATCCAGAAGGAATCCACCCTTCACCTCGTACTGCGTCTCCGTGGAGGCATGCAAATCTTCGTCAAGACCCTCACGGGTAAGACCATCACGTTGGAAGTCGAGTCTTCCGACACCATCGACAACGTAAAGGCCAAGATTCAGGACAAGGAGGGCATTCCTCCTGACCAGCAACGCCTCATCTTTGCTGGGAAGCAGTTGGAAGATGGCCGCACACTCTCAGATTATAACATTCAGAAGGAGTCCACCCTTCACCTCGTACTGCGTCTCCGTGGAGGCATGCAAATCTTCGTCAAGACCCTCACGGGTAAGACTATCACTTTGGAGGTGGAATCATCCGACACCATCGACAATGTGAAGGCGAAGATTCAGGACAAGGAGGGCATTCCTCCTGACCAGCAACGCCTCATCTTTGCTGGAAAGCAGTTGGAAGATGGTCGTACGCTTTCGGATTACAACATCCAGAAGGAGTCTACGCTTCACTTGGTCTTACGTCTGCGCGGAGGCATGCAAATCTTCGTTAAGACCCTCACGGGGAAAACCATCACCTTGGAGGTTGAGTCATCTGATACTATCGACAATGTGAAGGCAAAGATTCAGGACAAAGAAGGCATTCCTCCTGACCAGCAACGCCTTATCTTCGCGGGAAAGCAGTTGGAAGACGGTCGTACACTCTCTGATTATAACATTCAGAAGGAGAGCACCCTTCACCTTGTTCTACGTCTTCGTGGTGGTTGTTAGTTTGGGCGTTGTCGTGGCATCCCTGTAATTACGGATATTGATTGTACCATTACCCTTCCCATGATACTTCGAATGTATACATGTTTCCTGCAGTGGAATTCGACGATTTGCAGAACCTCCACCTGGAGTCAGCATTCCTGGATGCACCCCATAACATAATGTAAAACCAAATGTACTACGGTGAAGATGGGGAAACGGCAGGGGCCTTTCTACGCCTTTTCCTCGTCCTGGTCGAGGCAATGTTTTGGGCCGCATTGGTCATTCCTACACTTTGTTCTTCGCACTTATCATCCTGAGAATCACGTTTCCGTTTCTGCCCTGGCAATTGAGCAGTGCTCGAGGAAGTATCTAATGACTCGGCCTTGGTTTTTTGCGAAGGTCGGGTGGAGGTTTCTGGATTTGAATTCTTTTTCTTCTTGACGCTCAGAGGATTGGGCCCCTTTGGGCCCTTCCTTTTCTTTGGCACTGGTTTATCCCGGGGTACGGTCGCAAGCTCTGGGGCAGACGGACGAAGCGATTGTTCCTCAGTCTAGCAGCAACATTAAATTTAGACGTGATTGTATTTCGAGAGATCCTACCAGCTCCTTGGCTTTCAGCGTAGCTTCGCTCGGTGGCTCGAGTACCATGACCGCGCGATTTATATGAATTACAGGTACCGCAGGTATGATGCGCAGTCCATTTCGCAGGGATTGCGATTGCGTAGCGACCACATACCGGTGCTTGTTGGTATCCCCTTGATGAGCAGGTACAGTGATCAGATCCTGTGAGGGACCATAGGGATGGGATGGTGCGCACCTACTACGCCCGAGAGGCATTCGTCTCCAGGGATAGCCTCTCGATGGTTGCATTTTCGGCGTTCAAACGTCTTTGCGAGGTCAACGGCAGGTTGCCGCGCTTTTCCTTGGAGATACAGCTCGTGCATACAGCATTGCGTGATCACTGAAAATACACTTGTCAGACGTTTAGCAAACGACATTGCGGGCGTGCGAGAAGACTCACTTGGTTTCACATTTCCCTGTAGTACGGTAGAAAACTGTTTGATGAGATCTAGCTTTGCATCTATAGCTATTTGGCACATTTCCGAGTCCACTGTGGAAGGACTTAGGGTGATGCAAACTGTTTGTCACACTATGGACATACCGAGAATCTGATAAGGCTGTCTGAATCCAAAAGACATGGAATACAGATGCATTAGTTTGCGGTATGTCTTGGCCCGCTTTTGACGCATCGTTGTTCGGTCTGCTGTTGCAAGCAGAGGACAGTATCATGCATTTGCACCATATTGATCTTGGATTGTTGTTTGGTGTTGTTGTCTTCCAAAGGGAGTCGTAGCCGCCAACTTGAAGCGTTTGGCGCGTGGATAGTAATGAAGATGGTGCGCACCCTTTCGTTGTTGGGCTTCCTTCTCTCGTGGTCAAGGCAAGTCCAATAGCTTTGTCTCTAATACTGCACTTATTGTCCTCTCTAGTATCACCTTTGCCGTAGAATTACACGGGTACATACAATGGAATAAGCTGTGTCCTGGTGAGTCCTCCGTACCGACTGCGTGGCATGCACCTCACATCGCAGTAATCAGACTACGGGGCGCTTGCATCTGCTAAGGTCCTTCTTGATGCAGGAAAGATGTCAGGACGCGTCACACACAATGGAAACTTTTCAATGTAAGGCTGTGTTTCTCTAGAGCACGTTTCCATCTTCACCTCGAACTTGCACAGACTAGATGTCCCCCCAGGGACATATGTTCTCTCCGTACTATCCCATGATTATTCGTTTGACCATGTAAGCCCTCCCTCTGTGTTTTCGGGCGGTGCTCATGAGACCCACCTAGGTTCGAATAGATGTCTCTCCTTCCGAGACTCTGCCAGAAGTCCGACCGTACATATTCGGCACTCCTCTGCTTACGACGACCTCCTTTAACCTTCCATATCCAATCGTGCTGACCCCCCGTCACAAGAACAGATACTTCTCGCCTCACGAATCCTTCAATCTCCTGGGGATGTTCCAGAGCCCAATGATGATGATCATGGTATTGACTGGCGTGATGATGCTTGCAATGCCCTATATCGTGGTGAGCTTATGTGTGTATGATTTGTTTCCCGCCCTCATGATGGTGCAGAAACAATTGGACCCGGAAACACTCGACGGACTGAAAGGACACTCGACGGCTGCGAGTATAGAGAAGTCTATCCAGAATGGCGATCCCAGAGGGTACGTATCCATTGTATGCAATCCACGAGTTGACATGCCTATATACAATAGGCTATCTGCTCTTCTCTCTGCTGGTGAAGAAACTAAAGCAAGCACGCCTGTCGCAAAGTCCAATACAGGCCCCTCAACGCTTCAACAACGGAAAGGTGGTAAAGGCAATAAACGCCGATGACATATACTCCTACATTTCTTTCATAGAAGGGGAGAAGTGGCTGTGGTTGAAATATAATGTATTACATGCGTGAAACTACGTCGGGTGTGGTGATCTGGGCCGTGAGCTAGACCGAGATGGCGGGATACCACCGGCCTTCCTGATTCCGGGGTAATCGAAGACACAACGAAGCACCGTATTTCTGTGAAGATTATAGAGCCTGAGACTTGACAGTTAAACTGAGCAGACCTCTGTTTGAACCGAGCAACTATTGCTTGAGGATTCTGTAAGGAGACATGGGATGACTCCATGCTCAAGCTGAGGAGGAAAACTAAGTCTCATCAAGTCGACTGGCAAAAAAGGAACCACTCACTGGTCGTCAGAAGTGGATGTAACTTCTAAAACATACATATTATCGTTCGCGCTGTGTTCCTCATTGGCGCTAGCGCCAGGTGCCACAGACACCTTGACGCCTGTTACAGCCATGTGACTAGAAGTGCTCTGAACCGTTGGTGTGTCTCCCTTTGCTGGATCATGATTTAACACAAGGACATGCTCGTCAGGATGACGCGACAAGAGGATCAAAGGTGAGTCGTCCGCATAGCGATATTCTATGCTTGCATGCGCGAGGGAGTTGGAACTAAGACCAGAGCTGTGCTGAAAAGACGAATGAGACACCAAGAGGTAGTAGGGTGGTTCCGTAGAAGTCGTCATGTACGTTGTCCTAAGTCATAACTGCAGTGTTGGACGATAGTTTTACGTAATACACTTGGCAAGACACTTTGTGCATGTCATAGTAGTTGAATGCGAAAACCATCACTTCGAGCGCGAGCTTGGATCTCTGACATCTGCTATGCGCTCCTTGTCCTTGTTACTGGTTGTTTCTTTGCCATATCATGTGCCTTGTTGTTGTCGCAGGCCATCAGAACTTCACCTATCAGGTCTTGGACAAACGACTGGGATGCTGTAATCATTGCAGCAACATACTTGCTTGTGGTAAGCTTTGTTTACAAAATGTAGGTAGCTTCTCATGATAGCGCTGTTCAATTGTCTGTAGTGCATCATATCCATCGCCCTCTGTGTGAAACGGCGAATTGCAGTGCGTCGCCGATTGCAGAGGATTGCGAAGACGCACTATTCGATCGTTAGGAAGGAAGTTCCTCAGGTGCGTAAAATTATTAAGTTTTAAGATGTAGGCATGTGCTCTAAATATCCGTAAAGCCCGTTCATGAGTATATTTCACAAGAATTTGCGCGTTCTTGCTTGGTGGCATATGAATCACAGCCACGCAACACAGTCCACAGTGGGTGGGGTAGACCAGGTAAGCATGGGATCATGTTCTCTGATCATTGGTTTCCGAACGTACGGCAGGAACTAGACTTAGCGGTATTCGTTTTCGACGCGCTCTTCTTGATACGATCGCGGAAATTGGTGGGCAACACTACTTCTGCACATTATGTAGTTTTGATCTGGTCAGACGCTCGAGCACGTCTCATTATACCTAGTCATCCAAATTTGAAACCCCATGCACGCATGCTGCATCATTTCAGGTTTCTTCTACCACTCCTGCCAAAGGATGAAGATGGCCTCTCGGAATTGCATTACTACGATTCAGCCATACAACTTGCGCGAACGGTAGACAGGGAACCAACGGAAGAAGAATATCAGCGGGGAATGGACGCTGTTGCTTCCATTTTACAGATGTGCGTGTCATCCCAGTGTTTGTTTAGAAACGTTGTACTGACTATTGCAAACAGGTTGTGGGAGTGCAGGTCGGAGATGCTGGAAGAGTCCAGGATGCAAACGAATAGCGTGATTTCATGAAAGCCTCGTCTTAGATGACACACAATCGGTCCATATCCGCCAACTCCTTATCCTTGTACTCTATCGCATGGAGCGTCCGGCGCTGGACATTTTTAGAACATCTCCGTATTTAAATAGCATGTACGCAAGTAATTCCAAGCATATCCACCTGCCACATGCTACCTAATTTATTCCAACGGTAATAAACCTTCATAGGACAGTCGCCATCAATGAGAGACATTCATGAATGGTCCAGAGTAGAAGTATGAATCCTTGCCGTCATCTCATGTATCACTGATTTTTCTAAGGTTTAGTATGGTCTCCTAGGCGGGGGCCTTGCGCCTCTCATAGCGAGCTTTAACACGTAGTTGCGGTCCTTCGCAGTATTACTGATGCTCGTTTCTGTCATATACCTGCGTACTGTTGGTAAATTTCCGCGTAAATGATGTACATGTTTCGTGACAGCAGGACAGTGCAGAGCGCAATTAGGCTCCCCGCTGCATATAATGAGATTTCGACTCGTCCATTAAAGACTACTCCTGTACAAGTAATATATGTAAAATAATGTATATGATTTCTCGTCACTAGTATCTGGTTGATCCGTGATCTAAAATACGCTTTCAATGCAGTCCATTAGCATACACCTCTTGCCAACTCTTCCGCTTACTCCATGCTGTCCAGTATGACACAACTTTTTCCGGAGTTGGCTTACCCAGCTCTTTCTCGATAGCACGTATACCATCCTTGCTCGAGTCTGCTCCACCAGCAACGAAGACAATGCGCGCCAGCCAGGCCGCAAGATGGAAGTCATCTTCACCGGGTTTGTCGCCTCCAAGGAAACCGCCCTCCGGAAGCATGTCAGGGAGTTCTTCCAGAATGAAGGCCTTCAATGTGTCCCAGTGAGCCCTAGAAAACTCGAAGAAACTGTTCTTGACGTTCTCTGGTGCCTTGGATTGGTAGATCGACAGAACCTTGCCATTCTCAGCGATCTTCGTGTGGTAAAACTCCCGGTAGTCAGCGCTCTGGGAGGTTGCTGAGTGCTTTTCTAGTGCGCTTTGACCTAAGGCAGATAAGATAAGCTAGATACAGGGGTAACTCTGCAGTACTTACGGTTTTGGATGAACGTCATAGAAAATCCAGACGCTTTGCTTCGCAGTTCGTCCTCGTGACGCTGAAGTCAAAATTGTCAATAAGACATACCCCGTCTGATTGGAATGTGTCATACAGCTGACACCATGAGGAAATTCGGGTCGTACTGCTCTTCATGAATTTTGTGGATGAAGTCAGTCCCCGGGGCGACAGCGACACGGTTACTAGCGTGGGCCACAAGGTACGATGTCACATCAGCAGTACTGGTGTATGCCAAGTGTTGGTAATGTCCCTCGGGGATTCTGGTAGAGCGATAAGCGGTCAATATTTCTGTGGGGTGAAGACTTACGATCTTCAGGAAGGCAGGAGCAAAATTCTCACCCTCCGCGAGGTTCATGACCTTCTTCTCGATATCCTCTTGGTCGTATCCCAGCTCAATCCTGGGATAGAATCAGCGTTGCTTGGACGTGGCGCATCAGGAAAGCCGAGACTCACAAGGCAAGCTCTGGCACGGAAGCCCAGACGGAAGGACCAAATGTGTAGAGGATGGGGTTTGACATTTGTCAATATGAAGGATAAAATATCGGAATGATATGATATGGGAGAAAGCCAGGTACTGAGGACGCTGAGGAATAGTCTCCTGTCGCCGCCGGTCGGCCTGACACGTGACAGACAGGCAGGTAACAAGTTACAGTAGTGACTAGGACTGTAAGCTGGGTCTGGTTCAATATCTGACCAAAACACTGCTGGAGCAGGGCGCCGAGCATTGGCGCTGACAGGCTAAGTTATCAAGGGTTAGGCTGCATCACGGCGGTGCAACGTGGGTTCGCCTCAGTTTGTAGTCCGGCGAACCCAAACTCCTGCAGAACCGACCGTCATCCGAAGCCTTCGAGCTACTTCACCTGTAGCTACTGCACTCGCGAGGCCACAGGAGATTAGAACTTATTCAAACATGCCGATGTCCCGTGTTGGTTACGCAGTGGTCAGGGACTCTGCCATTCGTCATATGAGGTGTTTGCTCCTAAACCGCACGTCCCGCTGAGTATAAAACCAAAAGCCGTTACGATTACATTGCCAAATCTACTCCAAGCGGACCAAAATGTATTTAGAAAGCAAAAATCTGTAAAATGACGTTAGCAGATGGGACATCGGCGTTTGAGAGTGGCTTAATTACCTGGTCCTCCAACTTGCTGATTGTGCGAGGAGTAGAGTAATTGAGCTCTGCAAGATGTTTTCTATAAAGCGTTTGTTAATATGTTGCTCAAATTCAAATACCAATTCCACTTACTTCATGGCGGTGATCATCGGTGGTGGACCTGCGTGAGAACCATCAGCTACTTTTAACGTGTAAGAATGAACACCTGACTCACCGCACATAAGGACCTTGATATCGTGATTTGACGAAGGTATGTGTTTCTCGATCTGGTCCTTGGTTACAAAACCTGAACCACCATTCCAACCCTGCGGAGGATTGTTGAGTACATAGTAAATCTGGAAACGCTCGGGGTGGGCAGCAGCAAGAGCATCGAGCTCCTTTTTAAGAAGAATATCCTCAAAGTTGACGTTGGCGTAGATGAGGCTGAGCTTAGTCTTGTCTTCGGCATTCTTTAAGGCAGCACGGATGATCTGCAACATGGGCGTAATGCCGGTACCGCCCGCAATCATACCAATCTCGCGCGACAGCGTGGGGGTATACTTGAAAGCACCCTTCGGGCCACGAATGCGGACCTTGTCGCCAATCTTAAGAAGAGAGATGTAACGCGAAATGTTGCCCTTTTCATATGACTGCAGCCCGAATAAGAATGGCTAGTCAAGTCCTAAGTGGAAACGGCGACTTACTTTGATGAGAAGGTCGAAGTGGCCGAGGTCATCATCGCTGCTAGTCGGGGTATAGCTACGCATAATGTCCTTTCCGTTTATCTCTGCAGAAACCGAAATGTGCTGCCCAATGGGCAGGCCAAGGACATCCTGCGGGTGAGGCAGGGCAAACCGGTAGCTAAGCGGCCACAGCGGTCATTCAATGGTTAGCATGAAGGACAAACAATTGAACGCACATGGCGGTATTGGGCGAGATGTCGATCTTTTCTTTAAGTGAGAATTCTTGCCAAACCTGGGGGTTCAGTACTGGCTTGCGTTCTGTATTAGAAATGCGTTAGCGGAAAGACGGTGGCGAAGAGTATGAAACGGTCATTCAGACCACGAACGCACTCGACGAAGGGCCGAACTTGACGAAGATGAACACGCTGCTCGCCACCGCCAGTGCCAAAGCGATCACTTGCGTGTATGAACTGTCGATTCCGAACGCCATTGGGGTGCCGTTGGTATGGTCAGAGGACTGAGTGGTATTGAGTTTTGGTTCTAATCCGATAAGTATAAGTCGTGAGACGTCGTAACCAGCTTCTCTTAGCTTTGTTCGCAGCCAATGAAAGCTAAGTACAAGGACAGCTAACGTCGAAAGGAAAGAGACGGCGAACAGAGCTTGTTGGCGGTTCATGTTTCGATGGTTTCATAAGCACCACGTCAACACCACGTACGTACTAATCAAAACCTCCGAGTTTCAGTCTATCACGGTTAAGTATGGGGCTCCGGAAACGCTTAAGCAGACTTCTGTCCTCACACGAACTGCGCTTAGGTGGTTCCTCTGTGCACAAGTTACCAGTCTCGCATCAATATACTCAATGCTTGGCTGTGTCTGTTATCTTCGAGCACTATATATGGAAAGCAAATATTTATAATATTTGAAACGCGGCGCTTTAGGCCCTAGCACCACAATTCCAACTATAGTAAACACGACTCGCTCGATAAACCACAGACAAAAAAGGTGTGCAAAATGCAACTGCGAGTTCATCCAAGGTGTGAATGAAAAGGCAGTCTCGTCTCAAGTATCACTATACACAGCTTTAGTTTCGATGGCCAAAATAGCTAGCACTTGTTGTGGCTAATAGACGCTAGTACGTCGCAACAAAATGAAGGCGCAGAAATAGAACCGTGCACCACGGAGTAAGGTGAAAGTCGACAATGCCGAACCCTATACTGGTAGATATTTGTGTGAATCGGGTGCATTCTGAACGAGCTGGGATTTGAAAATAAGTAAGCGAGCAGTGTGCTCCTGGGGTATGGGGTAATAACTTGAGGATTATTTTGAACTCGAGAGGGATATGCCAGGGTTGTCGTGAAGATCCGAGGACTAGGGTTGACGTACCCAGCCAACTTGAACGGCTAGCACGGGAAGTGGGAAGTAATAGTAGTCGAAAGAGAAAGTTGACTTGACGGTGCAAGTTTCGAGTCATTTCGAGTGCGCCATCAAATAACACCGAAAATGGCGTGCTCTCTGGGATTGCCAGGCTCTCGTTAAGATAGGCGTCGTGATACTGATTGCATCATTAGTGTTCTTGATCTGTAGTGGGTCTGTGCAGTCAGTTGGGGAGAAGCGGAGTTACGCCACTGCCCGGGATGTCACCGTGACGGGTAGTGATCACATTGTACTGCCCAGGCTCGGCCATATTTGCCCCGAGCGCGAGTGCCATGTCAATTATTCTTAACACTCAGGTCGCGGCTAGTGACATAGCTGACAGACGTGACTACCAAGCCTAAAACAAGATCAGTCATTTCCCATGATTCAACGCAGGATAACCTAACCTAGAATGATAGTTACATTATCGGTTGAGACAGGTAGCCGAGTGATCAAGTACCTCTCAGCTAACACTGCTCGAAGTTGAGGAGCAGATGGACTGTTCCATTTTAGGTATTCAATTCATCGGGGGCGTCAATCGTTTTTGACTAAGGTTGAAAGCGAAAGCAGATTGGGTGATAACGCATCTTGTATATTGCCAATAAGATCGGATCGATACGCCGCAGTGCTGACGGACTTTACAAAGAGATTGAGCTTCGAAAGGATGTGTGGAGCTTGAAGGAGTCAGCCGAGAGCTACCTTTTCGCAGCAATGTGCGAGGATAACTTATAAGTCAACTTTGAGAAGGCTTCGTCTGCGTGTTCTGAAGTTCCGAACACGACTCGTCTGGAGAACCGGAACTGAAATACATGAACGTTGAACGTCCGCCGACGTTATCTGGTAAAATGAAAGTAGCGGAGCCGGATTAAATATATAAGCGATCGGAAAGGAGGATACCACGTTCCCCACACTATAGTGACGGGGCTGTGGTCACTGCGACCGCCATTAAAATGTTACACACACAAGTACAAAGAGCATGGATATTATTATGATTATGTAAGTGGATGGTCAAGTCACTTCTTCCGCTGTACTCGAGTTTCTCCTTGTTCCTGGTATCCGACCGTTTTCTTATTTTCTTTCTTTCTCTTCATCCTTGTGTTGTTTTACTGAAATTTATATTTTCATAGCACTTGAGCCTTGTGTTCAGGAATAACGGAGATCTTTTCGACTCCAACTTGATCAATCTAATCACCTGCAGGCAAGGTGACACGCTGGTCGTGTAATTCATATCTTTGACTCCTGTCATGCAATCCACCGAAAATCAATATTTACCGCAGTTGGTCCAGGCGTCATCTATGGCCACACGCAAAAGATGTCCCCCCACAGCCCTCCGCATTGACACTCCTGCTGAACACAGTCCCCTTATAGTTCTCGCAACGGACGAGGCCACCTCTCCATCTGCCCCCTCTTCTTCCGCTTCCGATTCCGCATCAAGCCCTCAGCTTCTTGCACATAAAAAACCAAGGTCACTCAGAAACATGAAAAAGCTGTCAATTAATCTTCCATCGGCTCAATCTTCGTCAAATTCTCTTGTCTCACCGCTCTCAGATTCCCTGAGTGCTATTGACACACAACAAGACCTTTACCAGGCTATTCGTCCTAGACGGCCGTCTGTGCTCTCCTTGCCAAATACTGGTATTGCCACTGTCCTTCATCGAACAGATGAGGATGGTTCTCCCACCGCACCATATGTGAATGGTCCCATTCAAATTCTTCCTGGGATCTGGCTTGGTTCTGAGGACAATGCGCGAGATTGGCCTGGCCTCCTGGAGCGCCGGATCAAGGCGATCCTCAACGTTGCAAAGGAAGTCACGTCACCTTTTGATTCTTCTGCTGCGCAACCCCTGCGACCTTTCGCATCAACTCCCAATCTTGGCTCCAATGCATCCAGGGCAACGCAATCCACGACCTCGACATATTACCCTGCCCATATTCCCTCTGGGCGTCCAGGCATGCATTACTTGAAGTTGCCTTGGTCTCACGGACAGGCAGATCTTGTCCAGGAAGGATTTCCTACAGCCATGACCTTTGTAGATGCTGCACTCAATCGTCATGAAGGCGTACTCATCCAGTGCGTAGTTTCGTAGATGTGTTGAATCTATAGTCCTCATGTTATGTGCAGTTGCCAATGTGGCATCTCGCGCTCAGCCACACTGGTCATCGCTCTTGTGATGCGTGCCGCTGCCATGTGTTTACCTAACGTACCCCCTGAGGTGTGGCAGCTGAAAGGCATGCAAGCAGCATACTCATTTGTAAAAGAGAAAAGTAAGCATGTTGGTCCAAACATGTCGTAAGCAAGCCTCGATTCTCGCCACTTGGTCTTCGATTTCAATGCTGTTTTAATTTTAGTCTCATTTACCAATTATTGGAATATGAAAAGGCTCTCAAAGGCGGCGGTCCCTCGCCCGCCGAATCAGACAAGTCTTCTTTCATCAGTGACGAAGAAAAGGAGTGGGGTCGTCGCCGTAACGCGTATGGTAATGATGAAACGGATGACAGAGACGATGCTATCCAACAGGAGGCTAAAGACCTCGACCGGGCTATGGAAGAACGCATAATCGCAAGGAAACCTTCGGTATCCTCCGTTGCTTCCTCATCGGGGGTGGGCATGGGTCCAGCGTGGCGCAGCCGATATGGGCGCAAGCGAACCGGCTCAGTTGCCAGCATCCATACAACCGGCAGTGTTCTAAGCGAGGATTTAGTTGAAGCGGACGAGGAGCAAGAGCTCTTAGGAATTGGTGGAGGCTTCGATGAAGCCACAGAACCTCGAAGAAGTCCGTGTTTGTCATTGTCCAGCGAATCGCCTGGCACAAGCGAACCTAGTACTCAACCTTCGTCTTGTAAAGCTTCGCTCCATCGCCCACCCTTACGAAGCAAATCGTTTGATCCCGTGCCTTCGGCACCTGCAACGAAACTTACATTCAATATTCATCAACCTCCTGGTACGGCAATGCAATCGACTTTCAACTTCCCTGCGGGCAAGGGCAAGCGGCGACCACCCCCGTTAGGCATACTACCCACGGTACCCCCTTCCCCCATCACACCTATCGCTGTACAAGACAGTCAAGAAACACCCCGTACCCGTCGCCGGACGCCGGCTCGCAAACCAGCGCCACCTCCGCTCAAACTCCGCGGAAACGCCAGTCAATTTGCATTTCCCCCGAAAACTACTCCACCACGACAAATTATTGCTGCGACGCCCTCTCAGACTTTGTTCGTCTTCCCACCTTCACCCACACATCTCACGACCGCATTGCGCACGCCATCTACCATGACTGTAACATCCAATGTACAGAACACTGCTTACCCATTCCCATCGCAACACACCCCGCGAGTATCCACCTCTCGCTCTCATGGTCGTATGAGGTCTTTTATTGGCGTCGGGACTTCGGTGGCACCGACAACGGCATATTCTCGCGTTGATGCACGAGGTTGGGTTGGATTTGAGTAAACGACACTGGTCTGCGACTTTGGCATCTGTTATGTTGCGTCGCTTCCTTTCGTACGCGCGTTCGCAGAAAGGCATAAATGACACATGTTGTATCATCTAGATCTGTTACGTAGGCCGTTGTTCGCATTTCGTGTTTGTCCTTCATGTTGTTGTTTTCATCTTCGTGTCCATTGTTTTCATTTGGACTGTCAGCATTTATTATTGCAACTTTCGCAATTGTGTAACACTAGCTATATCACAACTGGCTTTTGGAATCAAGTACGATGAATGAACTTTCAATCATCCATTCATCCGAACAATTTCCCAACGCTGTTCTTCATGGCGCCACTCAGGATCTGCCCACCTATGCCCCCCATTCCCATATTCCATCCAGAAGACGCGATACTATTCGCCCATCTTTGTTTTGCGTCCCTGTCTCTGAAAGCGACGTCTCTGAGCATTGAGCAACGTATAAAAGGCATAAACTGACGCATAGGTGAATCCAACAGCATTGGTGAGATTGAAGACAAGCGCTAGAGCCACAATGGGTATAAACCTGGCCAGATGGTAAGTAACGAACTGAGTGGCACACTTCTTTCCAACTCACGAGAGGCTGAAACGGAGAAAAGATACTACAAAAAGTAGCAACCAGAGTGCTGGAAACACGTAAAGAGCTATCTGCAAAGTGGCATGTGCAGGTGGTAAGTTTAATGTAGAAGTTCTGACTTACCCAGAACATCCTATTCGCACCATGGTCAGAGTAAACTCGACTTTCGTTGGTGGAAATGATACGCACTTGGCATCCACTGGATTTGCTGGTCTTGACGGCTAGCAGCGAGGAATGAGACAGCTAGCAGTAAAAGATTATAAATTCTTTCGTACGTCTCTGCTCTCGAATACCCAATAGCTCTCCCCGTCGTCATCCACCTGGTTCCAGAAACGCAGGCCAACGAGGGTACGACCAGCAACGTTCTTTGCACATCTCAGTCGGTTGTCAAACATGAGCCTCGCGAATGCTTACTCTACAATTCCAGAAGTCCATTGCAAGTAAGACGACTACCACCACCGTCTACGGGCAACCAGTGAGAAACGAGACATCCAAAAGGTCTGCCACTCACGGAAAGGACATAATTGTCTGTCAACAGTCCACATAAGATGTACACGACGATGGCGGATGTCCGGAAGAAATATAGGCAAAACAAAGCTGCAGGATGGGCAGACTGAGTGCGATTGAGAATCGGTCTAACAAGTCAAACACGTTGCTTTAGATTCAAACCTGTTTCAATATACCAGCAATGCCTGTGAATCTTTATTAAAGACAATAAAAGAATCTATTATGGACATACAAACCTGATTCTGCATCGGCCGGAGTGGAGGCCATATTATTATTAGTAGGTGTCAACACTACCGCAGGTCGGGTATTAGACGTGGTGTTTCTGGACGGAACCTGCACCGTCGAAGTATCATCAGGTTCGATGGTCTGCAGCAACGGCGTGTTTGTGCTCATTGTTGGTGAAGCTCAAGGCGTAGGTCTGATGATCGACATGACTCTGTCCCTGACCGGGTACTAGGGTATGGTTGTGTTTGTGTTTGTCGGTCACAACGTGTTCAGTCACCATTACACTCATGAATGAAACACTGCAGGTCAACGAAGCTACTCCTCTGCTATCAGCGTCACCTGGCTCCACGGAGCGTCCTGCTGTGCTTCCTGTGGTGCGTCGGTACCGGTTGGGAGGCTCGAATGCCGGTGATACCCTGGATTCGCAATATAGGTTTCCATCTGATGCAGAACGGATTGCATTTATGTTGCTCGTCCAACTACATTACAATGAATCACAGTACAGTTCCCTGAACGATTCGTCAGATATATGGGAAAACTGGCAACATGCCAGAGCCGCCTCGGCTGTCGTTGAGGATACCGGACGACGTGCTAGCGAGATATTGGACCAATTCCTCCTGAATCACAGTAGTTCTTTTACCATCCAAACTATATTCTGGACAGCCTTTCCTCTGGAAGATACGGGGTACGCGACTACGAGAGGTGAGCACAATGTCTACAATAATCGATTCGCAAATCATGGTTGAGCAGTAATCGATATGCTGACGGAGGACCATGTTCCTTCGGAGCTTCTCACACACCCTGTTGTAGAAGCCGTAGTCGCTAAGTGTTGGAAGTATGGAATGAAAGCTGGATCCGCACAGGATCACAGTTTAAGTTTAATAGGACACTTTGATGCTCTTTCCACACCCAGGTGTGTGGTTGCAGATACGAATCTCGATGTGTAATCCTCATATCATTCACAGAGTTCTACATTTCATTGATGTTTTGGGTCGACTGATTTTTATGGGTTCACTTATTCATTACTTGCTATATCCACCACACTTCCACATAACCCTGGGACAAAACGAGCAAGGCACTCGAGAGGTTATTCTTACTTTCATGTCTGCCGCATCCCTCGCTCGACGGTGGTCAATACATACTCTGCCGGCGATGCTTGTATTCCCCGCATTCGTCATGACTCTTCCATCTGTCCCTTTACCTGGAAATGTCTCATTCTCCGTGCTTCACATTGCCCTCCTACTCCAGCTGGTTCTCCTTCACCTCCCTAACTCTCCCAGCTTACCTTCCGCAATAAAGCCTGAGAGCACCATACCCCTCTCTACGTTGCTTTCGCACGGAGCGACTCGCATCGTCATACCAATCACCCTCTTTTTCTTTCCGGTCCTATTACTCACGGCATTCCTCGTATCCGCCTCGCTTGTCGACGCTCCCCTGTTGGTGTTAACAAACGCTCTGGAAGTGGCTCCGATGGATAGCCGGTTCTCATTCTTCATCCTCTTCATCACTGTCATTATGTTATTATTGGGTGGACTTGGCGTGGCCTTGGCGATGTTCCCAACCTTGGCATCATCAGCCACCTCAACAAGTAAATGGGATCGTTACTCACGAGAAATCGGGTTGCACGCACGCAGGTCATTTGTGGAAGCCCTTGTCCAATATGAGCCTTATTACTTTCCGGTTCCATTCAACTTGCTCCAACTTGTCGTGCGAGTGCCTTGCATAGTGTTCTCTTGGTGGGGGCATCCAGTGATTCCGTACACAGACTCAGTGGAGAGGGTGCTATGGAGAGTCAGTGTAGGATTGATTGGAGCTGTGATTTCTGGCTTCTGGCTTTGGGGTCTAGCGTGACCCGACCCGATAAACGTGTCAGGTATTATTAGATCCTGGTATTATCGTACTTCCACAGATACTAGCACTACTTTTTAGTGTAGTCCATACCAAGTACTTATATATGGGATAATTGCTCAAATCGAAAAGTTTAGACTCGAAACTTGTTGCGACCAACTCTCATGTCGAAACGGAAGGCGGAACCCTCCAAACGACTTGCGAAACGACGGAAGGGAGAAGTCCCTGCCTTTGGTGCAGAAACTCAGGATGATCGGGTCAATCTCGCATCGAGCCTCTCTACAGCATCTGCCTTTTCCACTCGCTCAGTGTCATCCACTGGCCCAATTCCTAGCCTTTCAGCATTATGCGCGCGCTCCTTCGTCTCAAACCTGCACGCACTACACGAAACTCGTGATGATTGGGAAGGCACGCTCAGGTGGTTGAAACTTATACCTGACAATCTGGTGCCCAAACTGTTCGCTATGCTGAGATCCTCCTGTCCAGAAATACTCACCAATGCAATGATAACTTCCGTATGCACATTCCTTACCCCCCGATATGTTGCTAATCTTCTGTTAGTATTTCTTACGAGGCCCATCGATCGTACTGACCAGTGACCTCCCAGCAGTGAACAAAATCACAATTTTGGCTGTCCCTGGAGCTGGCAATTCACTGCACGAGTTACACCTTACAGGATTCGTTAAATTCGCTGATTCTGTGTTTGCAACTGTCCTGCCATCCTTGCCGTCCCTCAGAGTCTTGGTTCTTCGGTGAGTGTGATTCACGACTGCGGTTGGGAGGCCCTGATTTTCTGCAGTGATTGCGTCAAAGTGGGGTCCGCCACTGCGGAAGCTGCTGCACGGTCTTGCCCCTTGCTCTCAACCGTGAACTTTAACTCTACTGCTGTCCCGCCTGTGGCGCTCATCCCACTCCTGAAAACTTGTTCTGACCTTAAGGTGCTAAAGCTTGCCGGGATACCGAACTGGGTAAGTAGCTTAAACTTTTTTGAACTGTTGATTCATTGCAGCCTAGACTGATGCAACCTTTGCAAAATTATCTTCTGCTGTATTCCAAGACGAGAGTTTCAAACTGAGGAATATACAAACATTGAAACTACGTCATTTGGGCCTTTCAGAAAGCTCAATTAGTTCTTTTTTGGCCCGCTGTCCGAACCTCATTCGGCTGGACCTCTCCTTCACGCATGTCCACCGACCACTGCTGGTTGTATCAACAGAGGCGAGAATTGAAAAGCTGTCCTTGACATCTACTGCGATTTCCAGCGTTGATATTGTGGCGCTCGTCTCTAGCCTTCCTCACATCAAATATCTGGCTCTTGGGGCACTGGGAGGTAGACAAGGGTCGTCGGTAGCTATTGGGAACACCTCTGCGATGACGATGACGGACCAGACGCTGGAGTCATTGACAGACGTGTTGAAGGATTTTGGGCCACTCGAAAAGATCAGTTTGGTCGGAAATACAAAACTGGGGGCTACTTTTCGTGGCAGTGGAGCCCTGGGATACTTCATTCAATGCGTCGGAAGGAAATGCAAGGTTAGTATCCATTGCATTTTTAAAAAAGCTATGTCATGCCTGAATTCTGCATCAGTACCTCAACTTGTCAGGCGTGCATCACCTACAGTCCCTTCATCTTTCTGGGCTTTTGCCGCAAGATGCCGAAAACCAACCACCCAGACTTGAACAGCTCATTCTCAACAACACCGGTGTGGACGATGATGCCACGCCTTATCTGGCATGTTGCTCGAATCTTGTGGTGCTGGAACTAGCGGGTACAAAAATAAGCAGTAAGCGGACGTGCTATCTTGGGGTTTGCCTTGTGGTTGAAGTACTGCAGGTGCTGGTCTCTTTTCTGTTATTGACGCCTGCCCCAAATTACGAACGTTGAACCTCACAAGCTGTAGGGGCGTAAGTGTGACTGATAGACGTCGTTTTTTCGAGGTGCGTGTAGCTAGAACAAGACCTGCATGATTGAGAGTATTAATTATGTAAAACATATATAGGCGTGGAAGCACAACTCAGAAGAAACTTGAAAGAGTGCTATTTTCTAGCGGGACCTAGGAGTTTACCGGCACCCACAGTGGGAATCAGGCGGTTTACTTCCGCAGAACCAATTGCTCCGTCCTTCCATATGTCAGATACACACACTTACCAATCAAGTCCTCGATGTGTGAGAGCGGAATTTTGCAGAGCGCATTGTCATTTACAATGAGCTAGACGATTGTTACATAATTTCTCCAGATCGCGTAGAGTCAGCCAATAAAAAACGGACAATCCTTTTTGTCTCCTATATTCATTTGTGTACGCGTTGTTTGGTTAGCTCTACCTTCCATTCTTTGTTAAGTATGTCGCCCCGGGGTGGTGTGATATCGACTACTACTACAGTGTTAGCGCCCTCATTCATTTGTTTCTCTTTTGCCTCATCTTCCGTTCCTAACACTCGTTACCACTCAACATTCATTCATGTTTCACTATTCTGGGCGTCTTGCTGGGCTCGACGAAATGATCTTGAAGATCAGCGCTCCTTCAAAAATTGCTTCTGCAGTATCAACATGTACCCTCGACGGCGAGCCATACCTTAAGGTCAGGAAGGTCAAAAAGCGCAAGGCTCAGCGGGCATCTCGTCCACCCCTTGCGGACAAGACGCTGCCGGCTGTGAATCATGTTGTATGTAATAAAAAACTCGCTCGCCTGCTGGCCTTTAAATATCACTGAATAGTCAATTCAGCACCCCCACGCTTCTAGGCCCTTAAAGATACAGCGTAAATCATCGGAAAAACCTGCCGCTGTTGAGAAGCCCCGCGAGGAGCAACAGAAGCTTGATCCTTCTGACCAACCCGTTACTTGCGTCAACAGCTCACGATACAATATTGAGTCATTTCGCCCCCTTCCCCCTGTGCCATCTGCATCCACACTGCAGCTACCTTCCTTCCTCAATTTTTCAACCACACATTCGTTAGCATCTCCTTCGCCTGCAAACCAGTGTCGTAACAAGTCTTCCCGCTCCCTCCCAGCCACTATTTTGTTCCGCCATTCATCTAGTCACATTTCATCTACTGGACGAGTGGTTGTTCGCAAAACTAAGAACAAAAAGGTTTATGAAGGACCGCACTGGATTCCTGCCTTCCACCATCCAAACAGTCCTTATGTTCCGTGGCCATCTGCCGTACGGCATCGCATTCTTCCCCCATTGATGCCGGAATCACCTATCTCACCTCTTTACTCACGTAGTGGAGCTGTCGCACCAGAGCCATGGGGATCACATTCTACCACGGAAACACATACGAATGTGGAAAAGCGTACCAGTTCTTGGAAGAGCTTCAAGAAATCGGTTAGGAGCGGCCTAAAGAGCGTTAAGAGCGTCGTTTCGCGCATTGGCAAGGTCCCGAAACTCTCCTGTGGGCGTTCAGATATCAAGATGACGAATCGTAGCGACGACCCGGTCTCATCTGTGGGTGACTGCATGGTGTTTACGCAGAACCCATCCCCAGTCTGCCCTGATTCTCCTATCAAAGATACCTCTGTCTCACGAGCTTCGTTGGGCAGTCTTGTATCATCAGACTCTGCTACCCTGGCTGCATGGCTAGCTGAACGGCATACCTCTAACGCTTCATGCGAGTCTCCTGGGATGTCAGTGGAAGAGTACGAGACGATGGGTAGTTGGTTGGACTTACGTGTCGGAGATGGGGAAAGGGTCTGTGGCGTTCCGGATTGTGATGTCCATACTTCAAATGGACTGCCCGACACGCTTTGCCACAGACTGCGGGATTTCCATTCAGTAGTGCCTGTCGACGCCACCTTTAACGAACCTGTGCCGAAGAAGACGACATTGCCTGTATCCACGCTGGACCTTCATTCGTGGCCACATCCATTTTACTCCCTTCCGCGGCTACCATCGCAAGCATTTGTCATATCTACGAAGGAATTGAAGACCTTGGACGACCCGAACGTTGAACGTTTTGTAATGTCCAAAAAATCACGTGAAATAAGTATGCCTGGAGGATGGGCGTTCACATCATGACTCTGAATTCCGCTGTGGACTGATGTATATTTATTACAAAACCTAGCATTGTGGCGTGTGTGTACTTGTTCACCCCCAAGTGTACTGGATGTCACACAATCTTGTACTTCATCGATAATAACTGTACAGGCATATCTTTTCTATTCTTTTCTATTTTGTACCTATAGTCACTGTAGTTTTGTTCATAATTTTCATTTCATCCGTTTGCTTCCGACGAAGAACAAGAACAAGGCAATCACTATGATGGGACATCGCCTTGTCCGTAAAAGGAAGGTGTTGAAGATGGTGAAACCACAAACAATGCCGTCGAAGCGTGTGGACACGTTTAAGTTGCGCTGTGGCCGCTTGTACTTCAACAGCAGATTATAAGGACCGAACATAATTAGACTATGCGAACCACATATCACACCCCCCAGCATCATCCCCATCCCCTACCTTTCATTTAGCCTCCCCGTACTTGCTTCATCATGACCTTAGCACGACAGCAGATATCGCAGTCGGAGGTGGACCCAACCTTGCTAGTCTCTCGAATATCGTCTCCGAGTCCAAGCTGCCACGATGAGAAATCAGTAAATGGACTCCCCACATACGCCGCACCATCCATCTTTCCACGCGACTACAACGTGCCATCATGCATAGACCACACCTCACAGTTCTTTGAGATTCTTACTGCGCCCTATCATCCTCCAGCTTCCCTAAGTCCTTTGCGGCGTGCAACGCCCCGTCAAGAAGATGCGGAGAGGTGTGCAGCAATGGTAGACTGGGGCGATACGGACGAGGATTCAACGCCACAAGAGGGATCTTCTTCTACCTTGTCTCCGTTGCCTGAAAGCTCCGCTAAGGATATCTCGATATATGTGCCACACGGTCCATACGCGTGGGCAGCTGGTGAGGATATCCAACAAACAGAGACATTGTTATCCCTACGACGTGCGTTCATCGCGGAGTCATCTTTGTTCGTCTTACTCACAATGATTTAGAGGGCTCGATGTGCTCGGCCTATATACAAACCGGTGTTATTGCCGGACGAAAGATCACTTTTATTAGCCGACGGTGAGCAAATGTCCCAAGTGATGATGATCATTGACTTAATATGACATAGATGGAATCTGGACAAGCAAGCGGATTGGATCGGTTTTGATTCCGAGGTTCGTGCGCATAATGCAAATCATTCGTCTCCTGAACGCCTGTCTTTCAGATGGCTCTCTACAGCTCAGAACAATACCTGAAGTCCCTACAAGGCGTCATTGTTCCTCGCATAATCGGTGTACACATTCTGCCAGGCGCGATCAGCATTGCTATGGAGTTACCTCACCAAAGTTTTTGGATGGAGGCCTCTCCTACCATGCCCGATGTCCTCAAGGAACGTGCTATGCAAGGGCTCGAGATGCTCCATTCGCGAGGTATTCTTCATGGAGATATTGAACTTCGTCACGTTCTCATCGGCGGGGATGGCGCCGTTACGTTCATCGATTTCCAACTGAGTCGAAGTACCAATCCCGACGAATCCGTGGGCTTGGAGAAGGCGGAGGACGAAGAGTTTCGTTTCGAGAAACGCTTGCTTGCATTCAAGCTTGACCTCCACGGTGCTCGGGCGAGTGAAATCCAGAAGACTGAAGCTTTCGTACAGCGCACTAAACGAAATAAACGGAGAGATGCATTGTGGAGACGTCGCTCCCATGGAGCTCGCACGGGATACATTCCGCCTTATGAAGAGGAGCCTGAGGAGGAAAAGATTGTACCGCCTGTCCACCCTCATGACTTGCAGGATACATGGATGAAGAACTCAGACGCTCCTCCAATACGCGTCGTTGTTCCTGGACAGAGTACAGAAGATGATGAAGACTGCTATCCGGACATTCTTCGAGTCTCTAGCAGAATCCTGTCCTGACCAAACGCTTTCTCAACCACTACCTTCTACTGGGGACAGGGCAGAAGTGTCTGAAGCGGCATCATCGACATCATCTACCACGTCAACAATCAATCTCTCTCCGACTGCAGTCCACGAATCGTCACCCTCATTGGCGGGACGCAAGCGTCATAGAGAATCTTCCCCCTCTCCCTCCCCCCACGCCTCATTTGACTCGCGACCCTCAAAACGTATTCGTCATGAAACAGGGCCTTCGTCATCTGCTCGCGTCTCCTCCACTATCCATTCATTGCCAGCAATGTCCAGGGTCAATCCTCGTGATCGTGTACACATGTGGTATTCAGATCTCCCCGACAATGTTGAAGTTCCTCCCGCTCCCGTCCGTGTCAGACCTCTCTCCATGACCGCCGCACTTATTCGACAACAAAACATTGCACTTTGTCGTGAAGCAGGGCTTCCTCACGCTGAGTTGGTCGAGAGGGGCGAGGTTTCACCCATAGACGCGGTTCGTCACTATTTGCTAGCCAAAAAACGTAGAGGCATAGCTCGAGGCAATTTAATCCGGGAGCGGGATCGGGATGGATACTCGCCATACGTTCACCATATAGAGAGGTCACGCCAACGTGAGCGCTATCTCATGCTGAAGGATGTGAAGAACGCGTACACCGCGACCTGTGCAAATGCCCCCAACCTGTTAGATATCGCAATGCCAGCAGGAGATGATGCATTTTCCACTTTGCTTCACATGAACGAGCACAAAGATATACCGGAAGGACCCAGAATATTGCAAAAGACAGAATACGAGTTCGTGCAGAATAGCCGGAAACAGGCTATCGTACTTGCGCCCTGTCGAGGGGTACTAAAACGACGAAGAGAGGATGACCCAGTTCAGAACTTCCTGCCTGCGACGAATTCACCTAATCCTGCTGTACCTGTCGCTGATACTGGCAGCACTATTCCTCCGCCTCGCAAGAAAGCTCGAACGAAGGGCCCATCCCGCAAACCAGCACGTGCCCGTATACCCCTGTTCCACACATCAGATCCTGGGTCATTGGAAAGCAATAGAGCAGCAAAGGTCAAGCTTCCGCGTGACCGTGATCTGGCTAGGCAATGTTCATCATCACAACCTGCATCAAGCATCGATTTTACACCACCATCGTGGCGCGGTTTATCTGTTTGGATGGGATCTTTAATGGGCTGGTCACACTGATCTTGGAACATTTTTACCTTATCGATACCCCCACTTTTCGGATTTCGACTTTCCGTGTAATATTTGTTGATTCAAATGCTTAATACGAAGGAACAAGAATGTTCCTGTGATAGATCTAAGACTTTACTCCGTGAAACGGAACCAAATTTTGAAAGCTGCGCGGGTGTATAAAACTCTAAAAAGCTGCCATGCGTGAATGTAAGCTGTGTCTTCACGGTGAAGTTGAAGGGCCGTGCTTACTTAAGCATTCAGGAGGCGCATGCACTGGGACCGGGACTGTAAATTTCTCATCGTTTCCGAACTGCTCGCGTCGCTGCCGCCTGCTCGCTATAGATGTAATTAATCTCGGACTGCAAGGCTTTCCCAAGGATCGTCGGTTTTTCACATGAAGTGACATAGTCCGTGAAACTTCAGGCCTCAGGCTGAACTCGGATCAAATGTGACGAAATGCTTAGCGTAGCTGCTAAAGCCTCATGCGCCCAAGTATATAATTCGCAGGCACTGCTTCGCTTGGCAGAACTAGTAGCAGGGCCAAGTACTACCGTGACGTCTGGGCTGCTAGCCTCGCAACCTTGTAGTCTGGGTCATAAGAACTGCGATCGGCCCGATGCCCCAGTTTTCCTTGAGACGAGTTTATATGGTATTATGTAAATTTCTGTGGCAATTCCGCATGATCAGTTTGTTTTTAGAGCACATGCACATTGCAGCCTAGGCCTGCGCCAAGCTGTTTGCGAGATCCGTTGCGGGCAGGTTTGACCATGTCATCGCGAGAGTATACAGGAAGAGCTGTTTGTCCAGCCTTGGCTTGTCAAAATGCAATTACTAGCTGTAGTAGCAGGATCCAGTTGGTAAATTAGAATTGATTATCAACAATCCCCATGGTAAGTTACCGAGTACCAAACTCACTCGTTTCTGATGGAGTGAGAGACTGTGGAGATACATACTTTAGAAGTAAGTAGTATGACCACAGACACGTGGCAATCAATAATTGACGCCAATGAAAAGCAAGCAGAGTGTGTATCATGATGATGGTGGGCCCCACTGCTCCGTGAGTAACGTGATATATGTCGATTCCTGTATTGATCTGATGCCACTTATGCTGTGCAAACAATATTATAGGAACTACTTGAGATGGCTCATACTCCTTCCAGCCAATTTCTCAGATAGATCCGAGTTTGAGCAGAGGAGCGATGCATCCATCGTGCCTGACCTGCGTAATCCCGCTCGGTTAATTCGGGTAGGTCACTTATCAGACGTGGCGTCTTTATTCAATCAACGTCCGTAAAGAAATCACTGCCACGCCCCCACACGCTCATATATCTATGGGTATGGGTCATACTTAGATCCAAGTCTTATCTCTTCCCTCCTACCTCACGAGCCCTCTCAAAAATGGGTGCAGAAAAGACAGACCCCACTGTTTATCCCACTAGCAAAGGCGAAAGCTCTGACGCCTCAGATCGTGATGGAGAGTCTTTTCAGGGGCCCGCGCGGCACACCCTCCAACGCAAACTCAAGAATCGTCACGTCGCCATGATCAGGTCTGTTGTTTTCTTCTTTCTTCTGATCAATTCTCACCTCCTTCAAGTATTGGCGGTGTTATCGGTACTGGTCTTTTTGTTGGAACCGCAAACTCTCTGAGGAATGGAGGTCCCATTGGTCTCTTGCTCGGTTACATCGTCATGGGCTCCATCGTATATTGCGTCATGATCACTTTGGGAGAAATGGTATACTTGCTGCACACCCCAGACGTACCTACCTCACCTTTATTTCCGTAGGTTGCTTACCTCCCTATACCTGGTGGTCACATCAAACTGGCTGAGCGTTTCGTTGACCCTGCCTTCTCTTTTGCCATGGGTTGGAATTACTGGTATAACTGGACCATTGTCTGTACGTTCCATTCTTCTTCCTTCATTCCTTACATTTACTCACCTCTTATCTTTCAGCACCCGGTACTTGAGTTCGATGCATTTTTTTAGCATGCCTGCTGACACGTTTATCATCTCAGCCGAAATTTCTGCTGCTGCATTATTAATAAACTATTGGGATAAAACCACCAATGATTCCGTATGGGTCGTCATATGTCTTGTCGTCGTTCTCACCATTAATATGCTCGGTGCTGGCGCTTACGGCGAAGCCGAATTCATATTTGCGTGCGTACCGAGTACTATATCCTGATCTCGTCTCCTGAGATTACTACAGATCCATCAAGGTCATCACAATCACTGGTCTTATCATTCTCGGTATAGTCATCGATCTGGGAGGTGCACCAAACCATGACCGCATTGGATTCCGCTACTGGAAAAATCCTGGACCATTCGTTCAGTATGATGGCATCTCAGGTGCCAAAGGACAATTCCTTGGCTTCTGGGCTGTTCTGACAGAGGCTGCTTTCTCGTTCATCGGAACCGAGATTGTTGCTGTACGTTATATTCTAGACTTGTCAATAAATATATTGCTTACGAATCTCACTTAGATTGCTGCTGGAGAAGCCAAGAATCCTCGTCGTACCTTGCCCAAAGCCATCCGTCGAGTATACATCCGCATATTACTTTTCTACATCGGCGGAACACTCATCATTGGTCTGCTTGTACCATCCAACAACCCAAACCTCAATTTGAACAGTGGAACCACTGCCCAGTCTCCATTCGTCATTGCTATCGAAACAGCTGGAATCAAATCTCTTCCTTCTGTAAGTCACACATGGCCTTCCCTTTTTACCTAGAAATCTCTCATTCCTATTGAAAACAGATCATCAATGCTTGTTTGTTGACCTCGGCATGGTCCGCCTCATCTAGTGATTTGTACACTGCGTCTCGTGCGATTTGTGCGTATACTTGTCTGTCAGCCAACTCATCACAATTAACACACTTCGTAGATGGTCTTGCGGCCTCAGGAAATGCTCCCAAGTTCTTCCTTAAAACCACACGCAACGGGTTGCCTTACGCTGCTGTCCTCTTTTCCGCCGCTTTCTCCCTTCTTGCCTTCATGGCTGTGTCCAAGGGTGCGGGCTCAGTGTTTAACTGGTTTGCCAATATGACATCCATCGCTGGCCTTATGACATGGTTTGGTATTTCGGTGACGTACCTCCGCTTCTACAAGGGCATGCAGGTGCAAGGCATCGACCGCAAGACGCTTCCTTACTACACAAATCTCCAGCCATACGCAGCGTGGTGGGGAGTAATTGCAACGATCACCGTATGTTTCGTACGTCGACGTTTCATATCCGCTAATATTGTTTAGACTGACTATTCCTCCACTCTCTAGTTCAGCGGATTTAGCGTCTTCCTCAACGGAAATTGGAGTACTGCAACTTTCATGACCAACTACATCCTTCTCATTACCTGGCCAATCATGTACCTTGGCGCTCGTTTCTACTATGGCTCTAAGCCAGTTGCTGCCGAGGACATGGACTTCACGAGCGATATAGCTGAAATTATTGCGGACACGTATGATGAACCCCCGCCAAGGAACAAGATGGAAGCATTCTGGCAATGGCTGGTAAGCATAGCTGCTTCATTTTGCAATTTCTGACATCACTAACGTCACCTCACTTGTAGATGTAATTATACCTGCAATAATACTTAAAGTCCATTGATTATATCACTATTTTGTAAGCCTTCATGACCAATTGCCCGACATACCTGGTTGTTTGTCGTATGTCACTGCCAATTCTACCAATATGATAATATCTAGTCAACTTGATCCATGGTCTTGCTGACCAAAATGTGACCTTGTCCTTACTTGTAGACAAAGCACAGCCTGTATCTAGCAGAGAAACGAGGTTTTTTTATTATCAACCAGTGTCTATTTACATACTATCGTTCACACCTACGATGGAGAGTATTTCACAATTCTGTCTGTTATTTCAACACTTTATTGAAATTGGGATCTGAAATTTGAAACGCTCCATTGCATCGCGGCGGAATGAGTTTCGGGACTTATATTGATTTCATGTATTCTACCTGGCCATAAGAGAGTTAAAAGCGTAATGAGTGAAATACAGTGGGAAGATAATGTTGAGGACGGAAACCGAATGCAACATGCAGGAAACTTAATGACAGTATATATACGTATCAGAGTGCCCATCCAGCGAGCTAGAAATGAATGCACAGAGGTTGGGCACTAGGTTTTAGGCGCGATGGTAATCTTAAGCGTCTATGCTTTTGCAGAAGGTATATGCAGGTTAATGGCTGAGATACACCGTCAGCCAAAATAGGACCCTGGGTGTGTAATTGTATTTACCTCTAAACCAGTTCAAAGCGTCAGAAGGTGATGGAACATCGAAATATAGGATAGCCTTGTTGTCAACCAGGCGCAAAACTAGGGTCGATGTTAAAATAGACAAAACTTCTTCATTTTCAGATCAACTTACCAGTTCCATGGACGATGCTTGCCGGCTGGGGTAAAGTCTGCATCCGCAGCACCGCCCACAGGTCAACCGCAGACATCGGATCCTTCCCGTCGCTAGGATCCCTGCAGAGAACAAGAAGGTCGTTACACAATATTCCAATGAGTGGCCGGGGGTTGAGCTCTGGCGCTAGGCAATCAACTTGAACAGCAGAGGCGTCCCCCTGAGCATTGAACGTCTCAAAAGAAACGACCGTCTTTCGCACCACCCTAGTGAGCAGTAGAGGTCCATCCATAATGAGCCGTCTGACGGAAGCGTCAGAGGATTGTAAGCTGGTGCTTGCGTCCACAACTCACCGATGTGGTTGCACCAGAGGGCTGGGGAATTTGCCTCGTATTCTTGACTGCCATTGAACGAGTTTTCGTCGGGATTCAGACTCTCGTTTGCCTTCGTTCATGTTATTTGCCAACGAAGATATTTCTGCCAGAGCTCGATCCAGCGAGTCATCTAAAAAAGTATACGATGGTGGAGTGCTCCGCAAAAGCTCTTCCAACTTGACAGATGATTAGTCAATCGTGTCATATACAAACCAGTGCGAACGCTTACTAGCAGGCGGTACCGTGGTATTCGTTGAACTGGTAAAAGTAAATAGCCTTCCATATTGAGCTGTGAATGGCGAGGATTCAAGCGGCAACGTTTCAAAAAGTGCTTTATTCGTTTCCGTTGTCCAGACGTTAAATGTGCTGTATGGCTCGGAGAAGATGGATCAGGCACCACGACTTTCTCTGAAGGAGAGGCGATAGCAAGACCAAGCCCAACAAGTTGAGCAGTGCTGGAGGAGGGTGTTATGGTAGAGCCTGGGCTGATGTTTCCTGCGACAGGTCTATCTGTCGACCAAAATCTGATGCGCTGGACAGAATTGTCAAAGTTGCTGCGCATGCTGTGAGCAAAGAACAGAGCACGAAATATTCATGTACTCACTTGATATATGTCGAGTACATCCTCATGAAAGCAGCATATCTCAAGAAACATCCAGCCACAGCTGTCGCTACCTCCACGGACAACTGACCGTCAGGATCAAACTCTTCAATTCCAGGAGGCTTTTGTAGCAGCGGAGCCGCTGCTTTTTCCAGCGACGGAAGGAAGCTTTCCTTGTGGAACGAAAAGAGCGCTTCAATGCCACTGAAAACGATCTTCCTCTCTGCTGAGGGGATGGTTGTTTCCTTGCTAGAACCAACACCACTGATCAGGTTGACAGGAGCAGCACTAGGCTTGATGTATATGTCGACGAGTTCTTGGAGGCCTTTCACGTACGTCTTCTCTGTCCTATAATTACAGTTAACAACATCCACCACAGCCAACAATCAAGAACCCTTACTCGACAATCTCTCGAACCACAAGTGCACGCCTGCTCTTATCATCCTTGTACTTTCGCTCATCTTGAGAACAGTCCGAGGCAGCAACGCTGACTGTCTGTGAAGCCGTCCCACTGCGCAAACTGGACATGGTATCAGGAGACCGTAGCTGCGCAGACATGGATCCTGCTCGAGAAATCGTCGACATTGCGGACGTATCGGAATTTGTCCTCTCAATGATCGTCGGCCTGCGCGAGCGCGTTCCGCTCGACAAATTCTCTTCCCCTCCGGAATACACGCTGACGGTATTACCACCCTGAGACAGGCCGAGATCATTCATATCCTTCAAGTACGCCATAACAGAGCGTAAAGCCCGCGTGTATGCCTCTCGGGTTCTTTCCTCCTCTCTTCGAGTAGCAAAGTCGACGCTATCTGAATCTGGAACTGGACCTGACGACATACTGGACCCGGGCTCATCCGCGTCATTACCGCCTGATAGACGTTCCAGAAAGGGTACAGGTGACGATGAAGGAATAGTCGCTGTATCTTCGACCGGTAAGAAACTCCTTCTTCTGGATGACCGCGGAACAGGAGAAGATGATGGAATAAGGAAACTGCCAGGAATAGCAGGCGGCGGAATAGGGGAAGCCTTTTCGGAGGTTGGAGTCTCATTCTCAGTCTCATTCTCTGGCTCTGGTGGGGAAAAAGCGACAGGAGGAGCACCACCCGTGAATGGCCCAAAAATTTCCGTAGTAGAGAAGCGAAGGTCAATCTGAGGCGATGTGCTTGAGTGCGGCGTCGTAGGATTTGAGGCGGATACAATCCCCGACTCGGGCTGAGACGTGCGGTTGTGCGTGGTGGTCGGACGATATGGAGAAGCAGGAGAGTCAGTTCCAGGTCGCATCTTCCCCATCGACATTTTCTTCAAGAAACCCCATCGCCCGCTCTTTTCTCTGTCCTTGGAGTGAGATTGGGACTGCCTTGCAAGGCTATTCCTCTCCCCATAGCCTGGTGAAGATCGAGGCGGATCACGTGCCAGCTTTCGACGCGGAGAAGTTGCCGGTGAGATAGTTTCGACGGCAGATATACGTGAGGACTCAGGAGCTGTGGGCTCTAGAGTGCCTGAAGGCGGATCGAACAGTGCGTGAGGTAATGATGGCCGCGGATTACGCGTGACGGTAGAAGATGACGAAGAAACACCGAGACTGGCGTATCGTTTGGGTACACTCAGGCGATCGGATTCCGGTGAGGCACCCGCCACGGTAAGCAAATTCAAGCTGGACGCTGAGGTCGAATAATTCGGGAGCGCTGGGAGGGCAGGGGTAACGATGGGTGAGTCCTGCGGAGAAATCTGAGAATCATGTTGATCGAAAGATGAACGTAGTTCCCCCGCGCTCTTCATTCTCCGCAGATCGTGATCTGTGTAGTAACCCGAGTCTTCCACGCGCTTCGACATCCCGAGTCCATCAGCCGCTTCAGTTCTGGGACGCGGTTTGGAACTGAAAAATGATCCATTTGGAGCAGTCTTGGTGCGTATTAAACCCCGCGGAGCAGCCTTGGGGAGGGGTAGCGTTGACAGAGAGGTTACGGAACGACCAAGGAATGGAGCACGGGCTGGCGTAATAGTGTCGTCATCAAATTGAGAGACTGATGGCCCCTCCGGACCCGCACTAGTAGGCTCCGACTCCGTGTCTGTCTCTGGCCCCACAGACAAATCAACGAGGCTGGCGGGAGAAGGGGGGATAATGGATGTCGAGGGGGGATAAAGTGGTGGCACGGAAGTTTTAGCGAGCAGTGGCTCGACCAAAGCTTGCCAAGGTCCCTGAAACGGGTTGCCATCAAGGTAAAGCTCCTGTAATGAAGGCAAGAGGCACAGCCAGCTGGGTAAGGAATGCATTTTGTTCCTCCGAACGCTAAGGGTGTGAAGCTTATCGAGTACGCATAATGAATCGGGAAGGCTACCAATACCAGTAGAATCCGCGATGAGCACACGCAAGGACGTGAGATTAGTCAAGAACGCGGGCAAGACTCGAAGAGGATTGGACGCGACATTGAGCTCTTCTAGGTTCTCACATGAAGCAAGGGCAATAGGAACCGCATTCAAGAAGTTGGCAGAAATGTCGAGCGCGAGTAGGGTATCGCATATTTGCGGTAGGACGCCCAGCAGGAAAGTCGGTACCGTACCGGGCGTGCTAGACGATCCCAGAAGTAGATGCGTAGTTCCTGATGAAGGTGGTGTCATGAGTTGGATAAACGTCTGGAGTGAATAACACCCGCACTCACCTGGCTCAACACGTAGCTGGACAACTGGGATGCCTTCGCCCGTAACAATGAGGCCGCGGCCTTCTTCAGCTACCACTACCGCAGATGTCCTTTCCTCCTCCTTGTCGTCAATCTCGTCATCTTCCTCACCGAGGTCGTCAGTTTCTTCGTCACTTGTCAAACCAACTTCATCTCTCTCATCTACTGTTTGCCAACCCATGTCGAAGCTAGGGTTTTCTCGAAGACGTGGCATGCCGTTTTCATGCACGCTGTTAGTGTTATTGTTATTTTGCCCGATGGAAGATGACCTGGATCGAATACTCGCTGAGTATTCTGACCATCTGGTTTGGTCTATTGGAGTCCTTCCTGCAGACGAAGGCGTGACGGTCTTGGTCTGCAAGATCTGGTCCACGTCATCAGATGAAATTCCCACTGCGACACCAATCTCGTCGTCCTCTCCTGTAGCAACGTGAACATGGCCATAGTCACTCGATGTTAGTGCACTTCCGGAGCTAGTGTATGCAGACGAACGTGTGGATGCGGAAGAGGAACCTTCGGAAGAGAGAGCCGGCAGGGTGGAAGAGAGCCTATCAGACATGCGAGAATATTGGGAACGTTGGGGATATGGGTCTGGGAACTGAGAAGGATCTGGGAGCGGTGGCACCTTGGGGGGTCGTGCAAATGAATGTGTTGGAGATGAATCTGAACGAAAAGAAGATTCGCCCTCGGAGACCGACCGCACAAGAGGTGTTTGTAGAAACGAATGGTCTGGTACGAGGGGAATGCCAGCAGATGGAGACTCGTCCAGACTTGAAGTATCCGCAGTAAGTCTCATATTGGTTAAATTCTGAGTACCGTAATGTTGGGAACAGGTCCCAGATTCACCAGGTACAGATGGCGTCGGGGAGCGTGAGCGGGATCCGGGGTGGTGATTGGGAGAAAGTGAGCTGGAAGGCGGTAAGGCGGTTGATGGATGGTCTAGATTTTGAAAATGGTGAGCGAAAAAAAGGTCGGGTAATGAACGTCGAAAACAAGGAAAGAATTATTGTGGTAAGCGCCGAGGAAGCACTCATTAAGTTAAGTGCATGATACGCTAAATTGAAACACTGCACTGAATGAAATAACTCACCAGGTCCCATCTCTGACTGTATCCAACTAGTTGAACTTGATGGGGCGTGATTATGAATTGGTGGCATTGGTAGTGGTTTTTCGTATAATGAAGTAAAACCAGCTGGCCTGAGTACGTTGGGATGGTCGTTCCTGATAAGAAGCTTGTCAACAGAACAAGGGAGGATAATGAAAGTTTGACTTTACATGAGTGCTCTGATGGTTACTTGCTCGTCCATGGGTAAGAGGAGAGTGCTTCAAGAAACGTTCCTTGCGATTATGTATACTACAGTGCTCACTCTCATGTTGTTACATAAAACACGTTTTCTTTCCCATAAATTAAGCAAAAAAAAGTTACAGTATAACCCAGTGCGATGCATTCATCATATCTCCATCACCGCGACATGGTTACATCACACAGCTGTTCAAGGGTGAAAGCTCTCCGAATCTAATTTTCTAGATTTCACACGTCAGCTCATGGTTATTCAATTATGCTGGACCCAGTCCTAGTGACTTGTATCTCCGACATCAAATGCTTACAGCTGTCTACTCTCCACTCCTCCAACGTAACGAGGGCCAATATTCCAGATAAGTTGACAATCGTTGCACACCCTGGCTTCATGAGTAACACTCACTTTTTCCATTTACAGGTCAATCCCACAACGGGGCATACGGTACCGTAGTCATCGCCATGCAACCCATGTGTACCGGGAGGGCTTTCCCTCGAATATAAAAAAAACTTCCAGATGCTTATTCTTCAGCAGTGCAGGGTAACGGAGATAAATTGCCTTCAAAAATCGTACAAATCAGGACGCTCAGAACGGAACGCTACCTTTTTCTTTGGCTTCTTTGGCTTTGCAGGAACAAGGGAGTCGTCAGCATCGGGTATAGCCCGACTCGTAGGACTATCGGACACTACCTCCTTAGAACGTTCAAATGCAATCTCCACAGTCGCAAGTGACCCCTTTCTGCCTTCAGTCGCCAGAACAGCAGCGGGCATTGTTTCATGCACCATGTTACCATCCAATGCCATAGCATTCGAGGAAGGTGTCGTTCGCCGCTCAGTCACACCACCTTCCAAGTCCAGATGTAGGGTCTCAAAGATAAGACGTTTGCGCATACACTTGAAAGCAAGGTTATTTTCTCCGCTTCCGCCCATCGACCCTGCAGCCGATGACAGCCCGCGGAGAGTGGAATATTTATCACTGGCTGGGAGAATGGTATGGGGGGCCGGAAGCGTCAAAATTTGAACGATGCCGTGATGGGAAGGGAAAAGAGAAGATAGTGATGGGTTAGCTGGGCACATGACCGTCGTCACATCAGAAAATCTATGTTAGGCACATGTATCAATACTCACCACCAAATGCCGACATCGAGATTGCTGCATCAGTTAGCCACCCCACTTTTTGAACCCACCCCGGTCCTCCCCATGTATCCGTACACATATGAGGAGCGAGAGATAGCGAAGCGCAAGCATTTGGATGTCGATGCAGAAGCCTTCGAAGCGAGTGCAGCAAGGTCAACACAGTCTATCATTGCATCAGCGACGATCTCCTCGGGTTTGCAGGTGGCTGTATCTCACTGGTGGTTGCATGTCGCCCCAGTGGGGCGATCCTAAAGCAGGGATACATATTCGAACAGCGTGTCCATCTGTGCCGTTCGACAGTAGCTCCTCGATCTGTTTGATTACTCCCGTACCATCCTCAAATATATCAACATCAATCGGAATCAGTCGGGCGGATTGTCGTGCAGCATCAAGGGCTGTAGCGGGGATCCTACAAGTCAAATCAAATGACATGCAGAGATCGTCACTAAGACTATAATTGGTTGAACACCTCAGTATCATCCGGTGTGAGTAGAGGACGTACATACGAGTTAGACGAGACTGTTGTCTGGAACTTCTTCATCTGCTCATAACGCCAGGCAATCTTGATCTTATCATCATGCTGACTCGCCTTCTCATCGTCCGCATCCTCAGCTGTACTGGCTTGTGCTGGCGTCGATGAAGTATTCCCGGCCATCCAGATGCCCTCCCTTGCAAATCTCAGGGGTTCGTCATGGACGATGCAGACTTTCTGACCAGAGGCAAGACCTTGGGCTACGAAATACTTCTGCACCAGTTCTCCGTATGCCGAGTGATGATCAGGAGCAAGGACAGCGAGAGAGCAAGACAAAGGTAGTCCCCCACCGAGAATATCATCAAGCGAAGGTATCCCGGTTGAAGTTATTACGGTAGAAGTGGAAAATGGAGACAGGCGAGTGCCTTGGGGTAGGTTAGCCCTACCCGACAGTGTTTTACGTTTGAAAGAAGACATCATAAGCGTCCTGCAGTAGATCTTCCCTGCATGAAGAGGTTACTCAATTTCAAATTGTATACTTACCGATGTAAAAATATTTACATAAATATTTGTGACATGTTTCGCTTCAATGATACCCCCATCATGGTTGCACCTTGCAGAGCCAGCCATCAAGAGGGTCGGTCTTACTTGTCTACATGTTCGTATTTAACAACCAGTTCCACGGACATTCATTGACGTCCTCCAGCTCATTAACTTCGGTTTTGCCTTTCACCTTTTCAAGGAAAATGTCGCCGGCCTATGCTTCGTTCGTGAATCTAACCAGCCATCATCAACGCTTCTGATAAAACATAGATGGCTGGTCCTTCTATGCTTCCAACGCTCGACAACAGCGGCGAACTGGTCCTCGAAAGCATTCTCCCTCATCGGTTATTCCCTAATCAACTTGGAAGAGGGGAGCTTATAACCTTGACATCACCCGTTGATCCCTCTCGCATTATTTGCAAAAGGGTAATCGGCCTTCCGGGCGATGTTGTTTGCGTCGATCCAACCGGGCTTAAAGCTCATTCGACCGAGCATGTTCTCGTTCCCAAAGGGCACATTTGGGTTGCTGGTGACAACGCCGCCTGGTCAAAAGACTCGCGCGATTATGGGCCTGTGTCTATGGCCTTAGTAAGAGGCAGAATCGCTGCCAGGGTAAGTGCACAAATTTCTCATGCAACAGATTCCATGACGGCGAGACTTGCTTTACATAGATTTACCCGCTCAACCGGTTCACCGTCTTCTCCAAGAACGCAACTTACATCGAACATTGACACACGGGATAACAGTCTAGAATAGACAGGAATTATACACTGACGATGTGATTTCCAATACAGTGTGGCATATTGCGATTTGAAGGAATTCAATATCAATACTATCGAGCAAAGTTCATTGAGTAACCGCCTTGACCATTTGGTTCAAACTTAAAGTTGTCAGTGGATAATCCGAAGTTGCCTGACAGTTCCACCGTCAGGCTTATCAATTTGCAGAGGAAAATGACGACATACCCAGTATACTATTGCCGAGGTTCTTCAGTTTGCCCGTCATTTCGGCCATTTCTTTCTTCTGAGCCGCTTGCTGGCGAGGTTCAAGAAGCTGCAGGCTCCGCTTGGTCTGTGCCACCTGAGGGGATGTAGGGGGTAGCAATTCCAGGAGTGACTTGTAATCTAGATGATTTTGTTTAAGATACGTTAAGATGCCCTTGAACAGCAAAGCATACCTTCTTGTGCTTGTGTCAACGACGACCATGTGCCGAGATGTTCGTTAGAAGCCGCTCGCCGCTGTAGGGCCTTGATATAGTGAGGGTCATCGAGTAATGCTGCAGCGAAACATGTATGGATATTCTTTCTGTTTTTGCAGACGACTTACATTGGGTGCATGATTCAACTGCACCGCTGTAATCGCTCTGATCGATTACAGTGAGATCTTTGAAACATCAAGGATTGATTTGCATACAAGTTTTACCAGACATGCACCAATGTTGGCGTTCAACACTGCTCGAGCCTTCGCACATTCTGCCTCGAGCTCCGAGGGGATGCTGGCTGGTTCTGGCCCCTCCTCTCGCGTTGGCACCTCGCCTGAACTCGCCGATCGGGCACCACCGTGATCTGACGTATCATCCTGTGAGTCTGGGGAAGGAGGCTGCGGCTTTCGTCTGGGTAGTCGACTCAGAGCAGTTCTGTATGACACGAGAGCTTCATTCCATCTACTGGCCCGGAACGATTCATTGCCCTCCTGCTTCAATTCATCTGCCTCGGTAATGTTTTTCTGCCGTTCAAATTGATCAGATAATCAATACTCGACCGTGAATTTGATGCTCACCTTGATTTCGTGTTCATCGAGGGACTGGTATGGGGTGGACGCGTCGGAAGGTAAATGTTGGTCATCCGCCATTACGATGAATGAATTTGGTTTGGATCCAAGTTGCCAACTTGGAACTTATGAGTATTACACGCTATGTTTACTATGTTCCTCACGATATTTGGTGCGAAGTGAACGGCTGGTCAGAAGTGTGTTATTTCATGTGGCTGATGCCACATTGTAAATCGTGCCGTTAAAATTTGATGCAGAGGACCTTGGGTGACCAAAGCCAATTACAAATCATCTCAGAGACTCAGAGCCGAACAAAGACGTATTCTACGGCGAACAAATCTGATACATCAACCATTCCTTGTTACAAAGCTGGAAAAAAAACGCTGGAGATAAGTCTCACACAGCGGCATCGAATGACGCATCGATGATTATTCATGTATCGCGGTTATAATGACGCCGGTTCACAAGTCAAGTTGAACAGGTGGTCGCAGGTATAAAGGTCAGCACTTTCACGCCCCTTTCTTTCGGCAAATTATCAAACTTACTCTTCTATCATGCCCAGCATCAGCGATTCAAAGTGCATCCTCGTCGTTGGCTCTACTGCAGGAATAGGTCGGGCCCTTGCCCTTGCAATCTTGGACCTCCCTTCTCAACCAACTGTCATTGTCTGCGGTCGCCGAAAGGAAAGGCTCGACGAACTGGTTGCATCCCACAATGCCACCGGACGACTCAAAAGTGTTACTCTTGACGTACTTTCAGAGCGCAACGCTCTCAAGTCTTCTATCGCAGATATCGTCAACACTTACCCAGACGTATGTACCCGTAGCACTGTTCCCTGTAAACCAGCTGACCGGCTTTTTAGCTTGACGCTGTTCTTTTCTCGAGTGGCATTCAACGTGCTTTCGACTTCACGAGGCCAGATACCATTGATCTCGACTGTAGGTCTCTCCCACTGTGCACCTAGTATGACATACTAATTTCGGTCAGCTCTCGAGAGTGAACTTGCCACCAATTACACCTCAATTGTTAGAATGATTACCTTCTTCCTCCCTCATCTTATCAAGCTTGGGGTATGAGCATTTTTTGTTCTTTTCTCGTTTATCTGACCCTCGTGCAGGAGCAAGGCCGTCCGACTTTCTTGTACACAGTTTCCTCAGGACTTTCCATTGTTCCCGCTACTGGAATCGCTAATTACTGCGCGACAAAATCTGCTGTCCACAGCTTGAGTATCTCACTCGCCATTCAGCTTAAGGAGAAGAATGTTCACGTAGTCGAGATTATTCCTCCGTGAGTGACACTATTCGTTCCGTTGTCGTCGATCTCATTGCCGCTTAAAGACTCGTTGAGTCGGAATTGCATGACTGTGAGTTCCCTTGCAGTTTTCTGTATCTACTGTTTCTTGACCTGCGCGTTAGTCGAAGGCACAACGCAACGTCTATCCAATTTCTGGCTTTCGCTCGAAGAATACACGAAGGTGACGATGGAGGGCCTTGTTCGAGGTGACCCATACGTTCCAGCGGGGATGGTCATCGAACAGCACAAACAGTTTGAGGAAGGGAAGTTGGAGGCTGCAACAAAGATGCATGGGCGTTTCAAGGCCATGACTCAGACATAAAGCACACGTATTGGAACGTCTGGAGCGTAGTTTCCCTCTACAAACAGGCTCAGAGTGTATAGTGATCGCCGTTCAGCTTCTTCTCTCAAAAAGAATTCGGGAGTGCTGCACTGCTGGAATACAATGCGAAAATCTGAGCCCCAATTGAAAAAATCAGGTTGCATATAGTGGAAGTAGTCAGGGACGTGTAAACCAGTCACTACAAATTCTCTGGATGTGTGATGAACAGTATTGCCTACTCGATGTAGTGTTCATCATTTGACTTATCTCAAGTAGGGATATGTATATAGATGCCAAGACACTCAGTCCAAACGGTTCAGCGAAAACTGCTCCGTCTTCTGGAGCAGCTCGCTCATGTCTGGAGCTGGTACAGGGACACCAGCGGATACGGGGTGGATTATCTCCTGCTCGTCGCCACCAACCACTCTCATCGTAAACCCATTCGGTACGTTCGGCAATCGCACCGAGCCCAAGTTTCTCTGTCCAGGACGTTGAAATGGATTAAATGCGATGGGGTATTCTCTGGGTCGCGTAAGATTGTAAATCTCCGAGCCAATCATGCCTGCTGAGTGTAAGCGAGGGAGGGCATGAGCAATGATCTGGGGAATTGCATCTCTTTGAAGTTCGGCGGATTGTTCTGCATATTCGGAGACGGCAAAAGGCGTATTATCAGTGTGACAGCACAAGATGACGAATTGCCACGCCGGGTAACTGGTGAGCCCAGCATTCAGACCGACGATAGCGTCTGGTTTGCTTCCTAGGAGCAAAGGGAGCCGCGGGTCCCAATTTTCATGATCTCCGTGGAGAAAAAGGGACAGAGTGCTGGCTCCGCAAGATGCAGGGCTGGTGTAGGTGTAGACTGGCTCGTTCTGTTTCGCCTTCATAGCGATGCTATTCTTCTTCGCCTTACTAACAATAGAGTGGACTGCGATGCCGAAGAAAGTCATCTTGATATCTGTGTGGGGAAGCAGCAACGCTAGTTCAGAGAATCTAGCACGATGATGATAATCAGCATGGAAAAGATTAGCCGCTGACAGTCTCCACATACAGGGGAAGCATATTCAATTCAACTTCAGCGCCGATATAATGTACGTTGAGCGTCTGACGACTCTCTGAAGAACTTCTTTTGGGCCCTGCGACCTGGAGCACGTTCACCAAAAGCTGGTATACGGTGAGAGGATAATGCAATAACAAGGCTGCTGGTGATTCCTTTGGGATATTTCGCCACTTGTACCATGAATCCCAGTCCACGATATCCACGTTGGAAGCAAGCTCAGGCTCCGTGCCAAGCTCAAAAACCAATCGGGGGATTAAACGCTTCTCCAGCTTCCAGCCAGTCTCATCCGTCAATAGTTTATTTGAAAGCAGCATGTAGCCGTGTTCAAATCCCTTTGTGTCGTCGACGCGAAGCGCTCCAGACGGGCCGGAAGTATTACTTGGCTGCTGAAGGTGTGGGTTGGAGCCTCCGGGAATGCTCCAGTAGCCGAAACCCTCTGCACCCAAGACATTGTGATAGGCGCGTACGATGGGTTCGGCAAAGGTGCCATCCGTCTCGATGCGACCCCAGGGAAATTGCTTCAGAAGGGCTTGCACTTGCGGGACCTTCTCCATATGTACCTGAAATGGAATTCGTCAGACACTACAAATAAACGGTACTCTGGGAAAGAACAGGCAAGCACTGATAATTCGTACCTTATTCTTTGCACAGAAGAATTTATGACCTTGGGCTCCAAACCTCCCTGCCTTCCAGTTTGCGGTATGGCACTGAAAAGTCGAAGATGAGCGAGTGCCTATATATTAATGGAGATGTAAATTGACATTCTTCGAGCAGAATACAGCGGATCTACAACCCGAGCAGATCAAGGGCTAATGACTCGAAGTCAATCACGGGCTAAAGCGTAACTATTTGGACGTACTTTACGACCCATGATAGGTATGTCGCAATTGTAGCAGGTCGGTACTATCCCAAAGTCCAGTTTACTTGGGTCCCCTCCTGGACGCTGCTCGCTCCGGAGCTGTTCTGCCCCTTTGTATGTCATGCGAGTGATGTCTGCAGCAGTAGGCATGGGTATTTTGTTGGGCATCTTGTATGCAAGGGTCAGAGGGTGGATTGGAGGGATCGTGGATGTAAATTATAGCTTTCAAAGTTCATGAGGTAGCCACGAGGAGGCCCATGCGGCAAATTCAATCGATAATCGATTCCCCCTGCAGCGCTTGACCAAAACCGCGTTGATCATTGACCATTCCAGTGCATTGCGAACTTTTCAGCACATGTGCGTGATCCTGCATTTCATTGAGCGGTTGCATACGAAAGGCAACGCGAGATCTGACCGCTTCAGACAGAATCACTGGCAAACCGAAATATTGTTATACTAGTAGTCGAGTGGAGCTGTGAGAATACCTGAACACGTGACTTGCGGCTATACGCTCATCGGGATTCGGCATTGATGGCCCATCGATACCTCCATCATCGTGTCATGGCTGCCGGGTGCCCTGGCCCCTGGAGAATTTAACAAGCAAAATTCTGGACAATGGAGAATTCATTAACGTTTTACTTCCACCTTCTCAAGAGAAATGGCACCGGCTCATGCTTCGATTGTGAATCCAAGTAATGCTACGCTGTGTGCAACTGCATTTTCAATGGACGGATTTTCTAACGGCTTGCTCACGACTGTTTTCATCCATACTACTGTTACTACCACTACTCTACAGTTTCAGCACCTCGAGATACAACAACTGCTTGAGCTGCAACGTCGAAGAAACATTCAACAAGTTGTGCCAGATGCGGTTGATTTCCCGGCGTAAGAAATGGAGCTGCTTGCGGAAGAGCTAGGCCCTTTTCTCTCATTCTGCGAGTGAGTTGTTTCCTTTGGGCTCTTCTCTGTGACAGCGCGAGCTTTCTGCGAAGGAGCGGCAAGTTGTTGTTGGAATATTCCGACCCTGTCAAAAAAAATTCGGTAGGCCATTAAGAGGTGCGTAGTTATTTTTCGCAGGCGCATGGAAGCTGTTCACTCTTTGCTGTACAGCATCGGTTTTCTCGAGATGCTGTTCTCGGCACCAGTCCCCCTTGCATGAAGCTCATACAAGCATCAGACTGTTGACGGAAGCACGGACACGTGGGGTGATATAAATGTCAGTCTATGCGTATTGCACTCGGGAACAGAAAGTCGAGTGTACGCGTCCCAGTGGCAATGCAATTCCGATCCCTCGTATCAATGCATCATTCCTTGTCACGGTAAGTGGCTGTGATGACAACAAATTACAGATCATGATCGCGTAGTTATAAAGGTTAGCGCATTCATCCCCTTCTCTAACTACTATCAGTCTACTACCGCAAAACTTGCTCCTCCATCATGCCTAGCATCAGCGATTGTAAGTGTGTCCTTGTCATTGGATCTACGTCAGGGATAGGTCGTTCCCTTGCCCTTGCGATCTTGGACCTCCCTTCTCAACCAACCGTCATTGTCTGTGGGCGCCGCAAGGAAAGGCTCGACGAATTGGTCGCCTCCCACAATGCCACCGGACGACTCAAAAGTGTTACTCTTGACGTTCTTTTAGAGCGCAACGCTCTCAAGTCTTCTATCGAGGAGATTGTCAACACTTACCCAGACGTATGTACCCGTAGCACTGTCTCCTGTAAACCAGCTTACCGGCTTTTTAGCTTGACGCTGTTCTTTTCTCGAGTGGCATTCAACGTGCTTTCGACTTCACGAGGCCAGATACCATTGATCTCGACTGTAGGTCTCTCCTACTGTGCACCTATGACATACTAATTTCTACCAGCTCTCGAATGTGAACTTGCCACCAATTACACCTCAATTGTCAGGATGATCACCTTCTTCCTCCCTCATCTTATCAAGCTTGGAGTATGAGCAAATTTTTTTATTTTCCTTTCATCCCTGACCCTTGTGCAGGAGCAAGGCCGTCCGACATTCTTGTATCCAGTTTCCTCAGGGCTCTCCATCTATCCCGCCGCTGGAGTCCCTGACTACTGCGCAACAAAATCTGCCCTCCACAGTTTGAGTATCTCACTAGCTGTTCAGCTTAAGAAGAAGAATGTTCACGTGGTCGAAATTATTCCTCCGTGAGTTACTTCATTTGTTTCATTGTTATCGAACTCATTGTCGCGAAGACTCGTCGAGTCGGAGCTGCACGGCTGTGAGTCCCCTTCAATTTTTTTTCGTCTCTACTGTCTCTTGACCTGTGCGTTAGTCCAAGGTACAACACAAGGACTGAGTCGTTTCTGGCTTACGCTTGAAGAATACACGAAAGAGACAATGGAGGGCCTTGTTCGAGGCGACCCGTATGTTCCAGCGGGGACTGCTGTTGATCGGTACAAAAAGTTCGAGGGTGGGAAGCTGGAGGCTGCAGCGAGGTTATATGGGCAATCCTGATTCAGACAGAGAGAACACAAATATTATTGTTGTAACGTGCTCCTGGTCATTTCGCTACTGGGAGTAAGCTCGGTCCCAGAAATTACGTTGCGTCGTGCATAGTCTATGAATATTTAAGTACTAAGTGGCAATATAAGCTTTGCTAATATACCTGATACATGTGACTGAATTGGCAATGTACTGGAGCGCGCCGTGTCCATTGCCATTCTCGATTTTCCGCTCAGTCTCCTCGGGTCACGCGTTTCACGACGCGTCAAGTCACGTGATCGTAAAATCTCATTTTCATTTTAAAGTTCTGAGTGACTCCGATCGCGAGTCACTTTGACTCTTAGGCAGCTAGTTATTAAATATTCGGTTAGAACAAACTAGGGTGTACACCTCGATCAATCATGTCTACCCAACACCTCTGGCTTCGTTGCGAAAAGAAGGAGTTTGAGCGTCGCTCAGCCCTTACGCCTACCACGGCGAAGAAGTTGATCGATGCTGGCTTCCAAATCAGCGTCGAACGTGATGAACAACGGATTTTCGATGACGTTGAGTTCGAAGCGTATGTGCGAATAATATAACCGTTATCGTCCGCTAAACACGCGTCGTAGTGTTGGTTGTATGTTAGTGGATAACAGCTCATGGCCCACGGCCCCTACAGATGCCCTCATCATCGGGTTGAAGGAGCTTCCAGCATCTCAGGAACCCCTACGTCACACACACATTCAGTTTGCTCACTGCTATAAGCGTCAAGCAGGATGGTCATCCGTACTGGCTCGCTTCTACAAGGGAGGAGGTACACTCTATGATCTAGAGTTCCTCACCGATGCTACGGGTCGGCGTGTTGCTGCTTTTGGATATCATGCTGGCTTTGCTGGTGCCGCCGCTGGCGCACTCGCTTTGGCTGCGCGACGATCAGGAGAAAAGTTGGGCCGTTTAGAACCCTACGAGAATGAGACTGCCATGATCGAAGGTGTCAAGAACACACTCGGCGGCAGCGCCAAGGGCGTCAAAGCTCTCGTGATTGGTGCCCTCGGACGGTGTGGACGCGGAGCTGTGGATCTTTTCCGCAAGATCGGTTTGTCTGAGTGAGTGATCGCACGGAGCTAGGCAGTATATGTCTTGACAAGTCTTCGTAGGGACGACATCGTAAAGTGGGATATGGCTGAGACTGCCAAAGGTGGTCCATTTCAGGAAATCCTTGACGTGGATATCTTTGTAAATTGCATCTACCTGTCGTCTTTTATCCCACCTTTCTTGGGCAAAGACCAAATTATCGCTGCCGGCCAAAATAGACGGCTGTCGGTAGTTGTGGATGTCAGTTGCGACACAACGAACCCATTCAACCCCATCCCAATTTATAGTATAAACACAACTTTTTCCGAACCAACTGTTCCCGTTGATCTCGGGTGCGTAACTTTGGTGCATTGCCTGAACCAGCTAATGTCTTGACTTGCGCACCAGACAAGATTTGCCGTTGTTGTCGGTGATCTCCATTGATCACCTACCAACGCTGTTGCCCCGCGAGGCTTCCGAACAATTCAGCAACGATTTGTTGCCATCACTCTTGGAGCTTCCTCGACGAAAGACCACAAGGGTCTGGACTGACGCAGAGAAGCTGTTCCACGAGAAACAAAAAGAGGCAATTGAAGCGGAAGGCCTGTGATCGGTTGCGTTGAAAATTGGGATTCAGGCTGGTGAAACATGTCCTCGCCCTTGTTATTGTTGTAATATTAGCATCAGTAGGAAATACCACGCCCTGTAACAATGTAGATTTTGTGATATAAGTGTTTGAAAGTGGTACTCCGGGAAAATGCTTGGGCGGCCCGTGGAGTTATAGTAAGCCAGCTGGCATGATGGAAAAGCGGTGCTATTAATTATGATCTGTTGGCAGGATACAGTGTTGTCGTTCTGTACAACCAGGTGAAATCTGGATGATAAGATAAACCAGGACTGAGCAATTCCTAGTGTGGCACGCCGCTTTATGTACTAACATTTCTAGCGCTGCGACTCGCGAGCGTGGTGAAACTCCTCGTGTTTGCCACCTTTACCGCTCCTTTTATACGTCCACCCGACAAGCTTCCATTCTTTTCATTCTTTCATTCTTTTTACAGTTGGCGCCGGTCGCCCTCCCAAGCCATGTTATCCTCCGTCGGTACATCCATTCCTCACATCCGCATTTCCCCTGCTTCGCCAGTCAAGGCATGTCCAGAGCCCTACTCCCCGTTTCTCTCCGCACGCAACACAGACAAGGATAATTGCGAGCACCGCCCACAGTCGCCGAGCTCACAATATCACTTTCCAGCCATATCTCCCAGGCATTCGTCTCCTCTTCGTCCTGCAGACTGTCCTCCTCCAAGAGAACTTCATCGTGATCAGTTTGATCTGCTTCTCGAAGTGTCGCGTGACAAGAGAGCTGCGCTCGGTTCGAGAAAGGTCCCAGATCTGCGCAAGGAACTTGCCATCAAGAACCAGAGAAATAAACAACGTGAGTCAAATGGATCGGTGTCATGAATGAGTTACGATCTCATTCCGTTATGCGCTTATTTACAGTCGAACGTCGTGCATCCTTCCTATCAAGAATCCAGGAACCTACGTTGTCTACTACGGGTTCTAAGAGTTCTGCGGAGTTCTCTGGCGTTAATTATTGCACATTCCCATCTCTCGGCCTCGGCTCGCCGTCTTTTTACTCATCTGTCGAGGAGCATGATGGTTGGATTGGAAAAGGCCTCCACGAGCGCCGCACCTGGCACGGACAGACGGATTGTCGTTTACCTATCAGCAAGCCCAAGGCAGACCTGAACTTGGGTAGACGCAAACTTCCATCGCTGGAAGAGATCATCGCCCGCGTTGGACCACCCCATCCTCCCCCACCGATGGCCAATGAGCCAATCTTTGCAACACCCCGTCTACCCATGTTCCTAAGGAGCGACAAAAACTCATCGTCTACGCGGACTGTCTCGGACACGAAACCTAGTATCAACATCGGCAGATTACATATGCCCATCAGGCGCCGTCAGAGCAGTGACTCTATTTCTTATATGCGGACAGGTGCCATGCCCAACTCTCCTTGTTACCCGAACATCGAGGTAGCCAGTCCTCGTGCTCGTGGTAATGCGATGTGCAAGTTCACTGAGTCCAATATGCACGCCCTTGGCCGAGCCAACACTGCTCGTGAAATGATAATCACCATCAAACGTCGCACGTCCCCTCCTCCCGTATGCCTCGCAAACCATCAACCTAGGTCAAAGAGACACAGCGCTCCCGCGGAGATGCAACTAAGAGGACGCTCTGGCTTCGAGCATCCCATTATGTCATTGCCTGGGGCTTTTTGAACACATAGACATTTTGGACTTTATCTTGGTACTGCCGTGCAGTCATCTCCATGGACAGCTTATTGGACCTAGTCTTCTCCTTAGTGTAAATACGCTGCCGCGTGTCTTGATGACACGGGGTTGCGTAACCGTCTGGACACAAATCCACTGCTTCTTTTACTTCTTACCGCACCGCGTTGTACGATCGCGAATCCTGTCTGGTACACGTGCGCTCCTTCGACACCACTGCCTACGCTTACACACCATCATTTACGTGTTGCCATTAGTAGTTCTTACTAGTACGAGTACAACTTTTCCGAGGGAGTATATCCCCTTGGGTATGGGTATTATGCACACAAGGGCTGTCGGTACTTGATTACTTCCTTTTGTCCGTGGGACGCGTGACTGCGAACTACTTCCACGATTCCACCGTTCGCCACCGGTGTTCACGGGTATCAGAGATACTACTAGGTGGCGGGTATGAACTAGTGCTGCTGGCCGGTGGCAGTAGATCTGGAAGCGGTGATGGAGGCCGCCCACGCAATCGAGCAATGACGTCTACACGTCTGCCTTAGTAACGTCAATATCGAGACCATGGGCTGATGACTTATTGTCGCTTACTGTAGTCAAGTCTAACGTGTTCGTCCTGTAGTTCTTCATCCGAGTCTGCCAAGGGATCGGTAGAAGTGACGACCTGCCAAGCATCTAGTGGTGCCCATACACATCAATGTAGACGAAACACTACTTGTCACCCACGTTGCAGCATGCTTCTATGAGGTCCACGAGAGCTACTATAGTTAACTCTATGGTCTTCGCTAACTGTAAGGATATGAGAACGGAACACCCAGAAGCACTAAGGAAGAGCATACCAGAACGGGTAATCTGGGGTGCACGGTCGGGGGGAAGATAATGGATGTAAGGTTTGTCCCTGGTACCTTCTTGCTGTGATCTTGAGGGTCTTGAACGACCAGAAGTGGGTTCAGTCACTGATCAAATGGTTAACGGATAACTAAATCAGTGAATGACAAATAGTCGCACATTTAGATGTAGACGCAGCGGCCTTGACCTTTTTCTCTTTTTCGATAGAGTGGACGAGTCTTTGCAGAAAGAGGTTTCTTTGTGCTGACATCGACTTGCCCCATTCGATTTCATCAGGAGAGTCTATATTTTCCTGTGCCATCTCTGCTTCTGTGAGACGGCGCAGCCAAGGAACCTTGCCGGGATTTTGGCGGGAGTAGTCATCATCGTACGGATTTGGTTGATCAGGGCCCTCCAGATAGTGAAATACGAGCCATAGGAACGCGCGCGCGCGGTCAGCTGAAGCTATGTTGATGGGCAAAAAAAGATCCAGGAAGTTCAGGGGCGGATCGAAGTGAGTACTTGCAAGGGGCTGACAAGCAGTCAGTGCGAGGAGACTAGACACAAATAGAAACCTTACGCCCGCATGGTTTGCTAGAACGAATATTAAATTGACAACACTTGTAGATGGAAGTTCACGAGCCCTCTGGCGGTATGAAGATGAGCTGCTGCATGAAGAACCATGGTGATGAATTCGCGTACGCTCTTCTGCAAGATTTCTTCCGGAGTAGACGGAGGCATGTTCTTAAGCTCAGATGGGAGCAAAGCAGCCTTGAGACAGTTCTTGATCCGCGGGGCATCTTGGGCATTACCATCGGTCTTTTGAAGCGAGGGTACCGGATGATAAGTCCGCAAGGCTGTCTTCATTTCTGGAAAGACTGCCTTCGTTATGAGCACGTTTAAGGAACGAAGCGCGATGCAAACTTACATGCCATAGTGGTGTTGATGCGCCCCACGTTTGTCAGAAGAGAAATTTTGGCAAGCTCGACTGCGAAAGCAGGTGTCTCGGCCATCTTGTCTTTGAGGACTTTGGAACACTTGTGTGACATATACAACGCATTGACGTAGAGATCGCAGAAGTGGACCTTGGGGTCCTCGCTGGGGGCTTGGGGGGTGAAAACTTTGTGCTTGTCATTGAATATATGGCCAAGGAGATCGAACTGAACGTCCTCTCGGGTGAGAGGTTCTGCGTCGTTGCGCTTTATGGGAAGAGTTTTACGACTTAGGTATCCCACGCTGAGGACATCAAGAAAGTTTTGAACAATGAGCTACGTCAGTGGACCGGATAAAAACATACAGAGGAGGAGGTTCGGTTGACCAGTTAGTAGCAGGCTGGAGATGGTAGTCGGAAGTTGAAGCCATTGAAGGATATGGGAGCTGCTGAGGATGGATGGGGGCTACTTATGCAAGGAAACATGAGGCAGTAATCTTTCCTATTGATGATGACCATTTGTATTGCAGGTATGCTTAATTGACAGAATCTCACGTGTAGTGCCACGGGGCCAGGCTATGTCGACATAAGTGCCTGTACCGTCCTAGGTCAATCGCCAGAAAATTGAACCATCGCAACAATGTTTGTTGGGTTGCGACGAATGAACCTAACTTATAGATGAGTCCTCTTGCCAACCAGCCAGCCGCTGGGACGAACATAAACATCCAGCTTCAATACGCCGATCGATCAACCTTCGCGGAATCAAACGTGAGAAATAATTTCCAAATTTAATCTTGATTTTTCCTGTAGCAAATTCATTTCACAGACTAGTTGTCTTGGTCTAACCACATAATGGACAACGTCAAGTTCGACGAGGCTACCCAAGTACGTCGCCACATTTAACACTTCCCATTGATTCTCAGGTAGTTTTTATAGAAAGAGCTCACTACGTTCTTAGAACGTGAACAAGCTCAAGCTCGCATCAACTCCACCGTGCATAACCTAACAAGCATGTGTTGGGACAAGTGAGCCTCCGTCTTGGCATTCGTGACCCTTCTCTTGATAAATTATTTGATGCAGATGTGTCACCGGCACTCCAGGGTCTCGCTTCGCCCGTGGGGAGGAGAGCTGCCTCTTGAATTGTGTGGATCGCTTCATGGATACCAGTTTATTCATCATCAAGACCATAGAGGCACAACGCCCGCAACAATCATGAGCTGCAACTTGTATAGTACCATACTTACCGCTCGACTTCGTCCGCCTAATTGTTTACATCATCTCACCTCATCCAGCCCAGAACTTGTTAAGTATTACTACATCAAAGACTCCGAGAGACATCCAGAATTACAACATAGTACACAACAAACCGTCATAAAACAGCCTGCACCAACCTCGACCATAATACATATGCTGCCACTGGAACAAAACAACAGAAAGCAATCGGTATCTCCCGTTTACTCCCTAGTTCTAATGGGATTTCGACAGTGCCGTGATGACCAGAGGGGAAGCCATCTAAGCGATGGAACGTCGTGATAAATTCATCCTTGTCCATCCATAACTTCCTAAGCCATTCATCAAAGATAGTCTTCTCCTGTTCTGGGAAGTCCACTTCAATAGGCTCGTGTTCAGATCCGTCGGGAGTCACAGCGGGATTCGTCCCTGAGATGTCTCCTATGGGAACATCCTTTGCGACGTCAAATATTCTTAGATGCATGTGCACTATAGGCGGAGGTACGCCGTCGCAGAATATCGAGCGGAGTGTGTAGAAAGATTGCCCGTATCCCTTTGGCGGTATGCCTGGCAGCAGTAACGATGGTTAGCGGAATATTAGAGCAGCCAGGAACATACCTGGATATACCATCGTGATGTCGATCAATTTCAAAGATGGCACACGCGACGCAAGTGAGCGAAGACTATAGTGAAGCCCCGTCGACCGAGGCAGCAAGATATTTAGTGGATCGGGCTAGAGGATACATGGTCGTCATCGACTTCACTCAGAATGGCAGTAGAAACGCACAACACCAAGCTTATCCGCATATTTCCTGCTGATAGGGCGTGTATCTTTACTCACAAGGGTGCCTTCTGGAAATAGAATAAACGTGAATGGGTTGTCTTCTTGTTCTGCTTGTCGGCCAATTTTTGCGAGTTTCGCTGATAATTGTATTCTATCAGAGGCCCATGAACGTGCTAGAAAGATGAATCTAAATATTTGCATTGCCTTCGTCGTCATTTAGCAAAGAGCTCCAAATTCACGGATTCCACGTACTGGCCCAACGAGAGGAACCCACTTCAGGCTGTTCTTCAATACAATGAAGACATCCTTGTGTGTTCCCATGAAGTATGTGAGGCACCAGACATACCACCAGTCAGAGTAGACCTGAAAGCGAATCAGCGGACGCTACACGATCAGGGTGATGACGAACCTGATGATTCGCGATAACGACCGTCTTAGACGGTAGGCGTAAGGCCACCACCCTGCCAGACGCATCGCGTTCGACTATATGTTTGATTTCCTCCTCTGTGAATTTCCCTGGTCCCACCCGCTCGAATGTGATGGAAAGGCGTGTCGGAGCGAACCATTGGTTCATCAAATCTAGTAGGGCGTGTCGTTATATAGCGTATCGCCAGCATCATGCATGATGACTCACTCATAAGCGTCGCAAAAGCGCCCTTCGTATATCGTACCCCCTCGTCATATAACTTCCAGGCTCGTGGGCTTGAAGAGAAAAGCTTCAAGGGGAGTAGAATGAAAAGTTGGAACCCGTGAATCATGAGACATCCTGGGATAAACAATATGAAGAAGAACAACCCATTGAGCGTCTGGGTCCACGTCTTTGGAGGACGTGCGAATATGGGGAGCTCATGCTGTCTAGCAGCGGCGGTCATAGTAGAAGAGAAAGGTGTGGGTAGTCGCAGTCGGGAACAGTCAACTCTCCAGGCGTGCTTTCAAAGCTGCGCTCATCAAGGCTATGTACGATAAATCCGAGTCATGTCAATGACACGCGTGTTTCAAATTTTCAATTACCATCCACCGCACACACGTATACCAGTATCCGAAGCAACAATCCGGAACAAATCTCCGCGATATTCCACATGATACATGACCTGGGCCCTTGAGAAGTCTGTCGTTTAACGTCATCACTGGCGCTCTCAAGATACCGACTGGACTTCAAGCCAACAAACTATACATGCTCGAGCCAAAAGATCATATCCTTAGGCCTCAGCGTCGATTAGCTTTGGCTGGGGCGTAGCTACAGCTAAAAAGACGTCACTGATATGAATTTCCCACTGGGTCCAAGTTCCGGCAATCAGCGCATTTGGAGCGCGTCAAGTACGTATCATGGACTATTAATGATCTGGGTCACATCACTGACTAAATTCTCAGGCCTAACCAAACCTATGATCTAGCCGTCCTTGGAAAAGCTCTAATGTTAATTTTAAAGGACCCGACACGGACTACATACTATGCCGCAATGGAACCCCCCTAGCACGTAAAAGGTTTACCAACCTGGCCACTGGCGTATGCTTCGACGATGAGCTATTATTGATCACTGACGGTGAGACGAGTGTCAGATGCAAAGACACGAACACTGACCTTTATCGACACATAAGTCCCAGCGGCACAGATGAAAGCGCCGGCAATGATAGTCAGCACTGCGAGTATAGTCCCGATTGGCCGTCCTTTGAGCCCGTCTACGCCACCCTTGAGATGATATACGTCATGCAACCAGAAGAATCCGGCCAAACCGTACGTGTACCATGCGGCAAAGAGGGCTGCCGCAATGCCGATTAGGTAGGAAAATATCGGAACTGCGATAGCGAGAATTGCAGCGACAGCTACGCCCGTAAAACACAGCAGAGTCCAAACCGTCCATCCGAGTAAGGTATGCGAATGGATGTGCTCTGAATGACGAAATATGCGAACAAACACCAGCTTTGCAGCTGTATGAACGTATAGCCCGGAAGTGCTTCCCGAAAAGGATTTAGTGAGAATTAAACCAAACAGCAAAGTATCACTGACAACAGGAAATTTGCGAGAGCAATAGCAAACGTTGCCTTTGCCCATGCCGGAGGAAGAGAAAAAAGGGCCGGGGACTGCACCGTGTTTCCAATGTAGACATATACGACTACGCTGAAAACAGTATAAAATACTGTAGCGAAGCCTTGCAGACACCATGCTGCCTGAAATAGGCCTTCAGAGTCACAACATCAAGTACAGTAGCGTTCTGACCTTCATAGCGTCCTCGGGTCTACGCATCTCAGATATTAGAATAAAGAACCTGTCAGAGGTCAGCTTCAGCAGAAATACCATGCGCAAAGTCATACATGAAGTGTCCTAATAAAGCGTTTAAAAATGTCGATTAATATTACAAAATTTCCGTACCTGCGTATGCAAAAACCTAATGAGCGGATAAGCGACGCTGAATAACTCGAAGACATAAGAAGGTACCCACAGGATTTGTGACAGCCAAGAAAGCATCGAAAAAGTTACTAGATGCAGCTACTGTCAGAGACCGTCCGGGAACTGGGTTCGCCCCTGCTCCAATCATTGCAACGAAACCAGCCACGGCAATGACTATTGCACTAATAAAACCCATCCACGCCAAGCGATCCAGTGTCCGCGGTAGTGAAATCAAGAAACCAACGGCACCAGCGATAATAACCAGATACATGCTGCATAAGCCTTGATTCGAAAGCGTTGACAGTGCCTGCTGGCTGGAAAGTAGTTCAGAGCCCTGTTTGGCATAATTCAGTTGTGAAATATTCGAGTTGACTCGATGACCCACAGAAGCAAACACAGCGAAAGCAACAGTTCCGAAGGCAAGCACCTCCCGAGCTACAGGTCCGGCCATAATGTATCCAGCGTCGCCTAGAGCATCTCAGATATTTGAAAACGATTAACGACAGAATTTATTACCCATCGTATGTACGTTAGGATGATTCAGTTTGAAGTCGATGAGCAACTTCGCAGTGTACAGGCCAAAAATACCGAGAAACACGATTAGAATGACAGCGGGCACAATACCTGGGGATTTGTAAAAAGTTAAAACGCTGCTCCTCATGGAATTTACAGGACAGCAGGCTCACCAACGACTGCCAATGCGCTTGGAAGAGACAGGATACCATTGCTGACGATTTCGGCTATCATGAGGAGACTGACAGCCTATAACGTCGATCAAGATTTTACTTGGTGCAATTTTGCATAGACGCACCTGCCAGCTAAGTGTTTTGTACTGAATCTGGTGGACGTCATCTTCAGCGAAAACATCTCTGGAACCTCCCGAATCTTGCTTTTCGGCGGTCATCGACGCCTTTTCGTCCACATATGGTTGCCCATGCGCTTCATATGTCGGGTGCGACGCCATTAGGACTCAGGCGTTCACTGATGTTCAATCGGGATAAAAAGGTCAGGTTACGAGAACACTCATGCCCTATAAATAATGTGAAGCCAACAGGATAAGGAGAAAATGCGAAACCCGCACTGCCCCATTTGCCCCAGGATAGACGAAACCATCCAGTGGTCGGGTGACTGTCCGCAATATCTACGCTCGAGAACGTCATATGTTCGCCAAGCCACTCACGGTGTCACCAAGCAACCTCCTTACCCCCGAAAAGCCAGCAAAACACTCATGCGCTACATCAACAAGATGGGAAGATTGAAGTTAATATCATGCAGCAAGTTGCAACAGAAAGTTTGAGTGTACGCGACAAAAAAGGAAATCCAGATTTGACACTGGGAACATCAAAGACTGATCCTTCCTACATGTGATGCAGAATCAGCAAAGATATAAAGGAATGGGTGTTATAAACATTACTAGGGCACTAGAGGGGTATTTGAGATGAGCTGCTATTGCTGGTGTAGTATCTTTGACGAATTCGGTTCGGTTGTGCTTCTTCACTGATTACTCGCACTTACTCGAATAATCACTGAGGTGCTCCTGATCGCTGCCCAAGATGCCTTCACTGAGGACTCTCATGCTGGACCTATCCCATGACAAATCATCTTCATATCCAAGGACGCCAAGTTCCTCGACTTCTATAGACCCCATCTTCAGCTTGTGATGCCACGGTCGGGTCTTCGCCGCTGAAAGGTCGTTCGAGTCAGCTTCTCGTCATCAAATATTGATATTGGGTGAGTGAATCCGAAATTCTGGGCAACTCGTCTAGATGGCCTCCATACAGCAGGGAGATTGATGGCTGTAAACTTCTTGATGATATTGTTGCTTTTCTTTCGCCATAGGTTGCTCGATGTCGCCATCGGCCGAGTACTTTCCTACGGTCTACTACGCGTTCCTTCCCTGTTTCTTCCTGCTCCGGACTCTACCCGATATCTAGTGTCTTGTTGACCTTAAAGACAGTTAATGGTGGTAGTGTTGTGACTGTGGTCGAAATTTCAGACTTTTATCCTCTTGGAGCGGTGTATCCGTGACTGCGTGCCTGTGTGTCGCGAGCAAGAAGTGGTGAAGACTCAAGAGCACTACGCTACGACAAAGCTTGAAGGACACCGAGTAGCTGACTAAGCTACGGTGGTTACGCCGCTCTATGTAGATTCGTGACCTGAGGCCAATAAACGGACTTGGTTTTCTAAGTCAGCCGAGTCGTGCCTCGGCTGACGTAGATGTTCAACGTTCAGTCTGAACGCAAATTAAGTGAGGTGGCGCAGCGTCTCGTGCTCCTGCTCACCTCGCAATTTCACCTTTTCCGAGTATCTAGCTACTCATTTTCTACGTCCCGAGGAAGAAGGCAAAAAACTACTGCACAGCCTATCGCCAAACCCGCAAGAGCTCTGAATTGAGTCATCGATGATCGGATGAAGATACTACTGTTCCAAATATCGCCATAGTCTACTAGTTAATTACTCTAGTTCATGGGATCGCCTACATGTTTCAATCATTACTGTATGTACTATCGGAACACGGTGTCGATCTGATGACTTGGACGTGAGATATATGCGCGAGCTTAAAGGTTTCAACTTTCCGTCACTAGGCTACAGCAACGGCACCGCAATCGTATCACGTGCGTCCAATAATGGTATGATACATGCGTAAGCTCTAAAGTCCCTCTTTATCCAGGAGATATTGGAGAAGGCGCTGATATGCTGTATCCACCTCGTCTTAGACGTGCGAAATCCACCTATTATCACCTATGATATGTAAGACAGTTTATGTGCAAATCTCCGGTGAGATTGTTATAAACCCCAACATGACTTCGAATCCCCTACTCGCAGCTCGCTCACACCCATCGCTTACACACCAGTATGACCGTAGTCTCTGATCCCAGTTCGTGGCCGATAATCAATTTGAATATTATTTCCAGCTATTGGATGGGTTCGTCAGATCAGTCAAGATGTCTCGATCTAACATTGACTTGTGGTTTCGCAGTTGCCGCAGGCCTCGTGGTTACGGTAGTATACGACTGGTGTGAGGAGGACAGTATTCAAAAACCGCTGATATTTTTATGATATTTCCAGCACTAACACTCGGACAAGAGGTAGGTCGATGTTATCTCCGGAGCAGCCAATTCGCTAAGAATCGTGTTCTAGATTGAGCTGATCTGGGTGAGTGACGCAGTCCTATATCAGGAGAAAAGCAACAGAAGACAATGAATCTGTGGCAGACGCAACGCTGGTCTTTCATGACTGGGTTATACCTGGTTGTTTGTACCTCATGCTAAGTAGCGTGCTCGACGGTTGTGCTGACTCCAAAATATTCCAGATACGCTATATTGGACTATCATATTCTATGTGTGTTTTTGAGGCTAAAAAATTGGTGCTGTACTAGAAGCCCATCTTCCATCATCAGTATCAACGCTCTACGTATGTCTCATATGTACCGTGTTTGTTTCTTCTGACCGGCGGCACACAGTAAATATGCCATTTGTCCCGCTGACAGATGCAGTGAGTATTTTGCAACCACCTCGTTCACATCCAATGAATACATTCACTTTTAGGGGTGTGTGAGATTCTGACCATTCAACTTGGCTCAACATAATGACTCGATAGGTGTGAGTCGGAGTGTTTGATCCTAGTAAGAGTGATCGCTGATTGAATGCTCCAGGCTACATCTTGGGCTGCACATTGAATGTGACAAGTGTGATCGTAACTGCCATGTTGGGCGGTGAGCTGCAATACCTCTGTGATATCGACTCAACTGAAACACGATGCAAGCCGTCATAATTGCTCGGTTGTATGCCATGTATCAGAGATCTAGAATCATGCTTGTCTTTCTTGTTATTATCTTTCTGTCTGTCAACATCGTCTGTGGAGTACTCGTGGCAATAATACTCAAGCACATTGTAACGGGTAAGCTTTACTTGTTGACTTGAAGAACATAGCTCATTGGACGAATATCAGGGGAGCTGATACTCTCTGGCATGTATATGTGCAGTTATGCATTTGGGGAGATGGCGAGCTTCTGTTTTCAATGGCTTGGATCCTCAACACTGTTTGGGAGGTCCTCGCACTGTGTCTTTCAGTCTGGATTGCTGTGAAACATTTCCGTAACCTGCGATGACTCGGCCAATCGACAGAATCGACCATCGGGGACTGTTTCAGGGTGCTGATAAGATCTCACATACTTTATTTTGCAAGGTGAGCTTGTAATGTGAATGTGCTTATCTGTTTCTGCTCAAGTTCTGCACGTACTAGCTTTGTTGGGGCTTCTTGCCTTGACTTTATTACTAACTCTCCAGAGCTCGAGGTGCGCCGATCTGTCGCTGGCATCTACGTGTAACCACTGCTCATCATTTCTGTAGATTTCAAGTTCTATAGGAATTTCGGCACTCAGTGGTGCTCTTCAGGTTTTATTTAATGTGCAGGTATTTGTGCTGGAACCACGCCTGATCCTTAGCATTCGGGAATATCACGCCAAACTCATGGCTGACTCCGACGTAGAAACCGGCATGTATTCGATTGTCTTCCGGGAGCATGTACATGTACCAACCAGCAGTACTGTGTAGGGACATACTTGCCGAGTGTTCTGCAGGGCGGGAAAATTTTGTCGAGGATTCGTCGTGGTACTTCAAGTTAGTAGTTCGATGTTTCGAAGCATATTTAAGACGAAGTTCATGTACACAAACCCTTTTTTGTGTGTGTCACTACTGGAAGTCGATAAACCGCCCGCCCATTATCCGGAACGTCTAGCAACCAATCCAGTCCTGGATGTCCAGACAACTGATTATGTATTTGCGGAGTTCCGCTGTCTGAGCGCACAGATGATGCATATGAGCGATCGCGTAGCTTCGTGATGACGCTAAATAGTTAATGTCACAACCTATTCTCACACCCCAGGACAGCTCGTAGGGCACAACGTCTAGTTTCTGTTGTTTGTGGCGGAATAGAAATATAGGAAAGGATGAGCTGTAGGAACCACGCATCTCACACCCCATTATTCCCTCTGTACGAAACTCACCATCGGCCTTTGCCCGACAACAAGCTAGCGGAGTCCTTGTTTTCTATCGATACCACGCCAGAACTTACACGTACACACGATAGATTAGGCGGGAGTAAGCTCCCAAAGGATGATTTTTTCTAAAAAAAAAGTCATGATCAAGGACTCCGGTCAAATTTTCACTGAGGCACTGCGCGGCGTCCTGACATAGTTGTGCAACAGTTGCAGTCATCACTGATTCAGATAGTGTTGCCGGAAGGTGAGACTACCTTGTAATACCAGATAGCACGTTGGTAGGTGCTGCGCGCGGGTTAGTTCGGCACCCTGAAAAATTCATTGACCACGTTGTTACACAAGGCGGGGACAACTTTCACGGCGCTAACAAAATTACGTGCCAAGTATGATACAGCCGGTATTGGCGCTTGGAACGCAAAACGCGACGAGCTCACCTATTATGCATATGATAGTGTGCACGTTCAAACGTCCAACGTTGAACGTCCAACTGTTCAATCGCACTCGAATCCAATTGGAGTCCTACATGAAGATTTCTGCGAAGCTTTTGAGGTGGCTCTAAAAATATAATCGTTCGGGTTAGGGCGTTGTCAAGCAAGTACTACGTCACGGCAGCCTATCGTGCCTATTATGACATGAATTTAAAAAAAAACACTTACTCCAGCAAGTGAACGCTGAATGCCCTTTCTGCAAAGGGAGTTATACCTAGTGTATCTTATATCGTGTTTGATGATTCCAATCCAAAGCGGGGACGGTAGAGGGTCCTTCAGCTGAGGCTGTAGTTGTAAAAGTTGCGACGACGCTGCTGAGGACGGACTCGGACCGTGTCGTAACCACTGTTACACGTAAGAGTTTTATCGGTACTGGCACGTACACTTACCGCAGATTCCAGAAGGAGTTGAAAGCAAGAAGCATGTGGTGCTTGTTGAAGTCGAATTGCAAGTTGAAATTACATATTATAAGCCCCATCATGTCCGACCCGGATTGAACCCGAAAACTGAGTACTGAGTGGCAGTGTTGTTGGCCAGCAACGAAAACAGGCACTCGACTAAGTACTACTACACATTCTCCATCCCTGTGCCAGAATTCTGGCTTGTTTTCTTATCAAACAAGTTGACGCCATATCAGACGCTCAGTCACGGATCCTTATTCTGCTGCGTTGAGCTGGCGCCACAGCGCTTGGTACCAGCCGACAACGTTAGCGGTAACGTGTTGGTGGAGGAGGTGCACTTAAGGTACGCTCTGCTATGCTGGGTTAATAAATGCATTGGACACTACGAAATAGGTCTTTGAAGCGTTTTAGAAGGTTCCCACTCGGGAGGAGTACTTGCGTAAAATTCATCAGGGCCTTTAGGCTTTGCATCGTTCTTTTTTTGCCTACGTGATGTCGAACTCAAACACTAGTATGGGAACTGACCGTCCTCTCCGGAAACCCAACCGTGACCCCCTCTTGTCGTCCAGACGTGACGTCCACAGGCCCACCATTTCTTCAGACGCTAAACACCCTTCCCCTGCTCCTATTCGTGTCTCGCCAGACTGCTTCGACATTCATTCAAGGTCCCAATTGAGTCCTGGTCGTACTTTTCATGCTCACGATCTTCTGCGGAAGCATTCCAGGAAATTTGATCAGGACAAAGGCAAAGAGAAAGAGAAAACGACTCAGCTTTCATACGCATTTCCAACTGTGGATCTTGCTCTTGAGGTCCCCGACTTCTCGTCAGGGGGTGATATCACTCCGAGGATCCCGCGTCATCGGACACGTACAGGTCCATCATCCGCCAAGTCAAAGTGGAAAGAGACCCCCGTTCCATCACTCCGGCTCTCCGTCGAAACCTCCAGTTTTGCTGAATCACCCCCGCAAACACCATTAAATTCATCTTCCATCAGGAATTACTCCCTCAGCCATTTTCCGGTAGTCGTCTCGGCTCCGGTTTCCGGGGTGGAGGCCATGGATGCGCTGGTTGATGGGATGAATGGCTTTACGATGGAAGATTTCTTCGGGAAAAGCTCCTCTAGTCGCTCAAGGTTTGGTAATAATGCAAGACATCACCCTCTATACCAACCACCTCTACCCATTCCTCCGCCTGGTGTAGTTCTTGGCAGAGGCAAAAGTCGACGACAAGATAAAATAGTACCTTCAGATGAAGATGAAGATGAACCAAGACCATCGCCTCCCACTCGTCGTACTCGCCGTGCTCGTCTGCGACCTGGTTCTGCACAAAAAGGTTCCTCGTCCACAATCACAGTTGACTCGGGGTTGTATGAGGTTACCTCTTCGGTACTTGATGACTCTGTTGATGACCTTCCAGTCGCTCTTGTGCAACCACCAGAGCGCCCAAGAACTGTTGTTCCTTCTATTTCGGAAATCATTCGGAACCACGCTCCCGCTTCTGCTCAGAACCGCTTTAGAGAACCCCAAAAACACGTGCCCAGTGATATTCACACCGATGGTCATACCAATGGTGTTGAGAACGAGGAATCCGAGGCTGAGTTGCTCACGCCTGATACAGAAGCTGAACCGTTGGGCAGGTCCTCCCTTGATAGCATTGCAGATGAAGTCCGCCGCACGTACCATAACCAGAAGAAATCGCATATTGTACCCCCACTTGCATCACCTCGTGCTCCCCCACTCACCGCTATGCCTTCGAACATGTCGGATAGCTCAAGTGGGCGACTTCGCAGGGCACCCTCAGACGTTTATTCCTATTCATCGACTGCATCAGCACGGAATTCGCAGTACTCATTGGACCTCATTCCCATTTCCATTTCTCCTACATCCGTACCCCAAGCCATAGCAGAATATCTTCGCTCCGCTAGATTGACAACTTTGCTGAAACTTACGCGATCCCCTCATGCATCACTTGATCACCCTCTGACCGTCAGCCTTGCGGATATGGGTGATCCAAATGGTTTTCCCCTCGTCGTATTTCTTGGTCTAGGCTGTGTCAGACACATCATGGGTTTGTACGATGAAATGGCAGACTGCCTTGGCCTTCGTCTGATTGCTATAGACAGGTAAGTTTCTGCTTGTTGACTAACAATAGCTTCACTGACATTCGTACAGATGGGGTCTAGGCCGTACCGAGATTCCACATTCCAAATCTGCAAGAGGCATCATGGAATGGGCGGCAGCTGTTGAGGAGGTTCTTGACCAGCTAAAAATAAATGAGTGCAGCATCATTGCCCATTCAGCCGGCGCACCTTACGCCTTGGCGTTTGCTAACCGTGTTCCCAATCGTATTCGGGGTGACCTTTGTCTACTAGCGCCATGGATAGGTGGTTCAGAAAGCGGTGAGTGCTGGAGGGACTTGCGATTGTGCTTCTTTCCCTCATCTGATGTACAGGAGGATACCGGTGGCTAAAGTATGTCCCCAATGGCATTCTGAAGACCGCGCAGGCAGCAGAGTGGAAGATCCAGGCATGGATGATAGGAAAGCCGCCAACCGTCGCTTACCGGGGAATCGGTTACACCGCACCGCTGTCGCCCAGATTTCAGAATGGAAAGTCAACGTCTGGTAATGGAGTCGAGCCTTCCTCGCAACCTCAGAGTCCCGGCAGAAACACTATTTACCTATCAGATATCACCAAGAGACGGATGAGCTTAGGTTCTGTTCTGTCCAGTGATTATGACGATCTACGGGATTTTGATGGTCGTTTTGGGAGCCAAAGCACGCTTGGCGCACGCTCAATGACACAACAGAGCAGAGGAAAACCTTCTCGAGGAATTTTAGGTAGACTTAAAGCATCCAAAGCAATTTCTCAGCCTCCTTCACCTGCTATTGAGTCTCCTCCCACCTCAACCGTCGGGAAAACGCTCAAGACTTTGAGATCTATGGGTTCCCTCACGGGCAAATCATCTTTCCCCCCCAACACACACAAGAAGACTGATGTCCCAAGTCCGCAGCTCCCTCAACCATTGTCGTTGGACACGGGCTTAGGTCTTGGTGAAATTGATTGGGACGCCACGAAGGTTCGATCCTCACCTAGTCCTATACCAACCCCTCCACCCCTTGTCAAACCAACCAAACCCGTCGAATTCAAGTTGCCTTTCGATAAACCCCCGCTTCAGCTTCTTCCTCGACAAACCGGCCAGCGCTCCATATCCTTCAGTGCGTCCACCACAAGTGTATCGAGACTAAGCCCGCCGAGCGTTCCATCATCCCCCCCTGCGAGCACTTTATCCTCTCCACACCTGAGTGTTCAAACTACATCAACTGCGTATCAAACTGCTCTTGCCAATGCTCTCATTGCGGCGTCTCACGCGGAAGCATCGAAAGGGACGCACAGCGACCTTCTACAGATCCTCAATCACGACAATCGTCCTTGGGGCTTCTCGTATAACGACTTCCCTCACAAGGTCCAGGTTTGGTATGGAGATAAGGATGAGAAGATTGCTGAAAATGCCGTGCGGTGGATGGAAAAGGCGATGGGCGAAGATCGTTGTCACGTCAAAGTCGTGAAAGGTGCTGACCATGCTCTCATGTATAAGAGCTCGGTTGTTGTGGAGGTTTTAGAGCGAGTCAGAGAGTTCTGGTGATGTCGTTTTTCGCCTTGCGTCTTAGTTTGCTTTTACTTGCTTTGGAGGGACAACATTTTCACGCAACGTTTTCTTCCTTCCGCTTACATATACACTAATACTCGCTTCCATAACCCAATGATTCCCCTTGCGACATGCATTCGTTTTCTGTACATACCCACGTTCACTCATCGGAAGGATCTCACTGTACTTTGCCTTCCTCGCACTTGATACCTTCGGTATAATTTGTTGTTTAAACGTCATTATTAATGTGTTGTAGACGCCGACTGTAACAAAGTAATGTCTCTCCATAATTATTCATTGTGAAATCCCTTCCCTCTTGTTACAACAATCTAGAGGCCTCATTCCTGTCTTGAAGCTGTCATCAGGAAGACCTTGGAAGTACACCATCATTATGATTGGTGGGATGAGAAAGTGACATTCATGGTGTAGGAGGTCTCGAATCAAGTGTAAAAGACCTAAATTGCTCCATCGATCCCGTGGTTGAGACAGAAAACCTGGAAGACAAGTTCAGTTGCAAGGGTCGAAGCTCTTCTTTAAGGGGTTGCATCTGGGCAATATGGCGGTATCTGGTGCGAAAGAAGACGATGATTCCAAGGATCAACGACAATGCACCAAGGAATGAAAGTACTGTGATGATGGCAATCAAAGACCCTGCAAGCCGTGGTGATGACACAGCGTCGCTTTGTGGTGAAGGCGACGGTGTCGGTGACGACGATGCCTGTTGCGAACTTGAATGTGACTGCGCGTTAGGCGCTGACGAGGTGGACGTGGTTGTGGGGGATGGCGTAACGGGTGTGGAAGACACAAATGTGGAAAGAGGTGTCGATGATGTCGCGGTAGCCGGGCTAGTAGCACTTTGTGAGGTTGTTGTCACTAATGAAGTTGTTGAAACAACAGGAGATGGAGAGTGAGTGACAACAGGAGGCAAAAGGGAAATAACAAGGGGAGGGATAGGGGCAAGGGGACGAACAGGGACAGCGGGAGAAACAGGAGGCAGGAGGGAAGTGGGAATGGGAGAAATAGGAGGTAGGAGAGAAATAACTATGGGAGGGAGGAAAGTAATTATAGGCGTTTCCGATGATGCAGGGGGTAACATTGGAGGCAATCCCCCGATTGTGGGCAAAATCGCAGGAGGACTAGTTACCACCGGTGTCACTGATGGCGGAACAGCAAGAGGTAAAGATGGGGTAGTAAGCGTAAATGATGTAGGGGGCGTGACTGGAAACGTCCCCGCAGGATTAGGTGGTGACGTAAGGCTATCAGTTCCTGTAGAAGACCCTCTAGCCTCCAAGCTTGAGGAAGACGCAGAAGACGTGCTCGGATCCGATGTCGATGGCGATGAACTGGATGGAGTTACCGTAGCTCCAGTGCTCGTGAATGGTATCGCCGACGTTGTTGCTGTGGAAACTATCACGAGGTTAGGATAAAACAGACGGGATAGCATGAACTTACCGTCAGAGGCTGAGACGATATCTCCATCAAGTCCTGAGTCTCTATCTACATGGTGTAAGCCGTAAGATTGGTTGAAAACTGCAGATAGAGTAAAATCGCCTTCATTCGTTGATTTTTCGAAGGATGCATACCATAATTTTGGCCAACGACGGTAGCTGGGCTAAGTACAGTCGCCTCGGAAGATACGCAGATTTCCCGTTCTTGTGGGCCAACTGAAATACGCACTGGAGCAGCTTGAACACCGTGAAAGGCCCAGCAAAGAAGATTAAACAAGAAAATGAAGTATAGAGTATGGAGTACGAAATTAGAGTTGAAAAAGCGAGTGAAGGTGCACAGCATCTCCCCGGCGCCGAGCTCCAGAGCTCAAGAATAAAGAAATAAAAAGAAGAAGCAGGCAGGGTTTCCTCACAATCGACGGAGAGAATCAAAAGATTCTACTTCGTTATAGCATGGCAAATATCCACTTATTTGTGGAATGCACAGCTTCCCTGAGAGGCAAAGACAGACACAGAGTTGAACGTTGTTGAATCATATCAGGCCACAGCCTAGAGAACATAGCAAAAACGTGGAGTGAAACGTTGCGAGACACTCAGATCCTCCAGAATAAGTATAGGTCAACCCGCTATCATGATGATCATGATGCGCGACCCCTCGATGTGTCTTGCAATGGTTCGTTCGTAGGACTTCTTGACAGGTTACATGTAAGACATGGTGACCTTGGACCCTGCCATCGTGAACTAGAGATAGGCGCTTGCTGAGGTGACACCGGCGCATCATGGCATGCCTGTGTTCGAGGCCCAGCCCAAAAATAATATGTGCACAGCGGCTAATAATGAATGCTAAGGAGACAGTGACATCAGCTTCGGCCAGTTAGTAAAACCGACCTACGCCATAGCATATAGCAACGCAAGTAAAAATCCATTATGAGCGGGAACGGAATATGCCAGGGATTCACATCAGCCTTTGTTTTAGGAAAGGCGGCTTGGCGAGTTGCCGCATCAGCCAGCCGATTCAAGTTGAGAACCAAATCCCAAGGTGCAAAGGCGCTCGCTATAACAATTTAGCCTCATCCCGTCCGACTCTTCACCGCAAGTCTGAGTCCTTCAGACGCCTCAGAGTCCGGCCATGTCTGAAAAGAAAGCCCCAGCAAAAAGGAGAAGCAGGGCTACAATTAAAGCCGAAGACGACACCCACACCCCAAATTTAACGGGTCCACAACCAACTACGAGTACCTCTCGGAAACGAAAAGCCGCTAATCCTGGAGCGAGAGACCTGTTGGATGTACATGCCAGCAGAGAAGAACGACGGTCTGAACGTATGTCAAGATGCTATCTTGCCCCAGTCCGCTGCTCATACCCACATTCCAGTTGTAACAGTACCTTCTCATATTCTGGAGCGTCAGCGCCATCGTCGTCCACACTCCCCGTCAGATCCCCCATATCGCCGCATGCCCACTGACATACGCTCAGCGCGAAGACCCAGCGTACCGAACATCACCCCACGACCACCACCGCGATCACGGAGATCGAGCATGCCAGGCCCTGAACGCAACATGCTGCAGCGTAAGCTACCCTTTAAGTTCCTATGTGATATGGCTCATTATTCCGTTTGTTGAACTTCAGATGCCTGGCATACTGTCATGACCACCGATCCTCTCGTTGACTCAGATGAGGAATGTCACGATAGTCACGTTCGAACAGACTATAGTGCGTTAATGTCATTTTCTCCTCCGTAATGTTCCCTGAGATGGGTCGCAGTCAAGAGGATGCAGGTCATCTCTCGCCTAAGAGGCAGGCCACCAACTCCCGAAGGAGAAGAGCCTGCATACGGAACTCCAATGACCGTACGGTCATCACACTTCGAGGCCCATGCTGGGCGTGTACCCTCTGTATTCTGAAAACTTAGAATTGATAGACTGCGTCATGTACTATATTGTCTACCTCCTTGTTCTTTTAGTTTGTTGTATGTACTGGCTGTATAGACTACACCTGGACATCGGAACATCCGGCAGTTTGAGCAATTGATTTGTAGCCTACATTCAATATGCACAGAATTCCAAAGTGTGTAATGTATAGTATGCAAGGGAGGGGACGTGAGAGGTGCACCGAACAAAGACAAAGAAAAAGGCGCGGAAAAAACACGCAAAAAAAGAACGAAAAAGTAGAATAAATAAACTAAAAATGTAAGCTAAAACACATTCTGGTGAACCCATCTAGTCCCGAAATAAAACACATACTGCTTCGTAACAGTATTACAACTTCGCAGACCGAGGGAATGGGGGTTTGCCTCACTATTCCGCGAGCCACTTTTCGCACTTTTTGGCGTACTTGTCGAGCAGCTGCGCCAGGTCACGAATGACGAATGTCAGCACGACGCTCGCAAAGAACTCGGAAGCGCGTTTTAGCTTGACTTCTGCAGCAGCCCGGAGATCTATAGGGAACGCTGCGTATGTGGCTGCGACTGGCTGCGATAACAATGCCTTTGTATGTTCATCGATAAGCTGGGCTATAGTAAACAGCTTATTTAATCCAGACACATAAGCAGCAGGCGAATCGAGGCTATTTCACACGTTAATACAAGTCGAGGACGCAATGAAAGCAAGACACGAACTTTTTTCCGTTGGTAAACTTGTCAATCTGTCGAGTGAGTTTGCCTCCCCATGATGTTACCTGAATAAACAAGTAGTGTCAACTCATGAGGACGAATGAACCATCTTGAAACTTACCCCCCCACTTTTCTTAACAACAAAACCTTCACCTACACTAAGCTTCTTGCCAAAGTTTGCGACGACACTATCGCATATCGAGGAAAACTCCTCTAATTTGCCTACCCATGTCTCAGCTTCCTTGCGAGTTACACTGCCGATACCCAAAGCTAGTCCACTGCCAACGCTCGCGCCAAAGGATTCCACGCTGCATTGCTGCATCTCCTCCAGGGCTGAGCAGAGTACTTCTACAACGCGGACTTTCTCCGGTATGTTGGTGAGCTTAGCCCCTCCTTGTGACCAAACCTCTTGCGGCACATGCAATCGTCTGGTGATGTAACCACCAGACTTTGAGGTCATGGTATTCGCCAGGAGTGCCATCATATGATACGGTTTCCTTTGACTGTCAGCGGGTGGAGCGGGTGGAAGCGGAGAAGTGGGTGTAGTCGGCAAATTGGATATCAGGGCTGGTGGAGGTACCAACGCTAATGCCAGAGACGGGGATAACAATTCTGTCTGCAGAGTCAATTGCGGCAGTTGTGGGATATTAATGCTGATGTTCTGCTGCAACTTGGAAGGATTAGACATTTTACGGGGTATGAGTCCGTTGAGCCCTGCTGTGTGTGGTAATGGGGGTCGCTGAACATCGAACGGGGAGATACGGCCATTAGCTACAGAGGGCCGTCGTCCTGGCTGTGATGACGCGCGATTTCGTCCAACTACGAGAGGTACTGTGTTAGGGGGTACCGGTGATCCGGCAGGCTTCGGGGCGGGAAGAGAGAATATTGACGGTGAAGGTGATTCAGTAGGCGAAGGGCTGTCAGTCGAAGGGGGAGCAGACATCTTGGTGCGCCTCTGATGAATCGTACCCATCGCCAGGGAGGTGCTGATCAATTGTTGACCACTGATCACGCTCATCGACTCTCCGCGGACTCGTGGAACAATAAATTGTTGTGCTGGCGATTCCGGTGACCGTATAGAGTATGATGTGGCTGTGGGTGAAGGAAGTGGGGGTAGTGGGTGAGAGTCCCGGATTGCAGTGCGTGGCGTATCAGGCCGTCGGGGTAAGGAAGCTGTAAGATCTTGGTCGTATAGGCTCTCTAAAGTGGGAGGGCCCACAATCCTGGCGCCCTCTTCAGTGACGGCAGTCAGTCTAGTTCCTGACCCTGTTCGTCTATGTCCAATTGAATTTCCGCGCGGGCAGGTAGTTTCTAGGAACCTGCCGGTCTGTGAAGGCATCGTTGCGGACATGGCGGGTACGGCAGAGTCTGGGGGTGGTGGTAGAGGAGACAAAGTTGGAGGTGGGGCGGCGGGAGGAAAAATAGTAGCTGCTCGAGGTCGGCCAGTGACTGATGGGGTATATTGGGTGCGGTTCGCCGGAAGGGTTGCATTTCGGTTAAGAGAATTATTGGAATCTTGTGGACCAGATGATGAAAGAGGAGACAGAGGTGCAGCATAAGGATGCTGAGGTGATATGCCATTGGTTCTTTGACCGAATTCAGTGGACAAATAAGTAGCATTGAGAAGGGCAGCTCCAATGCCTTCATGGCCATCATTGTCGTCATCATGGTTATGGTTAAGTACTCCGACGTGCTGAGGCTCGTCCTGGGTGTGTTCCGTTGGATACGAAGAGACTTTATGAGAGTCAGAAGTGGGTGAGATGGACGATGGTGATCCAGGTTGTGTGGACTCTGTAGATGTGGAAGGGGCGTAGACAGAGGATGGGGAGTGGGGTATGGGAGGTATACTGTATATCAGGCTGAGAATGTTCATACGGTCAGCATAAGTGTCGTGCTGAAAGGGACAAAATGAAATCAGGAGGAATTCGGGACTGGAATGAGTAAATTTCTTACTATTGATTTAAGACGTCTGACTTCTTCTTCTTGTGCGACCACACTTCTCCGTCTGCCATTTCGTCTTGGACGCTCTGTGCTGTCTTCGCCTCTTCTTACTCGCTCCATAACTTCACTAAGCAAAGCGACACTTCGACCGTATGCCATGACAGCAGCATGGGGGTCATCATTGGTAGAATCTAACTGAACTGCTTCACGGGCGAGTTCCAAGGCTCTTGTGAGGGCGCGTCTTGAAGATGGGCGAGATTGGGAGGGTGTGCGAGACTGAGCCGGTGATAACAAGAGACGGTCAGGCACGATATCCTGGTGGTGTGAAGATGACGTTGGCTGAAGGATAGATCTATGCGAGGGGTCGGAAAAAGGGCTGGGGTCATATGCGACGGTGCTGGAAGAAGGCTGGGGACTGTTGGACGCGGAAGTAGAGGCTTGCCTTGTTTGAAACGCGGCTATTGCAGCGAGATTTGCAGAGGCTGAAGGTCTACCATTATTGGCGTGGCTAGGACCACTACCACTAGTGCTTGACCTGTGTCTTGTAGTATATGGAAGTTCTTCGGAAGAAGGTTCAACATCATCAGGATGGTGGATTGGGGCTGATGGTAGACTTGGAATTGGTTGACTCGGTGGTGGGCCTGCGGGAGGAAAGTTGGCGGCGGAAGAACGACGACGAGATGTAAGGGTAAAGGATGAAGGAGGAGGTACAGGTGAAGAGGGAGGAGACGCGTGATCTTGGGATGGGCGTGGACGATGAATTATGGAGAGTGGGCGAGTATTAAACTCGGGTTCCATGACGGGGAGCTCGATGAGCAAAGTTCCCTCCTTCAATGTTGATATAAACCTGAGACAAGATTTCAGTAGCAAGATATCTCAAGATATCTCCCTATAGTCTAGCTATCAAGAACCGAAACTAAAGAGCGTAGTCCACACCAACGTGCTCAACGTCAACAACGATCCGAGTTTGGTATCTCACTCAGCTCCGAAACTCAAAAACACATTCATAGATCATCATCTTAGACACAAAAAAATAATTGGAAAACGTAAAAGCAGCAATGTCTCTTCGAATGCATTTCCACTAAAAAAACGATTACGAACTGTCAAGAAGCCTCGAAAGCTGGGTAAATTTCGCGTAAGGAATGGCAATGGATTATCCGGTATATATAAAATCGCAGAGCAGACGGAAAACGAGCGGGCGGACAAGTGAGGAAGGATTTGCACACAGGGAGGGTATAATTGTCGACCATAGTGCCCAACATATCTAACCATCCACTTACTTTCAGTCTCGGAATTCTGCCTGAGACCCTTGAGCAACAAGACGACTCTCCAAATTTCTAAGTTATCTTCACATCAGCCAAAACTTTACTCCTCACATTTCCATAGAAACTTACCTGAGCGATTCTTCTTTGGCCAAAAGCTCTTGTCGCTTTTCGTTGATTTCTCGCTGAACTTTGAGTTCGATCTCACGAAGCTATTCGTCCACAAGAAGAGTTCGTCAGCATAACCAAAATCAACGGTTTATTATCACCTACTTTCTCCTCTTCCCTGCGAAGCTGCTCTTCTTTCAGACGCACGCTCTGAGTTGCCAGCTCTTCTGGGAGAATAGAAGAATCGCTACTCGATTTATTGATTAGTGTGGACGTCAGCATCAAATCAATATTCTCACTGGGTGTCGGCGTGCACCGTCCGAGAAAGCTTCTCAGTACGGTAAGTCTCGTAAAGCACGTCATGCGTCAGTGACTTCAGGTCGCCAAGGTGGGAGCTAAACCAATTCATTTAGCATTTTCTACAAAATGCAAGATCGCACTGACTTCAACAATGCACTCCGTAGTCTGCTAAAGTCGGAATGTTTTGGGTTGTCGACCTCGGCAACACCCCAAGGGTATATCCTAGCGCGTACCGGTTGCCCGTCCAGTTCGATTTCTTCCTCCGAACCGATGATGGCAAAAGGAAGTAATGCCTGCGGCATTTATGTAAGTGGCCAGCTTAGACTCAAATTATGTCACATACCCGCAACTCGCTGTTGTCCTGGATGGTCTCCTCGTCGTCTTCCTCCACGTCGTAAGGGAAGTTGTAGACGGGGATGTCGTAGTGCTCGATATCCTCCATGATCTACAGCCCGCGTCAACACAGACCAAAAAATAAAACCGGGAGAACGAACCCGCTTCTTGAATCCCCGAAGCTCGCTGGGTGTCAAAGAATCTGCTTTTCCAATAACAGGAATCACATTAACACGAGGCGAAAGGCGGCGCATCAGCTCAATATCCATCTCCCTCAGGCTATATCATAGCCCAGTTAGCGTACCATATCAACGTGACGCATAAAAATATGCGTACGAGTGACCCGTCGGAGGGATGAAGTACAAGAGCGCATGCACACGGTTATCCCTGAAGCGAGGGTTACGTTTGATACGAGACTCCTCAGCCAAAATGTCATCGTATTGACGCTCGAGGTAGCCAACAATTTCTTGGAAGCTAAAACCAAACGTTATTCAGTGAGATATGTAGGGATGGGTATATACGAACGCAAACTCATTGTCGATGTTGTCCCCAAAACCAGGCGTGTCAACAATGGTAAGGGCAATGCGAACGCCATCCTCCTCCAACTCTGTGACAATGCATGACATGTTTAAATAAGGTGTGAACAATACATGGCTGATGCAACTAACCGACGTTGGCAGGCTTAATCCTGATACCCTCCTCAATGTGCGCGGTATCTGGGTTGTCGGAGACCTTGTGCACCAGGACTTCTGACTCGCAAAGGGTATTCACAAAGGTCGTACGGCCAGTTCCAGAGGCACCTGCAACACGTTGAGAAAATCGACCGGTCAACAAACACCGAACAAGTCGAAATAACATGTGGAAAGCGACTAACCAACGACCATCAGGGTGAACTGGACACCCTTCTTGACCTTGTTTCCTCTGCGTCTGCCGGCGAAAGACATTTTGTGGGAAGTTTGAGTAACTTTGGGTTGCTTCACTTGCGTGCAGAGCAAAGCAGAGACGAAGGGGAAAGTTGACTTCGTCCCATTAAAACTCCGCTCAGCCGCGCCACTGTCGCGACGGGACCGAATACTGTTTCGCACTTCTCTCCACCGTGCATCTCTAACTTTACATTGAACAATAGCTAACGCGCTTTTGGATGATGGTTCTTAGTACGGCATGTCGTCGCACGTCTTGCTGTGGCAGACGGAGGTTGCTGTCCGACCTCCAGATGCACCCTTTTCATTCAGGTTTCGTGTCTTGTCTCGATGACGCGGTTACAGTCAAGGCTTTGCGCTCCTCGGTGACCATCACAAGGAAGAAATTTTCAGAGCTGCCGAAGCGACGCGTCGTGGTGGAGGATCGTTCGCTTCTACCTCCTTCTGCCAAGCTGCAGAGCACAAGTGACGCGAGCGTCCCTAATGATCTTGTAATTCCTTCTTGTACGCAATTCAGATGTATTTTTGGTATCCCTTCCTTATGAAAAGTAAATGCGCATGCGGTCTATCCAGCTTTTCGCTTGAACGTCACCGAGGATTCCTCTGGTGCACCTGAAAGGAGTGTAACAAACACACAAGGTTTGGACACTCAATCGCAGCAAGGTAGTGCAGTTGTCGAGGAAGAACAACCCAGAAAACACAGAGGTCGACGAAAAGCAGCGGTATCCGATGGTTCTCTCACTACCGACACAGGTACATTCATTCCTCAGCCGATCGATTGCAGAATGTCATGTATTTCTAACAGGAGCAGACGTCCCCGACACTCCAATGAAGATTCGCCGGCGTCGAAAAATAAAGGTAGACGACTCGGAAGACTATACTCCACCTCCAAAACAGCCGCGCAACATGCTTGCCACTGAGATCCTGAACAACCTTGCTAAATTTCCCCATTGTATCCTCCTGACTCGTGTTGGACAATTTTATGAGGTGCAACGTGCTCGTCTCTACTTTGACGAACTTCACTTAATTGGTTCTGTGCAGTCCTACTTTGACCAAGCAATCGAGGTCGCTCGACTACTGAACATCAAGCTGACTTCTCGCGTCTGGGACAAGCAAAGTATCGCCATGTGCGGTTTCCCATTGATGTATCTGGACAAGTATCTCAAAGTGCTTGTCCAACAAAATAAACGGTTCGTCGCCATGTGCGAAGAATTTCCTCGGTATTCTACGTCAGGCCAGAAACCCGAGTTCGATAGACGAGTAGTTCGTGTGATAACCCCTGGGACACTTATGGATGAGCCATTCATCAACCAGTTTGAAAACAACTATCTATTGTCCATCAGCGTTAATGGCACAATGCAAGAAACGGATGCCACTCCTATAGGATTAGCCTGGATCGACGTTTCTACAGGTGAATTTTTCGTAAAGACGTCGTCTAGGGAGGCTCTGAAAGATGACCTGGCGAGGATTTGCCCGCGAGAGGTTGTCCTAGAGGATAAACTCCAAGCCAACTTCTCGCATCCCATTCACCAGCTGCTTGTAGATGAAGGCTGCTTTGTTTCGTATGCTACGCCTTCTCAAGGTACCTTGGTGAAGGATTTGCCCAAGACTGCTGCTGCTCCAGGTGACCTCAACGAACTGGAAGGGGACTTGACTTCTGTTCCATCTGCGTATTCTCCTGGGGAGTCGTCCGCTATCACAATTCTTACCAACTTTCTGCACGCTCACTTGTTGGAGCACATGCCGAGTCTCTCAATGCCAAGCCGCGAAGGCAACATGGAGCGCATGCAAATCGACTCTCATACTATCAAGGCACTTGAAATCAGGGAAAGCACGCGAGAAGGTGGCACGACAGGTAGCTTGCTGAGCGTCGTTAAAAGAACTGCAACACGCAGCGGAACACGTCTACTAGCTCGATGGTTGTGTAGGTTTTTGTTATTTGATGGAATTTCAAAGCCCTTAACACATACTCAGGCTCACCGAGTACATCAGTCAAAGAAATACGAGCTCGGCAGTCATTGGTAGCCTTCTTTCATGCCAGGCCACATTTACTCAGCGATGTCAGGCAGTTCTTGGACGAAGTCGAAGACACGACACGAATTGTTCAGAGATTCCTTCTTGGGCGAGGTGATCCTGGCGATTTGGTTTCGATCAGCAAGACGATTAACGTTTGGAGTGCAATTCGCAAGCGCTTGGAACTCGAGAAGCAGATGGAAAGCTCGGAACGAGGCTTTCTGCTTTCGGAAGATTGGTCAAGTGTCGATACTCTTTTATGTCGAATGGCAGATCTCCAAGACCTCGAGAGTCGAATTAATCTGGCTTTGCGAAATAATGAAACTACGGACGAGTCGAGAGATGATCAAGACGCCAGTGGCTCTCTGTCAACAGACGCAGAGGAACCCAGCAAAATTGGTTTCAAGTTTGATATACCCCCTAGGTGTTTCATTCGACCAGAGTACGCAGCATTGTCGATCCAGACCCTCATTGCTTACGTCTCATGGTTTAGATTTTCTCCGCAATTGGCATCTCTGCATAACAACCTCGTCGACTTACTAGAGCAAAGAAGGAAAATGGAACGTCAACTTCAAATAGACTATGGTGAGGCACATATCTTCCATCGGGCCGCTGCTGACTCACTTGAGCAGAAGCACCTTCTTTGACCCTGCGAACTTCTCCTGCCCAAGGAATGCATGTCCACATCGGTCGCTCGAGGAGAGACCAGGCTGTTGTGAAGGCATCACCGCTGTTCATTAATATATCAGAGAGCGGTTCGACTAGCTCCTATTTTTACCAGGTCTATCTGTCCCCCTTCCTCTTCCGTGAAAAGTGTCTCATTTAAAATGATCGGTTGTAGCTATGGTCATCTCTAGGTAATCAGCTAGTTGAAACTGCGACGGCGATCACAAATGCTGAGAAGGAAGCTTTCAACCTGTTGCGGAATGAGGTTGGTTGCCCCCATCCAAAACGTGCTATTTTAGGTTCATGTGAAAAATCAGGTCAAAGCTTTTGCGACCCATCTTCGAAGGAATGCGCGGATAATGGATGAATTGGATGTTACCCTCGGGTTCGCGGTTCTTGCAGCTGAATTACGGTTCACCAGGCCCGTTATCACAGATAAGTACGTTGCTCGATGGACATCCCCCTGACCCTTACTTACGTTATATGAGCATGACATATGAGGTGACCAATGGACGACATCCAACTGTAGAACTTGGCCTGCTCACTTCAGGTCGGGTCTTCACCCCGAACTCCGTGGTACTGGAACGTGCCTCCCGGGTTCACATAATCACAGGCCCGAACATGGCAGGGAAATCAACATTCCTGCGACAAACAGCTTTGATTGCTATACTCGCTCAGACTGGTTCCTTTGTACCCGCGGACCACGCTGTCATCGGAGTTGTAGACAAACTCTTTTCCAGAGTAGGGGCCAAGGATGATCTGTTTCGTGACAGAAGTACTTTCATGGTGGAGATGCTCGAAACAGCTGAAATTTTACGTCGGGCAACTCCAATGAGCTTGGTGGGTTATCGATTTACTCCTTCCAGCGCGTACGAAGATTGAAAATCCTGTAGGTCATCATGGATGAAGTGGGTCGTGGGACTACTGTAAAAGATGGTCTGGCAATAGCGTTTGCTGCCGTCCATTATCTCGTCACCCAAAATCAGTGTCGAGCTTTGTTTGCAACTCATTTTCATGAACTCGCAGATATGCTTGGTTACTCCGATAGTCACTGTGGCGACGGCGTCTTCCAAGAGGTTGGGTTCTTTTGTACAGATGTCGATGAGACGGACGTAAGCAATCAAATTGAAATTGTGTTTATGTTTACTCAGGAGAACTATCAGGACAACCATTTTGCCTACTCACATCGTCTGCGGCCAGGCGTGAATCGAGATAGTCATGGCCTCAAGGTCGCTCAATTGGCAGGCATGCCAGAATCTGCTGTCCTTCTTGCTAGACAAGCTTTGGATGCACTCAAAGGACAGGACCACATTGGATCTCAACAACTGTCTTCCCTGGGACAATCTTTAACGAGTTCAAGGTAGCATATATTCCCCTAATAGCAATGATATTCACCCGCACCTTTTGTACATTACAATGTGAATGTAATGGTCTCTTGTTGTTCATTTTCATATCCATTGGTAATCTACCATATGTCGGACAATACTATCTAGTCTAAAGGGCACCTGTGCACTGTGTCGCATCACTAAAATCGCAAATACCCCACTGGTTCGCCGTTCCCGCCAGCCGGTTTAGATGATGGACGGACATACTACAAATTGAGGTTGGACTGCGTGCGATTGAACCACCGTAACAGGTAGATGTAATCGGTTCATCATGACATCTGTGAGCGAATGAAATTGAGGGCAGAACCCGCGCGGAACCACTTCAACTGATCCTCCGACATGGTATGTTTTGTGAGTATCTCAAATACCTCGCCGGTACGCTTGGTGACCTTAAGCTTGACTTCGGCATTTTGTCGTCCCTCGATAAGGTCTGCCAAGCCGATAGTCTGGAGTACGTCACCTGATCCGATGCGAGAGTAGTCGTTCTTGTCAGCGAACCAAAGGGGAAGAACTCCTTGTTTCTGCATCCCAATTAGATTGATATTCCATAGTTGTTCTGCCACAACTTGCCTTCAAGTTAGTCTCGTGAATTCGAGCAAAAGACCTTGCAACGATCATTGCACACCCTGACACAATTGAGAAACTGCTCGAATGCGATGCGAGATATTGCAACGTACCATAGAATCTAGGCTGGAGTGCAGCATGCTCACGAGCACTACCTTCGCCATAATTGTCATCAACGACCAGAGTCCAAGGCTGATTGCGAGCTTTGAACCGTTTTGCGACTGCGGGAATGGTGTCGGTCTCAGTCTCGCCAGTGGCCTGATCATAATCGAATGCAACATTCACGTCGCCCCCTTCATCGTTCACAGCCTGCATTGGTTGTCAGGTTAATATCATATAATTACAGATGGCAGCTTGCGCAACACACCGTGATAACTGCAAATAATAGTCAGAAAAAATGTGCTGAGAGTACGCAAAGACGTACGAAGATTTTCAGAAATGTTAGTAAGATGTCCTTTGTATTTCAACCAGGGGCCCTGTACGTGAGTTAGCTGGGCAATTTCAGTAAACATTTATCTCACTTACAGCCGCAGAGATGTGATCAGTGGTGCATTTCCCTCTTACACGCATCAGTACTTTCAAGGGCGGGAGTTCCAGACCCCTGTTGCCGAAATGACTTGGGAAAGGCTCCAACAATTCAAGACGCTGAGAGTCCGCACAAATGATAATCTCGGTTTCTGGTTGTGGCTCTGGCGTGGGAGAAGGGTAGTAGTTGGTGTTACCTTGAGTGAAACCCTCTGTTGGTAAATCCTGTCCGGCGGGTGGAGCGAACCTAAACGGTTTGCCAGAGGGCAGAGTCAGGGTATCCGTTATCGGATTAAACGAGAGTGAGCCAGAAAATGCCATGGCCGTCACAATCGTAGGCGATGCGAGAAAGTTCATAGTTAGTCGGTTTCCATCATTGCGAGACTTGAAGTTCCTGCATCATTAAAAATAAGTAATGTCACAGGTTGAAAAGCGTCTTTCTTACCTATTGAAAGATGTCAAAATTGCTTTGGAAATTTTTTTAGCTCGTCCAATCAATATTTAATAGATCCATTTACCGTTTTCTTCATCCTTCATATCATCTCGTTTCCACTAAGTGAAGACGTCAAAAGTTGTGACTGAGAGATAAACGTAATTCGTACTTGACCGATACAGGGACCGCACGCATTTGCTAAAACCACAGCGCCGACATCTTCCAAAGTGCTTGTAATGCCGTCGCGCTCCATAGTCGCCCGAATCTGTTCAGAACCGGGAGTGCAAAGGAAAGGAACCTTGGTGACCAAGCCAGCAGCCTTTGCTTGTTTGGCCAAATCTGCTACTCGCGTCTATATCGGGTCAGCAGTGCGCAATCAGACTAAAGATAATTTACCATGTCTTCATATGAGCTATTAGTGCACGAACCAATGAGGCCGGCGGAAAGCTCGTCCTTCCAACCCTGCTCTTTCACGAAAGACCCGAACTTTGATAAAGGTGTTGCCAAATCAGGAGTGAAAGGACCGTTGATAGTTGGTTCGAGTTCGGACAAGTTCTGTAGATGCGAATAAGATACCTAGTCCGTTGAATCAAAGACGACCGTACTATTTCAATAACTTCGTCATATTCAGCACCTTCATCAGCGTTCAGGAAGCCCATTGATGCAGCCTGGTCAGCAGCACGAGCGACTGGCGCACGTCCTGTTGCATTCAAGTACGCGCGCATATTCTCAGTGTATGGGAAAGTAGAGGTGGTAGCACCGACTTCAGCTCCCATATTAGCAACCGTAGCGAGACCTGGCACGGAATCCTGATCAGTGCAAAATTAACCGACATTTCTGGTTTTAGTTCACCTGTACATGATTGGTTGGCCACACCAGGGCCAAAGTACTCCAAAATGCGTCCAGTACCTCCCTGAATATGGGTTCATAACTCATTTTCAAAAGTTGGTAGTTGACTTACCCGAACTGTTAATTTTCCAGCGAGGTGAAGGATCAAGTCCTTAGGCGTTGCCCATCCACTGAGTTTCCCGGTCAAGTGTATGCCTAATATCAGTTATGTTAGAAGGCGAAGGCACTGCGTAGCTATGATCTAAATTATCTCACCAACAACCTGAGGGGCCTTAAGTTCCCAAGGAGTTCCAGTCATAGCGTCAACCGCATCAGCACCTCCAACACCAATAGCCAGCAGACCGAGCCCTCCGGCATTAGGCGTATGTGAATCTACCACCATGTCAGTCCAGCGACCTAAGTCGTCGCGAGGTCACTCACCTGTGCCTAGCCTGTTTATTGACATCTTTCAAAACCTATAAGGCACATACAATACGGACGCACTCACATGAGTATTCCTGGAGCAGCGTAGTTCTCGAGTACGATCTGGTGAATGATACCGGAGCCCGGTTTCCAGAATTCGATACCGTACTTGCGAGCAGCACTTTCAAGGAAATCGAACACTTCTTTATTGGAAGTAATCGACCGCTTGTGTCCTTCTCATGAGTAACAAGTACTGTTCTGAGGACGGAACCAAACCTTCAAGTCTGATTCTGCACCATCGATAGCTTGAATGAGATGGTCACAGTGTATGCTGGTTGGAACGGCACATTGAGAGAGACCGGCACTCATGAACTGAAGCCTAGCAGGAATGTCAAATCACAATATCTGCACCAAGAACAAATATGATGCATACAAAGCCATTCTATAAGCAAGTACATGATCAATACTGGCTCAGAATAATGTCCAATAATAACATACTGGGCGGAAGCATCCTGCATTGCGACTCGCTGAGGAGTAAGCTGCAGGTAGCTTTCTCCCCTGATCTTCCCTCCTCCAGACAGGCTCTTTTCCGGGTCATTAAGATGACTGTACAAGATTTTTTCGGCTAGAGTCAAAGGACGGTTGTTCAAGAGCTCCCGAACGTATTCCAATTTTCCAATAAGCTGGGCATAAGGTGGGGTGATCGAAGAACAGTCCTTTTCGTAAAAGGGCGTGTGTGTTGCTAGACTTCGCCTGAGGGTGGGTCCTGCAGCGAGGGCACCGCTCCGCAGGGTTGTTGAAAGCATCTTGAAGCTTATCCTCTGCCTTCCTCACCCAGTCTTATATTGAAAGAACACGTTTTCCGTATTCGGTTCGGTTCGGTTACATATTTTTCTCGATCCAATCATATCGAAACGCTTATAAATCACACTGATAGTAATGGCGAACCCGCGTCAGACTCTGATCGCCACTGTCTTCAGTTGACAGACACCAAAACGCATCACACTCCGACTGCATTTGCAGGTGAGCGGTCTTCCGGGTGTTCAGCGCCCAGGTACCAGACAATCGGATTGCCTTATTGCGAGCGTGTTCAACTGTCGCAGAAGCAGTGGTGATAACCACTAGAATGTCTGGAACTCACTCGTACGGAACGGTGATGACAGACAAGCGATTTAAATAGCCACACGCAAAAGATATGCGGGATGTCAAAGTGATAATGTAATATTTGCGGGTGCATCACAGTATATGGGGCAATCAGATATGTCATGTCAGGGGTAGGCAGTCACGCTGGTCGAACACATGAGTGGCGCGGAACGGAGCCTTACGACCTGTAAAATCAACGTAAAGAATAAACTTACATCACAGGAGGAGAACAACGAGAATTCAGAAAAGACCCGAACTCGGCAGGTACTCATGTACACAGTGGTAGAAGAGGAGCTGCCGTATGAGACTGGATAAAGGTAATGAACATCGTGAATAGAGAATAAGCTCAAGGTGGAAGTTAAAATGGATCACGGCAATTCCCGTTAGTACTTGCGTTCGTGCTATGGCCCAAAGAAAAGGCACGAAATGTCAGCTGCAAATTTTTGGTCAGGAAGTTTATATGGTTTACTAGACGCACCCATGCCACCCCAGGAGCCTGACGCTCACACACCAGCCCGGCATCCCCATACCCTTGTAAAAGTACTTCATCACCGTATCCTGAGCATCCTAGGAGAGTGCTTTGACGACGTTAATTATCTCTAACGACTTCGTGCTATTCAGTATCGAAACAACGAACAACGGTCTGCAAGGTTTCTTGCGCAAATGTCAGCGTATCAGTGCGGTGTCGTGCAACAACAAAGTCGCCTTAGCTTCCTCGACACTTGGCCCATAAGGTGTGCTGTCCAGCGCGATTTCCAGGACCCCTGGTATGTCTCCCCTGCGTGACTGAGTGGTGCTTAGGTTATATCATGTTGCAAAGTAGCGATGGGACTACGGTACTTGGCTAATGTGCTCCGGACTGCTCCCTGCTTCTGTTTCGCATCGCTCAAGAGGATCGCGTGGATCTGGTTCACATAGCTCGCCCTTCAGTAGGAGTAAATTTAGAAGCGACAAATCCCTCCCACAGGCCCCGCCTGACTAGACTGGTAACCACTCTTTACTACGTCTATGAGATGTTGAGTGCTTGACGTATCTTGTGATTCAAAACTGTCTATGGTAGTTTTTATGGCTACTTGTCTAATGTTCAACTGGCCAAGCCTCATGTCGTTAGAGATGTAATATTAATGAGTTCACCAAAGTGGTTCGACTGGAGTGTCCTTCCACCCCTTTGCCCTGGCCTCCCAATACCCTCCGACATATGTCCACTCATCCCCATCCTGCTTAAACCACCTTGGAGTTCGATTTATGCCACGTCTTCGCCTATCCCTCTGCATCTCCTCAACACGTATCTTCTGAGCCTCCGCCTCATCACCGTTCCCATGTTCTAGTGCACGCACATCGGGTCGGAATCGTGAATCCGTAGGAGGTAGACGGCCCTCGAGGTCGCTGGTGATCTCGTTCAATGTCATGCCAAACGCAGTAAAGCCATAGTACTGAGGGGACTCCTTCGGGAATGGAGTGATGCGCCAGAGGACATGCAAGTAGGAAGAGTCGAGCGCTTGCGCGACTTGTTCGTCCCATTTGCCTTCTATGCGGGCAGTTACATCACGGGATGGAGAGAGTATTATACCAGAGACTTCATTCGATGCACCCCAATATCCGCTTTGCTTGAAGTCAAGGACGCAAGTTGCACCATTCGTTGTATTTTCAATGGTCATTTTGCCACAATGTTCCAGGTACTTTGTTCCCATCATCAGGTTTCGCATAAATGACGAAGGTTTGTTCCTGCCAGTGTCAAATCTTTACACGGAAAAGGCACGATCAACCGTGGCTCACCATTCATAATCGTCATTCCCAATCTTTAGTCGCGTTGTCCCAAGGGGAATGATTTCCAAACTCTTGCCTATATTTAAATCAAACCCGTCAACCACCGGCACCGCTATCAGGCATGATCCTCACCCCAAAACTTGGTCTTCCCGGCCGAAGTCGCGTGTAATTCCCAGCCTTCGCCTTCTGCGTGGTATGCGATTACGACAGGATTGTGGGACACCTTCTCAGCCAGGAACTTCATTCGCACATCTTCAAATGTTTCAGCGAGCATGGGATTGCTAACCGAGTTGGTTAGGGCCATCGGAAGGAGTAAAATACGATGTTCCTAACTTACAAGCCTTTGCGACCGGTCCGATATCTTGTGTGTGCGTAGCCGGACACGGCAAACGCAGCAACGAAGCACAGGCGTTGAGTGGGATCCTTGGCCTCAGTTGCTTGGTGTAGTAAGTTGTAATATTCCAGTTCTTCTGCTGTACGTTGTAACAAGGTCAGGGGCTCATTGAACGATACGGGCAATGCGATTGTAGACAAGTCCTTCGACAAATTCATTAACCAAGGGTCTTCAGTATCCGAAGCACCAAAAGTCACCTTTCCGACATTGTTCTTGAGAATGGCAAACAAACTGCCCTCGTCACCGATCGGTCCCGAAGGTAAGCGCGTCCGTCGTACCACTTGACGAGCGTTCGCGGAGGGATCTGTATCATGGACTAGAGGTGAGGAATGCTCCTCCTCATCGCTAGATACTGTTTGATTTAAGCTGCTATTTTCAGATTGGAGAACTATGAGCTCCCTCTCCTCATCTGGGTTGGGAACATCCAAGAAAAACTCCTCGCCTAGACCCTCTTCGGCGTCAAACCATTCGTTATGTGCGCTGTCACTGAGACTCGACATGGAGATCGCTAAGTTTGATCTACGAGCGAGTGCTGTATTGAAGCGAGAAGTTGAGAGAGGTTCTTCTTCCTTCTCTTCTGTAGTAGGAGGAAGAGGAGAGCCACGGGCTGTTGGTGGTGCTGTGACATCATGCGCTAAGGACTTGAGTAGGGCAGCATGTTGTGACTTAAGAGATGCAAGGGTCGTGTTAATTTGTTGAAAGCGAATGTTTGACGGAGAATCAAGGTTGCTCTTTGGTAACGTGCCATCCTCGTTAACCTGGTGGGCTGAAAGGATATGGGTCAACAAATGCAGTGATCCAAAGGAAGGATGGAGGAACACATTTTTTGAACATGTTGAAGACATCTTTTGGATGGTGATGATGCTTATCCTTCTCCGATTTAGACTTCAGTGAAAGGTGGTTTTTCTCGTGCGTACTTTCGGATTGGAGGGCGGCAAAAGCAATTTCCAACTCAGATATTGTCTGTTGAGTGCGTCAGCGACGTGCATTTTTACTGAGCAAGAGGGTAAGTGTGACATACAGAGCCAATATCCTCAGCTATTTGAATTCCAGATCTATTAAACTGGGATTGACTCAGCCGAGGTGTGATCTTTCCTGCAAGGGACCGTCGTCCTTCGGGATGGACAAACTGTCTACGTGTGCCACTCTTAGTGTCAAACACACATCGGAATTCCAGGATCCTGATTCACCTTATTGCAGCTAACCATTTATTGAAGTCATCTGCGGTCAAACACTTTATATGAAACGTGGCATTACTTGAGTCTATGTGTATATCTTTACGACCAACAGCAGTGGATAACGCAGCATGAGGGAGGAATATCTGGTCGCGTATGGGACGTTTTGGATCGATGGAGTAGGACAAGGATCCCGACTGGTCGAGGACAAAGTACCTCCGTGCAAAACCTACACAACGACCGGAGTTCCATGAGCTGGGAAGGTCTTGGAAGGTCAGGGCCAAGGAACATACCTTGCATCTTTTTCCTTCTCTTCTTGAGGACCCATCCTTCACACACTGCTTCCGATTTCTGGGTCGTATCGATGGAGATAGGGAAAGATTGTCGAGCAGATGACATGTGCCACTCGCGCTCGGGTGCCAATAATGGGATGGGCGTTGTCGAAACGCAGGCACAGTAAGCAGTAACCAGTTATATCTATAACTAGAAGATTTAGGAAGCAAGATTTACCCTGGTCGCAAGATGTCGGACGTGTTCCGTGGTAACGATTACTTTAAGCTTGGTCAGAGAAGACACGATTCCGGCCCACGCGTTCATAATAGGTGCTAAAGGACTGGGAAAGACAACGTAAAGGCGCATGAAAGTCTCGGGGTCGACCGGGTTGTGATTGGCCCAATTGAAGAGTCTTTCATTTTTGGCGGCAGCCTTGTCCTCACCACAATATGTTGTGAGATCGTCGGTGAGTCTCAAACGCTTGTTTTCGCAGTCGAACATGCATTTTTGAAAGAATTTTCTCTCGCTGTCGGTCATATTGCCCACGACAATCTGTCTGTCACTCATACGCGCTAGCCCGGGCCAAGACGCGTTTCGAAGGATGCGCCCCAGCTAAACTGAATATGGTTTCACATTCGTTATGTTATGTGCTTTTGGATAGGCATCTTTGCGAGAATTACGCCAGCGATATGGAGATTTAGCCTGATCTCGAATTTCTGTTATCATAAGTGAATTGAGCCATTGGGCTGTGCCGCATCAGTGCATCAGTGACCATCCATTTGGCTGATTCAGAGCATGGGAGCAAAATGATATCTGGAGTCTCACGCCCTGGCACTCCGGTAGACTTTTAATCTAGTTAATAATCCATTGAGGTTGCCCCATCTCTCCATCACAATCCATCATCCTCTCTTCTTCCTTAACCACATCCTTCAAAAACACACAATGTCGGCCCCAGTGTGCGTCCTACTCATCCATCATGACGATCATGCAGAATTAATATGCTGACCCCTCTCTCCCGTAGAGGTGATATCGGCCTCATCGGTCTCGCTGTCATGGTAAGATATCTTTGCATAGTAGCCGTTGCATAATGTGAATTTGGTACAAGGGTCAAAATCTGATCCTCAACATGAATGACAAAGGCTTTACTGTTGTTGCTTACAACCGTACTACCAGCAAAGTCGACGATTTCCTCGCCAACGAGGCAAAAGGTTATCTATGACCTCATACCCCTCATCCCTATCACTGACTCGAGCTCTCCCTATAGGCACCAAGGTCCAGGGCGCACACTCCATCCAGGAGCTCTGCGCTAAACTCAAGCGCCCTCGCAAGATCATCCTTCTGGTCAAGGCTGGTCCTGCTGTCGACAGCTTCATTCAGCAACTCGAGCCCTACTTGGAGGAGGGCGACATCGTCATCGATGGTGGCAACTCACACTACCCTGATTCCATCCGCCGCACCAAGGAGCTTGAGGCGAAGGGCCTCCTTTTCGTCGGCTCTGGTGTCTCTGGTGGTGAGGAGGGTGCTCGTCATGGTCCCTCCCTCATGCCTGGTGGTTCAAACGCTGCCTGGCCCGCCATCAAAGAGATCTTCCAGAAAACCGCCGCTCAGGTCAACGGTGAACCCTGCTGTGACTGGGTTGGAGAGACTGGTTCTGGTCACTACGTCAAGATGGTTCACAATGGTGATTATCATCATTTCCCCCCTGTAGTTTGTAGGACTAAGGCAATCATTCCAGGTATCGAATACGGTGACATGCAGCTGATCGCCGAAGCCTACGATATCCTCAAACGTGGCCTTGGTGTCCACGAGAGTGAGATAGCTGACATCTTCACAACGTGGAACAAGGGTGTCCTTGACTCCTTCCTCATTGAAATTACTGCCAACATTCTCAAATTCAACGACGACGACGGTGTACCCCTCGTCACCAAAATTCTTGACAAGGCTGGTCAGAAGGGTACCGGAAAATGGACGGCAATTGCTGCCCTAGACGCTGGCACTGCCGGTATGTCACTACTCATCCGAACTAAGTGCGATCTTTAACCGCGATCAACAGTCACGCTTATCGGTGAGGCTGTGTTCGCACGTTGCTTGTCTGCTATCAAGGACGAGCGCGTGCGCGCCAGCAAAGTTATCAATGGCCCCCAAAGGGATGCCTTCCGCGGCGACAAGCAACAGTTCATTGATGACCTTGAACAGGCATTGTATGCCTCCAAGATCATCTCTTACACACAGGGCTTCATGCTCATGAGGGAGACCGCCAAGGAGGTTGGTAACGCTTAAACAGTCGAAGTATTCACTCTAACCGGAAGTCTAGTTGAACTGGAACTTGAACTACGCTGGTATCGCTCGTATGTGGCGAGGCGGATGCATCATCAAGGTATGTGAACTCAACTATCCTGCTCTTGAGGCTTACATTTTTGTCACAGAGTGTGTTCCTTGGTGACATCACTTCCGCTTACGAGAAGAACAAGGACCTCGAGTCTCTACTCTTCGATGACTTCTTCAACAAGGGTTCGTATAAACAGTCATTGATTGGTAACATTCAATGACATTGTATGCAGCTGTCCACAAAGCACAACCCGGCTGGAGGCGTGTCATCGCTCAGGCTTGCCTCTGGGGCATTCCCACCCCCGCTTTCTCGACTGCCCTTGCTTTCTTCGATGGTTACAGGAGTGAAGTGGTTCCTGCCAACCTCCTCCAGGCTCAGGTACGCACACATGACGTCTGACCAAACAACATGCTCACCAACTGTCTAGCGTGATTACTTTGGTGCACACACCTTCCGTGTGGTGCCCGGTAAGGAGAACTCCCGCCTACCCAAGGGCGCTGACATCCGTAATTGCTCCATCTCTATCTGTCTGCATGTCTCTAACCATGTAACTCTCAGACATCAACTGGACTGGCCGTGGAGGCAATGTCTCTGCCAGCTCGTACTCCGCTTAAAGGGGATATGAAACACGTACGACCAACTTGTCTTGTCTCAATAGATTCTATTCTGCGTTTCCTCATCAATTTTGTATCCCAACTGTATTTCGGGTGCACTATTAAATAAGTATGATACGTATCATGTTGTGGGAGCATCAAAATAAATCAATTACTGCCCTTCTATAATTTTGGCGTGAGGAGTCTGAGGACCAGAAGCGGCCCGGATGAGTTGCACTGGCATCTAGTTTCAAAAGAGAACGGCCCATTCGATCGATACTCTCAGACTCTTCATGTGCGGCATCTTCTGCTCGCTTCACGTAGGATGCTGTGGCCATACCGGTAACATTGATGGCGAACCGAACAATACCGTTTATCACGAGTTGTCCGAGCGATTAAAAGTCGCCAATGCCGCTCGTGGTGTGTTTAATGCATCTCCGTTCGACGGCTAGGCTAACCGATCGAGGTACTACCCCACAGGTCCCGATGCACAAGGAACCCATCACGTCCGAGTCCAAAGGATATGCTCTGGTGAAGCACAGGCCCCATCTCCAAGCAATACATGCAGCCCGGCAATCGATCTCGAGTTCTTTGCTTCTGAGCTCCGGCTTCGAGGTGACGCACCCATAGTGCAGCCTCATCAACAGGATGGGGATGTCTTTTGCTGGAATGGCGAAGTTTTCGAGGGTTTGAATGCGAGTCGGAAGTCTTTACCTTCGTGGCCAGGGTTAATACCATTTTGACATAGGTCAATGCATCTGAAAATGATGGCGCAAAGCTCTTTCAAAGCATACACACACTCTCTACGATGGATGATCTCCCTTTCCTGTTGGGGAGGATCGAGGGACCGTGAGTTCTTTTCGTTGCGGGCACATCTTTCTCTGCTAAAGTTTAGTACACAATAGATATGCATTCGTCTATTACCATGTAGGCTGCGCTGGCAGTGTTCTAATGGATCGTCTAACATTGCCGCCCATAGGCCGAATCTCAAAAGTTATACTTTGCTCGAGACCCCCTTGGACGCCGATCTCTGCTCATTCACAAGCCTTCTGTGTTTAATCCATATTTCTTACTTGCATCCGTCTCTGTTGGAGATGATCAAGGATATGTCATGGAAGAACTACCCACTGAGGGGATATTTTGCCTTGATGTGGGACAACTATGTGAATCCAAAGAAGTAAATTAGCTCGCGCTAGACGTTCCATCCTAGTCCTGATCTATGTAGGTCACGCAACATTTTGACAGCAACTTGACATGTATTCCACGACAAATTGATCGGCGAAATCTGCCATTCGTGAGTACATTTGAGATGACATGTGCTTTTGATGATTTGACGACCTATTGTTAGGCAAAGCTTAATCGCGTGAACACCGCACTTCCTCCGGATGTACCACCGCTCGTGCCCTCACTGGACTCCGAAATATTACCGCGTGATCTGGCCATTGCAGTCGATCATCTTATCGATCACCTGGACAATAGTGTGATGCTTCGTGTTCGAAATATCCCGCGAAGAACGTCGTCGTCCGAAAAGGGGAGAGCGCAGGTCGCAGTCCTCTTTAGTGGTGGCATCGATTCAACCATGCTAGCCTTTCTTGCTCATAGGTACTTCGATGAGTCATGCTCTATTGTGGTGCTTGTTCTTATTTTGTATTCCTCTAGACATGTACCGCTGGATGAACCTATAGATCTGCTTAATGTGGCCTTCCAGAATCCGCGAAAGATTCAGGTTCAAACTGACGGTAACATAGGAGCTATTCCCAAGCGCGAGAAGAAGCGACAACTCAAAGCAGCGGAGATCAATGGAGTGCTCAAGGAATCCACTTCGTACATGGTTCCGGACCGTGTGACAGGCCTGCAGGAGGTCGAAGAGTTCAAGCGGATATGTCCCGGCAGGACATGGAATTTTGTGAGTATGAATTCTTCGACAGGAACGTTGCTCACTCCACTAGGTCGAGGTGGATGTTCCATACGAGGTCTGTTCCTACCCTTGGACTCAGATCGACGAGGCTTCTGATACATATCAAAATAGGAGTCTCAGGCCGCGCGGGCAGCTGTCGAAACCATCATGTTCCCTGGTCGAACAGTAATGGATCTTGTAAGGTTACCTTCCTAAGTTAGTCAAAGTTCTGACGTTATGTACCCCTAGAGTCTTGCTATGGCGCTTTACTTTGCCTCCAAAGGAGTAGGCCGACTCCGAATTTCGGAAGCGACTGATGATTATCAGCCATACACCAGTACAGCACGAGTCCTACTCAATGGCCTTGGGTCCGATGAGCTACTTGGTGGATACGGCCGTCACCGTACTGCATACGCAACTCGAGGCTGGCAGGGCGTCATCGACGAGGTAAGTCACATTTCCCTTCCACAGCTCACATCCTCATACTGTCATCCAGCTCCAGCTCGAACTCGACCGTATACCGACTCGCAACCTCGGACGAGACGACCGCGTGATTTCCTCACATGGCAAGGAAACGCGCCATCCATTCCTTTCGCTTACGGTTGTCTCTTTTCTCGCGGGACTCCCCGTGCATCTTAAGCTTGATCCGCGGCTGGAGCTTGGGCTCGGGGATAAAATGCTACTGCGGCTTGCTGCGCGAAAGGTGGGGCTTCTTGAGGCAAGCACGAGGAAGAAAAAGGCAATGCAATTTGGCAGTCATTCCGCTCGCATGGAGCCTGGCGAGGCAGAGAAGAGGGGGGATCTTATGATTAGGACTGTCTCAGAGCCGTAGATGGAATATACTTGCGCATCCTCGCATTGTTATCTACGATAAGCTTGGCTTAGACATCTTTAAGATCACACCCCGGTAACTTAAAACAACGGCTTGGCGTGTGTGGCCGTGTAATTCCAGACGTAGTGCTACAATATACATCCTAGCAAATACAACGATACATCTATAACAAGTCTGTGTTTCATGCAGTGTCGTGAATATTTCATGATGTGTTCTGGTAGATCGTAACGCTGGACACTTCCCAGTCTGTAGCCAATGAGCGATGTCGGATAGAAACATGGTCAAGATTCGGAACTTACAAGCTTGGCTGAACGAGCCACCACTAGCCTGAACGAATGCCGAGCATGTCGAGAAACCAGTCTGTTGTGCGCAGCTCACTGCTTGCCCAGGCACGCCTGTGCTGGTCCAAACGCCGCTTGCCCAGTCACCACTGCATGCCAATTACTATCAAGATACTTAGTTCTGTATGAATAGAAACCTACCAAAGCGTGGTATCGAAAATAGCGGAATGGGTATTGAAATATTGATATGGATTGCAATCCGTTGAGGGCCAGTAGGCCATAGGAGCGGACCAATTCTGAGGCTGTGGTGCTCCTGCAGAGATATCTGATGGTATTGATCCACGAGGGAAAAAGTATACTTTAATGCCGGAGTTGTCCCAGAGCACTGCACCCACCATTAGCTTATTTGAAGAAGACCATGGTAAAATACTCACTAGCATAAACACCGCCACCAATTCCATTGAACCCCGATCCAAACGAGACGCTCGAGTTAGAACGAATTCCACACCCCTGGTTACCAGTCTGAGCTGCTGAGCAATCAGTAGACGCAACCAATGTACCAGACATATTAAGCAAGGCACTGCCGGTGGAGGGTAATGTACATCCTGGGTTAGTGTGAATTGTTGCTTGATTGTTCGTGTAGTTGTTCACGCCCTCGATGATGTCGATCTCGCCTCCGGCTGGCCAATTAGGGCCATTGGTCCAAAAGGCTATTACCGATGTCAGAAAATCCGATAAAATAAAACACATTGCTACATACCAGGCCACGTTGCACATCCAGTAGGCATATGCACGGCGTCCATCACAACCAAGCCACCATCGAACGTGGCTTGAGTCGTAATTCGCACACTCTGCCGATTAGTCTGGACTTGTGGCGTTGTTTCAACACGCATCACGGCGTTCCCGTTCGAGTTAATCTCGATGAGGCCTGCGCTCTGAGCGGTGGTTTGATCTACATACTGAACATTCCCATTTGTCGGGTCTGCCGCAGTGAAGAAGCTCCAGCCGTTGAAGAATGTTTGCCCACTGTAACTATTTGTTGCCTTCCAAGATGATGATGCAACACTGGTACTTGACGGCGCAGCCGTTCCAGTGGAAGTCGCATTTCCGTTCATGTTTGGGGACGAAGATGAATTGCCAGACGAAGGCATGCTGACACCCTCCCCATCGGAGCCAACGCAGTAGATGTTCAGATTGGATGAGGAACTGGGCTGTGTGGTCAGGATGCCCCCGAACGCCACGCGGAGGTCGCGCGCGAGGCCAGCGCTGCGTTTGACGGCGGCCTTGTGGGCATGGGTGAGAACTAATGATTTCCCTTGCACCAGGGGCACAGGGGCGAGTGCAAGAGCAATGAGCAGAAGGAAAGTGTACATTGGGAGTCGTGATTCGTGAGGGCGGTAATTAGATGGGGGTGTGGGGGTCTAGTGGACAGATGAACGTGCTCTGCGATTAAAAGAGCTCACAAATGATCGAAGCACCGGGCCACGATCTAGAGCGTGAGCAGCGAAGAAACTTATTGAGCCTAATGGTCCAATAATAAGTAGAGAGAAATGGAAAGAGTTAGAGTGCGGAGAGACTTTAGTTTTAATACAAGCACACCTTATCAAGCGAGCTACACGCGATAAACCCGTTCTGCTTATTTGAATTCGAAAATGAGTCTGCCTCACTCGGAACTGCCTCGGCCTTTTAAAAACACGAGGCCGGTCAGGCGCTTTGAAACGTTAAGGGTCCTACGAGTCTAAGGAACGGTTCAACCGTACGCTGGCGCAAGTCTATAAGGAAGAGAGATTAAAAGCAACAGAAGAAAACTTGGAGATTTGAAGGCAGCAACCATTGTCATTGTGGTTTTTGTGGCTACGGCACAAGGATGAGAATTATGATCACAGCGTCGTGGAACAATGGTGAGATTTAAATTTGGTAATTCATTTACTCCATTAGGAAATTACTTGCATACCTAATTCCGGGGACCTGACCAGGTGATACGCAGCAGTAAAGTCTATTCGTCACAAGCATCCAGTCGTAATCATCACCGTTCAACCAACACGAGTCATCGGAAACCGTTAAAAAAAGAAAACTCATCAGCCACGAGACAAAAACTAAAACTAAAAACATAAGTATACGATTAAGAAAAGAAGATGCACAGCAAGGCAAAGGATGTACAACGGAAAGGCCAAGCACAGACCGTGAACGAAGGATATATACCGTTCTTACTAGCCACCCTAGCTAGTGGTGCGAACCAGACGAGAACGCCTCCCGCACGCTCCTTCTGAGTTCCTCATCCCTGGCACTGCTAACAGAAGACCCCGCCATATGAGACCCAGCTACGCTTCGCGGAAGTCCTCCATCGACATCCCCGTCAACAAACTCTAGAATCCGCCGTGCAAGCAGTTGGATCTCCCCCTGACCATCGCCAGCATCGGTATCTGCGTATGATTGTGACTGTGACCGGTGTGAGCGAGGCGTGCCAGCAGAAGACGTCGCCGATGGTGTACGTGACAATGCGAGCTGCCTGATCGAGGGGTTCAAAAGGCCAGAAAGGCGGATATTGCTGACCAATTGAGGATCTCCCGATTCCAGTAGCTGCACGATCGTCCAGACCGCAATGTGCTGGAAGGTGGCGTCTACGCTCGTCAAGAAATTGTAAAGGTATCGGTGCATGCCGCCATCAGGCTTCTCCCATACGTCGTTAAATGCAGAGTAGTCATCAGATGCAGTTCGGCCATCTGGAAAAAGGTCAATTCCCGGAAAAATCAAACCTAGCTAAACCCACCTTTCGATGATAGATTACCAAGGGCGGCAGCACTGTTGCCCTGGACTTCTGAGCTAGGTGAATTCGTCAACGGAATCAGTACTTCACAGATACCCATCTCAAGCAATTGGCCCTTGAGCTCATCTGTCGAACCCGTCAGTAGAGACTATCACAGAACGCATGTAACTGACCGCTCAGGGCTAACACGGCGACACAGGCAGTCATTTCGCTCTGCACATTCATTGGCACTTCTAGCACGAGTTCTTTAATGCTCTGCACCGCGCCTGCTTTCACAATCGCCGTCTTATTCTTCTCCGAGCTAGCAGCAAGATTACGCAGTGTGGAAATGGCGTGGCATTGAACCTCCTCGTTGTCTTTAAATGACAGAAGGTTAATGAGCGGTTGCAAGAACCCGGACTCGATGATAGGGGACTCGTTCTGTGGGTGAATGGAGACGTTACGGACACAGGCAGCAGAAGATAGGATGAGTGGGAGGTAAGTAGACTGGAGCAGTCGGAGAAGTGAAGTAAGACCGTCAGCTTTGACGATTTCTAGTTGGTATTTCTCTGCGGAACCAATGTTAAACAGAAGAAACGTCAAAGAGAAAACAAGTACCGTCACTAGCCAAATTCCGTAGAGCAAGGGCAGCTTGACACTGAACCTTTAAACTCGGGCTATCCATAAGGGCTACCAAGCTCGTAACGAGCTTTGATTCGTTCTGTGCTAGTTTCTTTCTATTTGCTCCATCGACGGCAATGTTGCTCAATGCGGTCGTGCAATAGTACTGGACATCTGTGTCCATCGAATTCAACAAGCTCACCAGCACGGGGATGGCACCGGCGTTTACAAGCTGCTGTCGATTCTCATCTATAAATGTTCTTTCAATAATAAGTTCTCCGATGGGAACTGTTACGTACCTGAGTGGGTCATGTTTAGTAGGGCCCCAGTAGCGTTTCTTTGAACGCGCATATCCTTGGACCGTGCTAAGCGAGTAAGCGGAACAAGTGCGCCTGACTTAGCGATCTTCGTCTTGTTGTCATCTTAGGGTGTCAAACGTTCAAGTGACAGAAGCCAATCAGAAACGACACGCAAGTGATTAGAAGCAGGTCAATCATCGATAATCACCATCGATATGGGCTAGACTTACCATGCGTTGCAAGGTTTGTGACACAGCCTACCGCGTTACACTGCACCTCGACATTTGGGCTCAACATCTGGCGAATGAGTGGCTCCAGGCCTCCAAGTTTCACGATGAGGAGCTTGTTATCAGCTGTACAAGTGACATCATTAATGTCACGATTGGGAGCATGCATGAGCGTGGTGTAACGTACTGTTAACGGCCAAGTTTCCAAGGGCAGCGCTAGCAGCACGCTGCACCTCCGTGTCCTGGCTGCTCAGGAGGAAAAGAATTGGGTCGAGCGTATCCCGCCCCACGGGGCGCACTTCCTTCTCAGTGATTTCGGCGAATGCAAGTGCAGCACTGCGCTGCAAGTCGACATTATCGGAAAAAGAGAGGGTCGTCAATGCGGTGAGTGGGGAGCCCTGGAAAAAGTTGGTGGTGGTGCGGTCTATGTGCTCACGTGAACCAAAGTTAGCTTTGCCTATGTTGAATACATACTCTCTAGATATTGGAGAAGGTCTGCGACTGCCTCTCGTTCATTCTCGAGAAGAAGAGGCTCATACTGCTGAGATCTCCTGGAACGGACTTGTAGAAATTTATGAGGGGGATTCAAGTCTATATTAGAGTTGGCAAGACTTACAACAGGATTCACAACAACTGCTGACAGCACCCATAGCTCTGTACGAGCAAAAAGTATACAAAGGGGCCAAGAAAGACCAGAGGAACAGAAAAAGGGGAAGAGGATAGGAAAAGGTGTATAAAGGAAAATTAAAGGTATGCCAACGAAAGGCAAGCAACTGGTCTGCGTTTCAAACATCTCGTGGGTAACTGCGGTAATCGCCGCCCTGTCACACTCATGTCACACTCTTTGCACGGTGCTTCATCGCCGTCAACCCTGTGCTTCAGACTTCTTCAGTTCTCTTTAACGGAATAATTCGCGTCACGAACGGATAGCTCGTCTATAGCTGGACCGCAACCGACTGCGCATACTGACTGCTGGTAATGTTCTATGTGTGCCAGGCTCGGTCGCCAAATGTTGAGGGACGACAGACGTACAAGATTATTTTTAAGGTGGAATTTTCGGCTGACCATCGAGGCATAATCATTTCTACATGTAAGTCCATCGCCAAGATATGCCATCCGTGATAATTATGTGGTCTCGACGTCACTTGGACTGTGTTTGCCAATGAATTTCCGCATCTTCTTGGTTACCGTCTCCCGATGGTCAGTTGAATTGACCGATACGGGCAGAGACCTTGGATTGTCATAGTCCCGAGAACCACTGTAACCATAGAACGCTTCCTGCAAGGGGCGCTCAGACCTAGATATTGAGGTGGGGGTATCACGCCTTCACCATCGAAGGCCTCATTGCGTTTTCCGAGGATAAATTCACGGAGAGATATCGTACTAATTGTCGGAGCTAGATCGCTGCTCCTGCCCGGTCTCATTGAAATGCTTATAATGTCTTATTAACTGGAGATTGTGGTGGTGAATCCCGTCGCCGATTTCACGCGGTAAGTTTTCGTTTCCCTTGTGAGATATTATTGCGATATGGCTATGAACCTTGTCTTAAATCTCGATGGCAGCAAATTATCCACACATGGCGGATGAATAGATTATGTCCCATGGATTATTTACTCTGCCCTATCATACTCGTTCCTTAAAATACAAAGTGAATTCCTCAGGGGAAGTAGTGTATTAACACAAGGACTACCTTCCTTTTCAAGAAATGATGCGTGACTGTGATCCTGTCACGCTCTATACCGAACTTCGAGTCATGCAGTGTGTAATTGCAGATATCCTAAACTCTCCATGGCCGAGCCATCCTGGCAAGAGCTCCTCCGCCTCAGACTATCAGAGCGAAACGCAAAACAAAACGCTTTCGCATCCATAATCGAGCAATGTACGCTCCATTCAACAATCCATAAGACTCCGCTGATCCCCCAATTCAGACCGCAGACTCGCTCAACAAACCAAGCTTCTCAAAGAGCGTAATGCATCTCTCCTCAAAGCAGTCGGCTCGGTTCGCGCAAACCCAAGTAGCTCGACAGTCCATGTACCTGGAACAGCATCAAGCGAAGAGTAAGTTCAGCCATCTCATCCAATGCACACACGTCGATCTCATGTTCTCTGGAACAGCAATCCCGTACGCGCAGCGTACATGGCCTCGCTCGAGTCCCAAATTTCGTCTCTCCGCGATGAGCTCGCGACCGTGTACAAGACACAAGGCCAGAATGCTCAGCGCCTGCTAGCCATGAACGAAACCCTTCGCGAAAAGGAAGAAGCATCGCGCATCGAGACTGAGAACCTCCGCAAAGCCCGCGAAGAGGTCGCGCATCTACGCAGGAAGGTTGATCAGCATGCTGAGCTCATGGCTGAGAAAGATCGTACTGCACAGGTGCGCTTATATATATCCCTTTTTCTGATCAGCCCTGATCTTGTGCATAGATCCTCCATGATGAGATTAACACGCTTCAGCTTGAACTCGGCCAGATCGATGAACGGAATCAGACGCTAACGAGGGATAATGCCAAACTCCTTCAACGCTGGCTAGATGATAAGCAGGCACAAGCAAACAAGATGAACGAGGCAAACGATTTCTATGAGGATATGCGTTCGCGGCATCAGGCTGTACTCAACTGGCGTGATGGTGGAGATGGAAAACCAGCATCAGGCAATGGCACTTCGCTGTCGGGAAACGGGGTGAAGGAGGGGGAGATAGTGGAGGAGACATTGACGGATGGCACAAAATTGCAGGGGGAGACGAGCTTGGATCAGACTCCGAATGGTTGATGGTGGACGATCAGTAGACCCTACTTCATGCACATACTACCCTTATAATCACATACCCTTTCTGACTCATGGAACATCAGGATGAACAAATGATTCATCTTAATCGAACTGTTCAGGTAAGTGGGTTGACTTTGCTATCAAAAAAAACCTATTGCACCGTCGAGTAGACGTAGTTTAATGAGAAGCCGCACATCTACCGAG